ACAAATTTAGCTTCAATTATCATCTCATGATCCAAAACATGAAAATTATAACCATAGAAAGTTTTGTATCCTTATTTTTTTTTTGAAAAAATGAGTTTTGTGTCAATTCTGAGGGCCCGTTTAGTTCGCTGATTCGAGTTTTTAATTCGAGTTGAGATGTAATTTTATGTGAGAGCTTTTTACTGTAGTAAAAAAGTTAGATGTGATTGTTTATGAGAGCTTTTTACTGTAACAAAACTCGAATTCTAAACTCGAATCAGCGAAATAGACGGGGCCTGAAGTTACAACCAATGGTTGAATTGAGAGATGCATCGTTATCTGTGACAATGATACAGATATTTAGTTAATAAAAAATAACTAAACATAGAAATCAAAGTTTGAGTAAACTTCTAAAAAAAAATAAATACTAAAGAATATATGAATTATCATACCCAGAAAGGTTGATTTTGGTTTGTATAATTTGATACATGCTATCTCCTCTTGAGTGTTTACTGGTATCATATTTTATATAAGTAGAAGGATATGTAGGTGTGAATGGTTATTTGTATATACATGTGGTAAAATTGATTCAGTTTTTATTTTTTACGTTTTTGAGAAAAAAAAAAATTTTTAAAACGGCGTTTGGGGTAATAAAGACAAAAACGAAAATGAAAATGATTTTTTAGTTTAGTGTAAAATGAGAGAGAAATAAAAAACGACTTTTAGTCATTTTTCATTTTTTTTTTTTTCGTTTTCTCCTATCTCAAGTAGAGAGAAAGAAAGAGAGAGATATTAATGAGGTTTTTTTTTATACTAAAAACAATCTCTTCATAAAACTACCAAATGCATTTTAAAAAATGATTTATGTCTGAGATTGAAAACGTTTTCATTTTTATTTTTATACAAAAAATAAAATTATTGTGGAACGAGTTCCAAACGCACCAATAGTTTTTAATGCCATTTTAAAACATGTTTTTAGTCTCATCTTTCTTTGTTTCCTAATAAAGATGAAATTTGTATATACTTCCTTAGGCAAGTAATTATACAGAACAATTTTCTTTCAATGTGTCAAGCGAATCATGTAATAGAGTATAAGTATAAAAAAGGTTCAAACTAATGTGATCGCAAAATTATTTATTTATTTATTTTGGCCTAAGACTTTTGTATAGTGACATCAGAGGGAGATCGTGGCTTAGCTCATACCTACTATTTAAAAAAAAATAAAAGAAAAAAAACTATTATTTTTCCTTAAAAAAACCACTCTTTTCAATCATTCTTTAAAAAAGAAAAAAAAAATAATTTAAAATCTGTGTCAATCAACACCTAAAATGGGGTAGTAGTTTCCTCTGGACATGGTTGACCTTTTTAATAATCGAAGATAAAATAATACTTGTAAGCTCATAATTGAAAGTTTTACTTTTTAGACGCTAGTTTGCCCATTTTAGACATGCTTAGAAAAATATTTGTTACAACCCCAAAAAAAAAAAAAAAAAAAAAAATTGATGAAGAAGAACGTGACTTATTAGCTGCCCTATATGGTTTTATCCCCTAATTAATAAGTAGAACACGCCAAACAAATTATAATAGAGTTGAGTTGTCATTAAAATAAATAATTTTTAATTTATATTTCCACGCATATATTTATTTAAGCAGGAACAATATTTCAATTTTTTATGGAAACAATATTTTCATTTTGAATATGAGAAAAGAGAAAATAGACAAATACTCTTTAAAATGCATAAGTCTTAAATTTTTATCCCTTACACTTGATTAATACTTTTTATTTAAAAAATTATAATAGTCCCCTTACATTTAATTAATACTCTTCAATCAAAGAATTATAGCACTATTAATAAAAAATAAAGAGTAAAAATCTTATAATAATGCATTTAAATGATGAGTTTATCAATTTTTTCATAACAAAAACAATTTTTTAATACGATATTGGCTTATAATTCCTACTTTACTAACAAGAAGGACCCGTTTAGAACATTTATTTAAGTTATGATTTAGATTTATTGGCGAGAACTTTATAAGAGAAAAAAATTTTGAATTAAGATAAAAAAATACTGAAACAGAGCCCAAATTTAAATTTAAGTATATATTCTGAACAAGCTTGAAGTAATGAGAATCACGCAACTAATCACTTTACCTAAACAAAGACTTAAATTCATATATATATATATATATATATATATATATATGAATTTATGTAGTCAACGAGCCGGATACATTCTTTGATTCTTTCACTCATTGGACATATATAAACACACATACATGCTGATATCATGGTTCGAGATGTATGAAAAGGCAAAACACTTTTAGAAGAAAAGAAAAAAGGAAAAAAAAAAAAAAAAAAACCCTTCTTGTCCCTTAAGAATTGATTTTTTATGGCAGACGATTAATATTTTGGTTGGAATGGCAATTCAAATTGCCAACATATAAAACTCTTTATCTTCAAATGAAAGTTATCTAAAGTACCTTCCAAGCCTATGCTATTAGGCGTCATCCCCTCCCTCTCTTCTCAACTCATTTGGGCCCATTAGTACTTTGAGTGGGCCTACTCCAATTGGCCTAACGGGCCTTGCATAAGAGTGGGCCTTCCTCCATGTTGGTCGTTAGGGTGATCCAAAACATGAAAATTGATTTTAACTAATATTTATCATTTTGTTATCAAACATAATTAAAACCAAAACATTGCTATAATAAACCTTCATTTATTAATCAATCATAAATATTCATAACTCAAGAAATAAATACTCAATTCATAACAAAAATAAATCATTTAATGTTAAAATTTAATAATTCATAACAAAAAATAAAATACTCAAATATGTTAGATAAAATATACTTACAAACCGGTATATCACAAAATAGTGAAACACGATAACATCTAATAAAATAGCTATTTATATTTTGAATAATGTGTAGAATACATATTCTCAAAATGTATACAAATAAAAGTTAGTTTGGTTTGATTTCTTTTTTAGGGGAATTGTAGTTAATAGTAGATTTTTGAAACTAAATTAAATAAATAACAGATTTTAAAACTATTTGAAGTAAGAGCAGTTTACATGAAAAATAAATCATTTACGACATAAAAATTTTTATGATAAAAAATCTTTATTTACATGGAAAAGAATTCTTTTTACAAGTTGTAAAAAGAAAATTTACGTGAAAAAATGATTTTATTAACCGTCCACGTAAACTACTATTTATTTCAAATAGATCTAAAATATGTTATTTACTACATTTTTTTAAGTATATTTAATACAAATTTATAGAATACATATAATTTCTCAAAATATATACAATACAAAATTGGTTTAGTTTTTTTAGAATTCAAACCAAACCAAATTTTTATTATTTGGTTTGGCTTGTTTTTATTTCGGTTTGGTTTGGTCTGGTCAGTTTGATTAGTTTGAATGGTTTAATACACATTCTTACAACTAATATAGGGGTTGTTCATCAGATCCAATTAACCAATCAAATTGATCAGTCCAATCCAATTAAATTCAATCCATCTTTGACAGGTAACCAACTTTAATTGGATTGAATTGGATATAAATTCTTGAAAATTGACTTGGATTAAATTACATGTTTATTTTGCTTTGAAAATACTCAATCCAAACCTATCTGACCTCTATACATTATAAAAATATATATACATACATATTTATATTATTGGTTTAAAATTTAAATTAGATTTTTTCTCAGTCACTTTCTTTCTACATTTTTCATTATTCTTTAAACTTTTTACATTTATCACTTCGTAACTTTATTTCATTTATTTAAGTTGTTCTTGGATGTTTAATCAATGTTGAAGTAACTTGGAGTTTATATGCTTTTTGGAATTTATGGATGTTAACTCTTGCTTCATTTTTTCAATTGTAGTATTTAAAAAAGTTTAACAAATAGGTTGAACATGAAAATAAAAAATATACAAAATATACAAAAAAGCTTAAGTAGAAAATTGATTGGTTCAATGCAATCCAAACCGATCTTAATTAGATTGGATTGATTTGGACGATACACTAGTAATTAGATTGGATTAGATATAGTTTTTAAAAATCGATCTTTGGTTAAATTAGTTGTTATATGACTATAGTAAATACCTTGTCTAAAAGAAATGATTCTTTTATGGTATGACCTTTTATAAGCAGTACTTGTTTTTTTTTTTTTCATTAAATATGATCAAAATTATAAAAAATAAGAAATGACTTGTTTATAATATAGATTTAATAATTAAAAACAGAACAATGTTATTAGTATTGGACACTAATAGTGTTCATTACCATTCAATAATAGAATTTAAGTTCCGCAACGTGAGACTTACAAATGGGCCCACTTTCTATTAGTGGTGGGACATGAGATCTGCTATTTCTATAGATTGTTTCATTCCCTGTCCCGTTCACAAAAATTAGCTAGGTATCTTTGAGACGGGCTCTCACTAAGTCTTGTTTGGAATATTGATAGAAGTATTAAGATAGAAATACATTATACAACAATGTGAAGTGCCTATCCCGGCACTTAGGCTGCAACATTTATCTTCAAACAAATTTAACTGTTGAATGTATTTCTCGGTCAAAAAGAGAGAGGAAAATTGATCGGTCCATGAACCAAACAGACTCTAAATTATAAAATCTTGTAATGTGAGTTGTCGACATCACTATTCGACCGGTACTAGGATATTTTTTTTTTTAATCCAATTGCAAAAGAAGAGTTTCTCTCATGATTGTTATTTGCTTCTCCAAACAAGGATTAATGGGAGATTACTGAAAGATACACGTGGTTAATTTTTTTGAACAGGAATAAGCGTGCAAGAGACAGCAGATATCATCTCTAGTGGTGGTATTTAAGTACAACATTTTTCATAAAAAACATAGAACTATGAGTGATTTATTTTTTGGACATTGTAAAAATCTTTTTAAAAAAACAAATAGTTACAAATAATAATAATAATAACAGAACTGTAAAATACATTTGAGGTGGTATAGTGCATTTAGAAAAAAAAAAAAAAAAAAAAAAAAAGCCCTAGAGGTCGTACCGGAGGCCGTTCCCTGAGTCTTTTTGCCGTCGCGAGCCCTCCTTCCGATCCGATTTCAAGCTGCCTGTAAGCCAAGCTTCTCCATGGTTGGTCTTCTGTCTGTAATTTTTGTTTGAGGAATTTCTGTTCGTAATTTTTGTTTGAGGTTGGGATTTTGTGGTGGAAAACCAAGTCTTTGAGGAGTTGCGAACTTTTCTCTTATAATCATTCGTTCGTTTCCTTCTTCTATATGATGGGTCCGGACGGGACTTCATAGATTTTACAAATCTCAAAATGGGTTGCTTTGGAATGTGAAAAATCTTAGCTCTTTGGTTAAATAAATGGTTATGGTAGAGTTTTCCCATTTGGGTTTATTATGGGGTTGTTGTAATTTGATTTGTAAAATGGTTTTGCCTTGTGAAGATGGGATTGAGAGCCTGAAACCACTCATTCGAAATTCGAATATCTACATATTGATTACGCCTCGCCTCGATTAAGACAAAATGCGCATCTGATTCCTGATTCCGCCTTTTAGAACTATGATTTTCTTTTTGTTTGTTTAGTACTGGAGATGGGGTCTTAGGTCAATGTTAATCAGATTATGAGGGAAGCATAATGTCTGATGAAGCCGGACAGATGCTAGTGGTTTATGATGATCCTTCAGACCATCGATCGTTGTCGATAGATGATACGAGCAGCACTGAGGAATCGCTCGATGAAACTAGGCTTTCCTTAGAAACTACGAATGATACAATTCCATACATTGGGCAAAGATTTGCCACTCATGATGCTGCTTATGAATTCTATAGTGAATTCGCAAAGCGATGTGGATTCTCAATCCGGAGACATCGTACGGAGGGAAAAGTTGGAGTTGGAAAAGGACTCACGCGGCGTTACTTTGTTTGCCACCGAGCTGGCAATACCCCTATCAAAAACTCCAATGAAAGCAAACCTCAAAGGAATAGAAAATCCTCCCGATGCGGGTGTCAAGCTTACATGCGTATTAGCAAGGCAGCAGAGTTAGGAGGGCCGGAATGGCGAGTCACGGGTTTTGCAAACCATCATAACCATGAACTGTTGGAGCCAAACCAAGTTCGTTTCCTTCCCGCGTATAGAACCATCTCAGAGTCAGATAAGAGTCGAATCCTTATGTTTGCTAAAACAGGAATGTCAGTGCAACAAATGATGAGGCTTATGGAGCTTGAGAAATGCGTGGAACCAGGATATCTACCGTTCACTGAGAAGGATGTGAGGAATCTGCTACAGTCATTCAGGAAGCTAGATCCTGAAGAGGAGAGCATCGACTTATTGAGAATGTGCAAAAACATTAAGGAGAAAGATCCCAACTTCAGATTTGAGTACACCCTTGATTCAAACAACCGACTTGAGAACATTGCTTGGTCATATGCATCATCACTCCAGTCGTATGACATATTTGGCGACACACTGGTGTTTGATACGACTCATCGATTGACTGCATTTGACATGCCACTTGGTATATGGGTTGGAATGAATAATTATGGTATGCCTTGCTTCTTTGGCTGCGCGCTTCTACGAGAAGAAAATTCGAGGTCGTTTTCATGGGCAGTGAAGGTAATAGTGAAAATACATTACCCTTTTTACGTCTCTTTCAATTAATCTTATATTGCACATATGTTTGTATGTAGTATAGTATCTCTGTATATACATGCCCTTTCTATGTCCAATTAATTTTATCTTGCACATAAGGGTGCATGAAGTGTTGCTTTTTAATTGATTCATTCCTATGGCAATGCTGGGCCCAGTTGGGGAATGGGACAGAAAAATCATGAGTTATGAAAATGAATGGCTGGGTAATTGCCTGTTACAATTTATCAAAAAAAAAAAAAAAAAAAAACTGTTGCTAGAGATCTTTAAAGTGGCACATAACTGTTAAGGTTTATGATCATGCACGAAAAGAAGCGGCCTAATTGACTGAATCTTAAGTGTTGGACTTGTAATGTATGTCTCAAAAGTAAAATGATTCGAGTATATATTGTTGATTGATGTAGTTGACTCCTGTGAATTGCTGACCTTTTTTTCTCTTTTACCCAATTAGTGAATGTGGATGAACACCCCCTCTTATATAGCCATGACTTTTTTGTTCATTGCTTAAAATTTTCCAATTTCACCAACAAAATGGAACTTTGTTTTCAAAGTGTGTGGATGGAAATTCACACATGTTCACACATGCACATACATGTTTACATTTTAAAAGTTTTGGTGACACATCTATTCTCTCTTTTTTGTTCATATGGAAGGCATTCTTAGGGTTCATGAATGGAAAGGCCCCTCAGACGATACTCACTGACCAAAATATGTGTCTTAAAGAGGCAATAAGCATGGAAATGCCAACCACTAAACATGCTCTTTGCATATGGATGATTGTGGCAAAATTTCCTTCATGGTTTAATGCAGTTCTAGGGGAACGCTACAATGAGTGGAAAGGAGAGTTTTATCGACTTTATAATCTGGAGTCGATACAGGATTTTGAGCTAGGGTGGAGAGACATGGTAAATTCTTTTGGGCTTCACACAAACAGGCATATTATCAACTTATATGGCTTACGCTCACTTTGGGCATTACCTTTCTTGAGAAGCTACTTTTTTGCTGGAATGACTACAATTGGCCAGTCGAAGTCCATTAACGCTTTTATCCAAAGATTCTTGAGTGCACAGACCAGGCTTGCCCACTTTGTAGAACAAGTGTGTTCTTTACCCCTTGCTTCTTTTCAGCTCTGTTTTATTTTTCATGTTTATAGCATATTCTATTTGTTACAATTCAGTTTTTGCTCCGACATTTTGTATCCCCATCTCCTACGTATTGTTTATTGAACATAAAGAGCTAGGATATGAACTGCTTTCGGGTTAGGACCAAGGTTCATGAGGATATCAAGATATGAAATATTTGTTGTTAATTATGTATATACGCCATATAGGATATTCTGTAGGTCCAGATAGAAAGATGTTTGAAAATTTATAGCTGGTCGCAGTCTTTTCGTTGCAAGCCAGAAAACACCACAGGCATAGAAAATATGTTGAATTATGGTGTGCACGAGAGACATTTATGAGATTGGAATTCTGCAACAAAAGAGGATTTGATAGCACGTAAGTTTGAAAGATTGTAGAATGCTTCGTTTTCGCCATTCTAGGATGAGCCTGGACTTGAAGAGAAGAACATGGACTTGTTTCCACATGGCCTGACTGCTATTTGACTTGTAACATTATTACTTTTGATTTTCTCTCATATAGTTATCACTCATTCAATTGTTGATCCCCAAAATGATTTTAAGTGAACCTGTGAATGGTTTAGAACAAATCACAACAAACCCATGAGAAGATGGTATAATAGCAGATTGCCTATTGTATTAAGGGAGATTAGTTTGATAAAAGGATTGATATATATATATATATATATATATTTATTGAAAAAAGGAAGCTTAAATTACGTTGTAGCTGGCTTTGTGTTCATTTATTTGTTTTGCACAAGCAGGTAGCTGTTGCTGTTGATTTCAAAGATCAAGCCGGCGAACAACAAACAATGCAACAGAATCTCCAAAATATATGCCTGAAAACAGGGGCCCCCATGGAATCACATGCTGCCTCAATTCTAACTCCGTTTGCCTTCTCTAAGCTCCAAGAACAACTTGTTTTGGCCGCCCACTATGCATCTTTCCAGATGGAAGATGGCTTTCTTGTTAGACACCATACAAAAGCCGAGGGAGGTCGGAAAGTATATTGGGTTCCTCGGGAAGGCATCATCAGTTGCAGCTGCCATCAGTTTGAGTTCTCTGGAATTCTCTGTCGGCATGCCCTTCGTGTACTCTCAACGGGAAATTGCTTTCAAATCCCTGACAGGTATCTTCCCATCCGTTGGCGTCGGATCAGCACTGCTGGAAAACTTTATCAGAATAATTCAAGTGATAATACAGAGAGAATTCAGTTTTTGCAAAACTTGGTATCCGCTCTCGTAACAGAATCTGCCAAGTCGAAGGAGAGGCTAGATATTGCAACCGACCAAGTCTCGATTCTCTTATCTCGGATACGGGAGCAGCCGGTTTCATTGCAAAACACGCGAGAGACATTTCATAGGAATATTTAATCTAATACTATACCTTAAAGAACTAGCATAGTACCAATTTTTTGTGGAAAGTAGAATATGTTGAGATCTGGAAAATGAAGGAAAATGTAATCTGGATGAGATGTGTATAAAGGCTAATGGATTGGATAGAATTTGCACGTGGCTTTAAGTTCTTTTGCATGCCATTTTTGTAGTTTTGGTACATGCAAATAGTTTTACTTTTATTTTTTGTTATTTTGACCCATATGACATTCAAAATGCTATATTCTTACTGGAATCGCTCGTGGAAAATTATATGCGAGGAAAAGAAATATACGGACTTATCTGTATTTATGTACTTTTTTTTAAGGTTATGTGCTTTTGTTTCTATTTAAACAGAATATATTCATATGACAACTAGCAGAATAGTGCATGATATATTTACCGTGGCAGTTGCCAAACATTTGGAGGATCAATCTGAAGCAACTTGCTCCATTCATTCTCATTATTGTGTCTTCAGTTGCAATGCAACAATCCTATCTATGTTTTACAGGTTTGAATTACTCAGTATTTTCTAAATTTCTGTTCAAACATTGGTGTCCAATTAGGCAAATAAAATTGAGGAAATCCCCACGTTCCATGAGGACATATAGAGCTATGAGATAACCTCAATAGTCTGTAGAACTATTGGTTTGCCTGAAAATTCATTGTAACTAATTGCGCAATTCGGTACAGCCGACAACTTCTACTGCAAGAAACTTCCCAGTTTGCTTCCAATTTGGGAATACACGGGGCAAAAGAACAAATAACAGAAACATCCATCAAACACAAAATCGAGAATCTTTTCGCTATGGTGTAGAGTGAAACCTTGAGGAGGCTTCTTGTTTTTACAGAAATCAAAAGATATTGAGCATAACTTAACCTGACAAAACTGGCTTGTTAGGGGAGGATTGTCCTCACCTTATTAAGTGGATTCTAATACGCCCCCTCACGCACAGAGTGAACCATGCCAAACCGCTAAGAATAAGTCGATATTGGGGGATCCAACATTGCAAAACTGGGTCTGCTTTGATACCATTTTACAGAAATTAAAAGATATTAGGCCTAACTCAACCTAACAAAATCGGTTTGTTAGGGGAGGATTGCCCTCACCTTATTAAGTGGATCATGTCAATATCTCCAACTAATGTGGGATTTTAATACTTGTTGAGCATGCGGCGGCTAACTGAAACAAAATGAACCTTGATTCGATGACGTCTAATAGAAGAAACGACTCGCCTGTTGTTCCATAGACAATGACTTTAGAGAAGGTGAAAGCCAGTACATGGCCTCCATTAGGTCGGATTTCTTCAACAATGGACTATACGTCTTGACCTTCAGATGCTCCAAGGCAAGCAAGGAAGAGCGACAAATGCTTCTCAGATCATTTGGAAAGATGAGAACCTGCAGTAGATACAAATGTCAGAGAGGACAATGATGAAAATAAAAAAAAGAAAAAGAAACCAAGGAAATAACAGAGTTTATCAATTCAATAAATAATACCTTCTCCGACCAAACATGCAGGCACATTCTCTTCGAGCAACGCAGGTTTGCGAGGAAGCATATCAAATTGACATACCAGCTTGAATCGTAGGTAGAAGAACATTCACATACAAAATTTACATTGCAAGTCAACAGATTTTGGGAGTTCAAATAAATCTTGGGAGACTTTTTCATGCCATAAGCTTCATAGGTAAAGGAAGTTAAATTTACCGCGTCAACTTTAATAACATCAACATCATGAATGGATCTTTGGGAAATAACCAAGCTTTTTAGGTGCTGATTTCTGATATTTTTAATATGTTGCCATCCGAGACATTCCGCTTAACGTCAAGCTCTCAAGGGTAGATTCAAAAATCCGTGCTTCCAGCGACGGGCCATCTACTTCGACGTAAAACAAGGAAAGACTCGTGAGGCTCATACAGGCGGCGAGACTAGTTTTGCAGCTCCGGCTTTGAGTACCCCAAAAATGCAAAGACTGAAGATTAATAGCTTCAATTTTAATTGTCTGATCTTTGACAAGTTGGACCTCTAAGGACTTCGGGCTCGAGGAGTTGACAAGTCCTCACAGTATCTTAAAACCAAATTCTCAAGAGAAGGGCATTTGACCAATAGATCTTCAAATGAATGATCATTCAATCCACTGACCTCTTAAGGATAAAAGCTTCAAAAATGGAAGGCTTACTTCAAAAGGAGCACTCTCCATTTTCAGACCATCCAACTTTAGAAGAGTCAAGGATTATGCATTAAGAGCCCGTTTAGTTCGCTGATTCGACCTTTTAATTTGAGTTGAGATGTGACTTTATGTGAGAGCTTTTTACTGTAGCAAAAAAGTTAGATGTGACTGTTTCTGAGAGCTTTTTACTGTAACAAAACTCAAATTCTAAACTCGAATCGGTGAAATGAACAGAGTTTAAGTATGGCCTTAGGTAAGCAATAGTGTCCAATTGTTTCATTCGTTGATGTCATAAAAAGATCAACTTCCTCCACTTTGTTCTTAGCAAACACATAATTTAACCACTTATCCACATGAGTGTTGTCTATAATGTATATAGACAGCTTAAATCGGGTTATGGATGAATCAGCAATGTAGCGCATACCTATCTCGCGGTATTTCAAACAATTGTCTACAAACTCATTGAAGTCTACTTGATAACGCAAGAGAAAACCCATCTGACTGAAATGCAACCTCGGGACCGAATACCACATGCGTCTCCAACGCTTGGAAAGAAGGCTCATTCGAACTACTTCATTGGCGGGTAGACAAGCGAGGATATGATGGATTTATAGAAGTCTCGTTCATTTCACCGATTCGAATTTAGAATTCGAGTTTTGCTATAGTAAAAAGTTATCAGAAACAGTCACATATAACTTTTTTACTACAGTAAAAAACTCACATAAAATCACATCTCAACTTGAATTAAAAACTCGAATTAGCGAACTAAACAATCTCGATTCTGGCACTTTCGAGATTCGGTCCACATCCTCACAATGTGATTCTTCACCGTTGTTTCTTCCATCAACCATTTTTACTTTTTTCGCAGTCATGACATTGGATGATATCATGATAATAATCTAAAGAAAAACAATCAAAGCATTGTCAAAGAGTGTAGTGATTCATTTTTTTTTTAATCTTTTAAGACAATTTCGAAAAGGAAAAAAAAACATGGGTTTTCCACTTCATGAAAATGACAAAGATAGATCCTTTTTTATAAAATAATAGATGTGGGAAAAGTGAGAATTTCCTTTCTTTTTTCTCTAAGAAAATCAATAAGCCATTTATGTACCTTGAGGATTTCAGCATTTAGTCCAGTGTGACTCTGTAAAAGGCAAGTTCTTACAGAGATTTTCATGATTCTGAATAAAAAGAGATATTAGGATTTGGAATAAAAACCAGTACAAACGACCAGGAAAAAAGAGATTTTTCGTGATTTTAATGCCCAAATAAAACCTAAATAAGACAACAGAACATAACAGAGTAGAATCATACCCAAGCCCTAACAACCAATTCAACAGCTTCATTGCACACAATGCTTCAAATAATCGTGCAAATCAATTTATTGATATTCCAAAAAGAGAAAGAAAATTGAAAGGAAGAAGGAACAAACAAATGAAGGAATAATCAAGCTGTTGCTGAACTGGTTCGATTCATGCAATAAAAGCAAGGGACTAAAGAACAATAAAAATGAAAGAAGAAAGGCGAAAAAAATTATCAGCTGGTGGGAGGCGCCGGAGAGGTGGTGGTTTAGCCGGTTGTCGGCAGCTGTGAGCAGTGGCGGATTTAAGTACAGCTCAGTGGAAGTTACCATCTCCACTCAAATTTTTTTGAAAAAAATATTACCTTAAAAAATTTTAAAATTTTACACTTAAACCTCTACTGAAATAATATGTTCTCACTAAAATAAATATATATTTTTATATACCCCACTAAGATAATTTGTTAAAAAAAATTTAATATATGCCCCCACTAAAATGAAAGGCTGGCTCCTCTACTGACTGTAAGTAAGTGCAATGTGGGAGGTTGATGGGGATATATTTTGGGAATAAAAAGGTCGACGGGTACGATGAAAGCAACAATTTGATGATGTTATTTTTAGGGGTTAAATTCGTAAAGTTCATGAACTTTACTCTCTTTTTATAATGGCTAATGAGTCTCTCTACTGAAAATTATACCAAATTAAACTTTAAACTCAAAAGATTGTCTTTAAATTTAATCTCTAAATTAATATTCCGTTAGATTTTAGATTAAAAAAAATTTAACATATTTGATTTAAGTTATAAATAAATGAGTAATTACCCTTTTTTCACCACTTCTTACAAAAGCTACATACATACACACACACTCTCTACTGTCACCATGAACTTACTCTCTGTCATACAAATCACTTGTCCATCCGAAAAATAGGATTAGCTCACTTTACCCTATAATTTTAAATCGCACAAAACTATTCCTAACTTATTAAGTTGTTTTAACGTTTCACGCCTTTATTTAGTATAATATTATTCGTTTTAGATCTAAAGCCACACAGGCTTACTTTTAGGTCCTTTCTTATACATCATCATCTACAACTTTTCACAAGCGATGTGAGACAGCACAACTTATCTTATTTTAACGTTTTTATCTCAAAGGATTAATAGTTGTTAGAGTTGTAACTTTTACATTTCTGTTAATGAAACGTCCATTTTTTAATAATTTAATCACAAGTTGATCATGCGACTAGTTGATAAAAGACTCTATAAAGGTCATGTCGATCCAAAGGTTTAGAAAAAGGGAAAGGTTGACATTTAAAATTTTAAGGTTAAAAGTGACAAAGAATATACGATATTACAATCGTTTCATAATTGAGAAATATGTCATAATTATATTAATATTTTTTAATAATTAGTTTTTATATATTAAAGATTCATTTCATAAATGCTCTTGATTTATTGACTAATTTTTGACATGTCTCTTGATGTTCTTGATGTTTTTTAGTATCCCCTGATAGCTCGTTACGTCTGTAAATCTGTTAGACATATAGACAGAAATAGACAGATGGACATTTTGAATGTTTTTCTATACACTAAAGGATGTTTGAACAATTTTGAAAAATTGAGGTGCTTTGAAATAGAGTACAATTTTGTGGGATAATTATGAAAATAATCTTAAAAATTATTTTAGTCACTGATTCTTTACAAATTAAACAAACTAAATTTGAAAACTATTTTTTGTTAGAAAAAAGAATGGATCTTTTTCTCGTCGATCATCCATATGACCTTTATAGTGAAGGCACTCGAACACTATCCTAACAATAACAACAATTATAATAATGATGATAATAATAATAATAATAATAATAATAATAATAATGATAATAATAATAATAATAACAATAATAATAATATATAATCAATAAAAAAAATCTAAGTTTCTACATCACAGAAGAACTATGAATCTCTTGACTGTTGTTCAAAGACGGAAACCTTTTGACTGTTGTTCCATGGATAATGACTTGAGAGAAGGTGAAAGCCAATACAAGGAATCCTTTAAGTCGGATTTCTGAAACAATAGACGATACGTCTTCACTTTCAGATGCTCTATGGCAAGCAAAGAAGCGCGACAAACGCTTCTCAAATCATTTGGAATGACGAGAGCCTGCAATTAAGAAAACAAGAAGCGTGTCTGAGAAGAGATCAAACAATTAAAAAGAAAGAAAATGAAAAAAAAAAAAAAAAACGAAATATGTAATACCTCCTCTGAGTAAACATGCAGGCACACATTCTTGCAACAATTCAAATTTGATAGCAAGCGTATCAGACTGATGTACCAGTTTGAATCGTAGGTACGACATTGGCACGTAAGTTTTACGTTGCAAACCCGCAGATTCGGAGAGTTCAAGGAAATGTTGCAAAACGTTTTCATGGAATCAGCTCTATAGGTGAAGGAAACTAAATTTACCGCATCAATTTTAATCGCGCCAACTTCCTTAACACCTGTTTGGGAAATGATCAGGTTCTTCAGGTGCCGACTTCTGATGTTTTTGATATGTTTCGATCCGATAGATTCACATATAGTCAAGCTCTCAAGGCCGGTAAGTTCAGAAATATGGTCTTCCAAGCATCGGCCTAGAAATTCGGCATTACACAAGGAAAGGCTCTTGAGACTCGCACAAGTAGCAAGACTAATTCGGCAGTTCTGAGCACTCCCAAAAAGCAAGAACTGAAGTTTAATGGCGTCAATTTTGATTCTCTGATTGGAGACAAGTTGGAGTTCGGAGGACTTTAGAGTCGAGGAAGAAATTTGGGGAGTTGACAAGTCCCTGCAGTCCCGTAAAACTAGTTCCTCAAGAGAAGGACAATTGGCCAATAGATGTTCAAATGAATGATCATTCAATCCACTGACATGTTTCAAGGACAAAAGCTTCAAAACTGGAAGGCTTACTTGAAGAGGTCCCACCATTCTCATGTATTCCAACTTTAGGTGAGTCAAGGATTTTGCACCAAGTACGGCCCCGGGCAAGCAGTGGTACAATTTTGGTACTAGGCGCGGCCATGGTTTCACATAGAGATCTAATTCCTCCAATTTGTTCTTAAGAACCACAAAATTTAACCACTTATCCACAAGAGTACTAAAGTCAACACCGCACATAATCCGAAGCTTGAATCGGGTTATAATGGATGAATCGGCGACGCTGCGCAAACCTATCTCGCGGTATTTCAAATACTCGTCTACAAACTTGGGGAAGCGGTCGCTCCCGTAGACAGAGATTTGACAAAAATTCAATGCCGGGACGTAGTACCACATGCGTCTCCAACGCTTGGAAAGAATGCTCATCTGAACTACTTCGATGGCGGGAAGAAAAGAGAGGATATGATGGATAATACAATCCGGCAATTCCGACAAGTGGTCATATTTCTTTCTTTCCTTAAGCACTTTCACTCTTTTCACTCTTTTCGCAGCCATGATATTGAATAATATTAATCTAAAGAAAATAAGCGAAAACACAAGTCAAATAAAATGTAGTGGTTCACAGAAACGCGAAAACACGAAGCATCTTAGTCTTTCTTAAAGGAAAATGTTGTCTTGCCCGATGGGGCTATGGCATAACTCCGTCAGGGCTAATTAGTATTAAGGTCCGTTTAGTATATGGTTCAACCTAGGATTCTTGATTATGATTTTTGAAAGTTAAGTTTTTTTTGAGAGAAAAATACTGTAGCATAACTAAAACTAAAGATTTGCACCGTAAAATAACCCATAAACGAAACATACAATTACTCTTTCTTAAAACCTTATATGAGAATTCATAACGTAAAAAAAAATAAAAAAGGTTTTTCACTTTATGAAAACAAGAAGATAGATCTTTTTCTTTTTCATAATAATAGTACTAGGAAGAGTGAGGACGTCTTTTTTTTTTTTTTTTTTTTTTTTCTGTCCAAGAAAATCAAGAATCCATTTATGTACCTTGAAGAATTTCAGGATTTTGTCCAATGTAACTCCGTAAAAAGGAAAGCTCCACAACATAGATTTATTACAGAATGCAGTTGACTAAAAAGATATGAGGATTAGGAATAAAACCCAGCAACAAATCAAGAAAAAAAAAAGGATTTTCATGATTTTGATGCTCAATTATTTTGGAGTGAAAATTAAATCAAAGAAAAAAAACTCCTAGATCGTAGCATCGTACACATACTAGAAGCAAATTAACATGAATCAGGGATATTAAACGCACAAATAAAAAGAAAAAAAGAAGAAGAAGAAAGAAATTAAATGAAGAAATAACTAACCGTTGATTTACTCGTTGGGGGTATTGGTCGTCGGCTGTAAGTGCTATGTTTGGTTGTACTTTAGTTTTTGTAGAACGATAAAAGAGATGTAATCTAATATATATATATATAATATATATTTGAAAGGATTCAAATCTTTTATCCAATTTTAGTGTTTTAATTGGTGTCTAACTAATCACATTATGTAACGTCGTGTAAAAAATTTAAACTGCTTTTTAATTAATTCTTTTATACTTATTACGAGATGATGCATTATGAATTTATGATTTTATTGGTTAGACATTAATTAGAACACAACTAGATTCTCTGTACAATTTTTAGTGTCCTAATTGGTGTCCAATTAATTAAATAACACTACATCATCCCATGATAATAAACACAAAAAAATTAGTTAAAAAGCAATTCAAACTTTTTAAATAATGTGACATAATATGATAAGTTAGACACCAATTAGGATTCCAAAATTTGACAGAAAATTTGAGTCTCCAAAAATTGGACATAATACATGGATTCATATTTGAAAAGAGATAGAAGGTAAGTAAAAAAAGAAGACGCTATTTTTAATATTTTTATTTTTAATAGCTTTCTAGGGTTATTTTTATATATAACTCTTTTTTTTTTTCCTTAATTCCACGGAAGTTTTTTCTAGCGTTATTCAATAGTCAAAATTTAACGGAAGTTGACTATTGGATCCAATTTAAGGAAAAACTTTGAATTTTGACCAAGCACTTGTTTTTCTTTACTTTTCTTTTGGGTTCTTTTATGGTAAGGCCTCTTATGAATAGTGTACATTTTTTAACCGTAAGATTTGATCTAGTCACATCAAAATAAAAAAGAATAAATATTAAATAAATTTTGATATAAATCTTACAGATAAAAACTAAATACTTATCAATAGTTCATTTTTTTAAATCCTACAGTAAAAATCTCCTTTTTTACATTCAAAAAGTATTTGCTCACAAACACTACTAAGAGAGAACCTTTCTAAGAGAAAATTACAGAATTTACCTTTAAGAATACATGAGTTTAAATTTTTACCTCTTATTCTTAATTAATACTCTTTTATTAATATAATTATTTAACTAAAAAAGTTATTAATTAAGAATAAGAGATAGAAATCCTGACCCTATACACTTTTAAGGGGTATTTGTGTTCTTTCCCCTTCAATTAATCGCCTACATTTTTAAGAAGAGGCAGATCAGCTAATAAATAATTAACCCTTCATTGTTAAAATACATAAATATATTTCGTAATTACTATCCAAATATACAAGAAACAAAAAGTTACTATCCAATAATATTTGCAAGTGAAGCTAGCTAAATTGGTTTTTAGTTGATATATGAGTTGTTTTCAATATATATTCCAACGTCGGAGAAATAGCCATGCGTTGATGTTCACCAATGCCGGCACCATCAGTAGTTAGCAATATATGTTATATGACGAGTCTCCGAAGATAAATAGCTTTGTCGGCCGAAAACTAAAGAGATCATGTCCATTGCGATGGTGGTGATGATGAGAATGAGCTGAAACCATGTATTATATATACATAAATCATACAAAGAGAATTATATATATATATATATATCTCTCCGATATTTACCTAAATTTACTAGAATTTGTGTCATCATGAGTTTCCATGCAACAATTCTGTCCACGGTACATCATTATTTCTTTCCTTTTTCTGAATTTGTTTATTACAGTTTTGCAGAAACTCCGATATATGCTGAATTTGTTTGTGAATTTCCTTAAATTTAAACAGAAGAGTTTGAACAGAAATTTAAATTTCATAAGAAAAAACACTGCAGTAAACATGCTTGATCAGTAATTTGAACATATGAAACAAACGGGGACTTATTCTTTGATGAGAATGCCGTGCAGTATTTGCAGATGCATGAAAACGCTAGTACTAGAGATTGGTGGCAATTTAAACATAATTGAGGAAATTCCATACTTTGTACAAGTTTCATGGGAAAAACTAGAGCCATGACTGTGGTAACCTCAATAGTCTGTACAACTTTCGTAGTTTGCCCCGAAACTTGATTGCATCTAATGTGCAATTTGATAAAGAAGCTTCAGAGTTCAGAGTTTGCTACCATTTTCAGGAATAAACAAATCAACCTTGTTTTGATGACTGTCTAAGAGAAGAAACAATTGACCTGTTCCACAGATAACGACTTCAGAGAAGGTGAAAGCCAGTACATGGCATCCCTTAGATCGGAGCTCTTCGACAATGGATGGAGCGTCTTGACCTTCAGATGCTCTACGGCAAGCAAGAGAGAGCGACAAAAGCTTCTCAACTCATTTGGAAAGATGAGAGCCTGCAATTAATAAGAATGTCAACATATCAAACGATGAAAAAATTAACAACAAAATAAAGAAGTTGATAAATACAATGTTATAATACCTCTTCTGAGTACACACGGAGGCACATATTCGTGGAACAATGCAGATTTGATAGCAAGCATATCAGACTGACATACCAGCTTGTATCATAGGTGCAACATTCGCATAGAAGTTTTACATTGCAAACCAGCAGATTTGGGGAGTTCAAAGAAATGTTAAAGAACCTTTTCATGTTATAAGCGTTATAGGTAAAAGAAATTAAATTTACTGCATCGATTATAATAGCGTCAACTTCCTTTATGGATTTTTGCGAAAGAACCAAATTCTTCAGATGCCGACTTCTGATATTTTTGATGTGTTTCCATCCAAGACATCCACTTATAGTCAAGTTCTCGAGGGTATGTTCTGAGATATAGTCTTCCAACCATCGGCCATCTAGTTCAACTTCAAACAAGGAAAGACTCTTGAGGCTCCTACAAGTGGCAAGACTAGTTTCGCAGCTCTGCCTTTTAGTACCCCGAAAATGCAAAGACTCAAGATTAATAGCTTCAATTTCGATTCTTTGATGAGACTCAAGTTCGACTTGACACGACTTCAGGCTCGAGGAAGAAACTTGAGGAGTTGACAAGTCCCCACAGTAACTTACAACCAATTTCTCAAGAGAAGGACAATTCGCAACCAGATCTTCCAATGAATGATCATTCAATCCACTAACTTCTCTTAAGGACAAAAGCTTCAAGCATGGAAGGCTTACTAGAAGAGGACTCTTCACTTTCAGACCATCCAACTTTAGAAGAGTCAAGGATTGTGCGTTAAGTACGGCCTTAGGCACACAGTAGCGTCCTCTATGGCCATAAATTGGCCTTATAAAAAGGTCTAATTCTTCCACTTTGTTCTTAACAACCACAAAATTCAACCACTTATCCAGATTAGCGTTGTCACCATCGTAAAGTATAACGAGCTCCAATCGAGTTATGGTTGAATCAGCAATGTAGCGCATACCTATCTCGCGGTATTTCAAACAGTTGTCTACAAACTTATTGAACCGCGCTTTATGACAATGCCAGGGAACAATCAAGTCACAGAAATTCAATGTTGGCACTGAATACCACATGCGTCTCCAGCGCTTGGAAAGAAGGCTCATCCGAACTACATCAACGGCAGGAAGAAAAGCGAGGATATGATGGATTATAGAATCCGATAATTTCGAGATTCGGTCCACTTCCGCACAATGTGATTCTTCACCTTTCTTACTTCCATCGAGCATTTTTACTTTTTTCACAGCCATGACGTTGAACAATAGTAATATTCTAAACAAAAATACTAAACAAGTCAAAGAATAAAAAGAATAAGTAAAATAAAGTGTATGGGTTCACACAAGCGCGTAGACACAAAGCTTTTAGAACTTTTAAGAGAATTTCCAAGAAAAAAAAACCCACAAAAAAAAAAAAATTGGTTTTTCACTTCATGAATGACAAAGATAGAAATTTTTCTCAAGAAAATCAATAAGCCATAAAACCAAAATAAGACAGCAGAACTAGTAGAGTAGAATCATACCCAAGCCCTAATAACCATTTCAACAATACTTATTCACTCAATTCTACAAATAATCGTACAAATCAATTTATTGATACTGAGGAAGAAGAAGCAAATTAGCATGAATCACGAATATTAAGAACCCAAATGAAGAACTAACGCTTAACTAATTCCAATTTTTGAGTTTTTTCGCTGAAAAGCCAAATGAAAGTTTAGAAATATTCATCAAATAAAAGCAAAACAATAAAAACCAAAGAAGAAAAAGGGAAAAATGAATCAATTTACCAGGTAGCGGTGGCGTGCGGCAGCTTTGCCGGTTGGGGAAATCTGTCGGCGGCTGTCAGTTAAGGGTTTATGTGGGTAGTTGTTGGAGAACGGAGTGTATATATATAGATATATAATTTTAATGATTATTTTAATATTTATCTATATTAATGGATATTATTATCTTAACAGTACGGTTAATATAAATAAATATGTATATATAGAAATTTAATAATGTGGTGTGATAAGAATTTAATTTTATTAATTGTTATTAATTTTTTTGATTAATTGTTCATTTTATTACGATCCTCAGATTAATAATTTATGGGTAAAGTAATAATATCTATTGATGAGTAAATATTAAAATAATCACTAAAATCACACCTATATAATATATATAAATACATATCTTTCTACCTCAAATATATTGTATTTGTCTTATATTTTACATTAGTTACTTAACAACCTACGATGTTTTGTGCTTAATGAGTTTTTATTATTATTTATTTGTTGGTTTACAACTTATACATTTGAATTTGTTTCACATAAATTTTAGTTTTTATATTGATTTATAACTTATAAGAGAATTTTGAAACATTATAAAACTAATATCATAATGAAAGTTATATTTCTTTTCTTATTTTTTTTTATTTTGGGTTAAACGGTTAGCTTTTATTTTATTTTTTCAATATCTTCAACTCGATCAAGCCACCCGACCCATTCAAATTTTAGTTGGGTGGGTTGATTTTAAATTTTAAGTTGATTGTGTGAGTTGAAAAATCTCAAAAACTCACCTAACTCACCGATGTTCACCTTTTATATATATATATATATATTTATATTTATATATATATATATTTTTATCATCTTCCTAAAAAAAATAGATCCTTTCTATATGAAGGGTCTTTCTTCCTTGATTGCAAACTTGTTAATTAGTGTATGCACTGTATTGTAAAAATTCGTATGAATGTTTAACTTTTACTTCTACTGTGACGCATTTAAATGGAATTTAATTAAATAGGTGAATTTTATCTCTTCATTCTTTTCATTTATTTTTCTATCTGTATTTCTCTTTTCCCTTTTCACCTTTCGAGTTGGCTGATGTCTCTCGTTCACTTCGCAGATTTGAGTTTTTAATTCGAACTGAGATGTGATATTTTGTGAGAACTTTTTACTGTAGCAGAAAAAATTAGATGTGACATTTTCTGAGAGCTTTTTACTGTAAAAACATAGAACTGAAAACTCAAATCGGTGAAATGAATGAGGCCTAAGACGTCTCAAGTAATGTTGCTGAACTCCTGTATAACCCATTAATTGGTACATATTTTGATCCGGTTCTCTAATACTTGTTTCTTTCCTGTTCGCTATGCGTTTTTTATTATTTATTATTATTATTATTATTATCCTGTTCGTTATGCCTTTTCTTTTATGTATATAGAGATGCTTCATTGCAAACATTTTTGCATTTTGAGAGATTGTTTTGGATATAAGAGAAAAGGTTTTAGAACGTGTATCAAATTACAACCTAAAAAAAAATTAAAACTGTTGTGAGAATAATTTTCAAACATTTTTCATTTTCTTTATAAAACCACTCTCACAATATATATTGTTTTTGTTTTAGTTATGATTTTTAAAGTATTTTCTAATCAAACTTTATTTAGAAAACATTTTTGGTTTCATGCCTCAAGAGGTGCATAAATATTTCCAAAGATCATTTCGTTAATAATTACTATCATTTCCAGAGTTAGTTTGGTTTCATGCCTATAAGCCCTAACAACCATTTCGTTAATTACTACTATTGAATTCAAAAAATCATGAGGTCAATTTACTCAAACTGAAAAAGAATAAGTAGAAGAAGAAGAAAATCAATTAACAATAAGAATCAGCAATATTAAACGCACAATAAAAAAGAAAAAAAAAAGGAAGGAAATTAAATGAATAAATAACTAACTGTTGCTCAAATGGCTGGGGAATGGGGATGTTGATCGGCGGCTGTTTGTTTGGTTGTATTTTAGTTTTATAGAACGATAAATGAAATCAGCTTTACCATTGGACGATGTTATTTTAATATTTTATTTTTTAATACCTACTAGGGTTATTTTTATAATCGGTCCTTTAAAATTCAATCGAAGTTGTCTATTGGAACTAATTTAAGTAAGGATATAAACTTTGAATTTTTTTTTGTGTGTGGAAGAGATAAACTTTGAATTTTCACTAACTCCTGTTTATCTTTAAAACTTTCATATTCAAAAAGTATTTCCTATATTGAAATAATTATTAGAATCCCACATTGACTGGAGATATTAGTATGATCCACTTAATAAGGTGAGGACAATCCTTCCCTAACAAGCTAGTTTTGTTAGGTTGAGTTAGGCTCAATATCCTTTGATTTCTGTAAAATAGTATCAGAGCAGACCCAGTTTTACAATGTTAGGTCCCCAATATCGACATATTCGCAACGGTTTGGCATGGTCCACGCTGTGCGTGAGGGGGCGTATTAGAATCCCACATTGGCTGGAGATATTGGTATGATCCACTTAATAAGGTGAGGGCAATCCTCCCCTAACAAGCCGGTTTTGTTAGGTTGAGTTAGGTCCAATATCCTTTGATTTCTGTAAAAATAATCACTTAAATTATTAAGAAGAGTTAAAGAAATAATCTCTTAATTGGTTCAAGTTTTTCTATAATACCAAAACATATTTTGTAATTAATATCCTAACATTACCAATGAAGCTAGCTCAACTGGGTTTTAGTGGATATGCGAGTTATTTTCAAAGTATTGAGTCTTGAGTCCAAGACTTCAAATCTTAGGGGATCCCTAAAATATTTCTATTTAAATATTATTTTAGTTACTAATTAATTATTTAAAATTAAGCAAAAATAATTTTCAAACTAAAAAAATTTTAAAAAACGAAACAAAAGTAAAGATTGGATCTTTTTCTCGTTGATCAACCAAATGACCTCACTAGTGAAGGTACTAAAATGCCATTGTTAAAGCCAAAGAGAAAGGTTTTGGTGACGGTGGAATGGACTGACCGGGGTACGATGAAATGGACGATGATGGCGCAAATAAGCGCGAAGGTGTATGATCCGGCATTGAGCTGGATGAATCCAATAAGCGCGAACCCGACTGATCACTTGTTGACCGTCGAGGATGTGAGATTCCATGGGAGGCTAGACCAATCTGAATATATATTTTAGCATGCAAGATAATGCATGTTTAGAATCTTATTATTAAGGGCATTATGCCCTTTTCAACAATTTGTCTAGTTGAAAAGTACTCTTTTTGAAAGCTTATGTAACGGATATAATGTTTAGATAGTTCAAAAATATTAAGAAACTTTTTCCTAAATATATAAAAGAAATGGCATCCTTTTGTTCATTTTTCATGGTAGTAAAACTTTTTGTTTATTCCTTTTCCAGTACTCCCCGCCCTTATCCCATTCAGCCTTCTGTTCCTCTTTCATTTTCTCAAAGCTCAACTTTCATCATAATTCTCTCTCATAGATTTCTTCCCATTTTTCATATCTCAACTCTCTCACTGGCTGAAATTCTAAGCTCCTTGATTGTTATCAATATTTACGATTTATGATCGATTGCGGTGAGTTTTCTTCCGTTCTTTTCATGATTGAATTCATGTGTGTCTGTGTGTATTTTCCGGGTGGAGGTGGGAATCGGGGTGATTCGCGCAATATCGATGTTTTCCTTTTTTTTTTTTTGGTCCCCCATTAAGTGTTTAATTCAACGAACGATCTTCAATTGGATTTGCATCAAATAAGTACGTTCCAAATAGAGGTTTCAGCCAAAAAAAAAAAAAAAAAAATTCAATTTATAAGCCAAGTGAAAAGAGCTCTATTTCCAGTACCAAAGTCACTCCGATAATGAATCAAAATCAAGAGTTGCTGCAAGGTGTTTGTGGGGAAGATGATTTGGCAAAAGTGAATCAATTGTTCAACAAGTGTTATTAAAAGCAGTCTAACTAATGATGAAATTGCTGCTATTTTTTGGCTAACGTTCTCAACATATTTTAGTGTGAATTATGGACTCTTCAAACCGCTCATTGGCACGAAAAACTTTTCTTTTGAATAACAAAGACCCCGTTCATTTCACCGATTCGAGTTTAGAATTCGAGTTTGTTACAGTAGAAAACTCTCAAAAATAATTACATCTAACTTTTTTGCTACAGTAAAAAACTCTCACATAAAGTCACATCTCAACTCGAATTAAAAACTCGAATCAGTGAGCTAAACGGGCCCAAAGTATGCAAGTTTTACAATAGAACAAAATAAGTCAGGTTGCCCTAGCAAGTCTTCATCAGGTGGCAGTCTTCAGTTCTGTTGGATGTTAAGCTGTGGGACGATGAGAGACAGACATGAAGAAGCTCGAGGTATATGCAAGAAGTGTTATTGTGTGTTCATCGAACTTTGCGTTATCCTTGAGGCGACCTCGATCATTTCTGTGGACAATTTCGTCGAGGAAGACCTCGCGAGTATGTGCAGAGTTGTGACATACATTCATTAATGTGCCTTTCAACAAAATATTTAAGTCTAATTCTATTAGTATTTTCTTTTTGTTCTATCACCAAGATTTATGTTTATTGTTAATTTTCTTTTTCCCCATTAATTCAATCAGGTTTGTTTCTTTCCTATTCCTTTTCTAACTTCTTTGTTACCTCTTTAGTAGAGGCTCACCTTGACAATGCCATGCGTACATTCATGTATCATGTACTGGAAATTGGTGTCAGATTAGACAATATAAAATTGTGGAAATCCCAACATATTTGTACAACTATTGTGATTTGTAGTTTGCCTGAAAATTGATTGTGTTTGATGTGCAATTCGGTACAGCTAACAACTTATACTGGAAGAAGCTTCACAATTTGCTTCCATTTCGGGATAAAAAATTAAACAAAATAAACAAAAAAATCCAAGTTTTTCCACTTCATAACACGTTAAAACAAACCTTTAGTACATTCTTGTATATGAAAAGTGCAACCTTCAGTACGCTTTTCTCGAAGATACAGAGACATATTGAAACAAAAGGAATCATTTGGTAAATGTCTAAGGCGTCGTTCATTTCACCAATTCAAGTTTTCAATTCCAGTTTTACTACAGTTAAAGTTTTCACAAAAAGTCACATCTAACTTTTTCTGCAGTGAAAAGCTCTCACATAAAGTCACATCTCAGCTCGAATTGAGAACTCGAATCCTCAAATTGAATGAGGCCTAAAAGTGAAAACCATTCTTCTGTTGTTCCATAGATAATGACTTTAGAGATGGTGAAAGCCAATACAAGGAATCCTTTAAGTCGGACATTTTCGACAATCGACTATATGTTGTGACCTTCAGATGCTCTACGGCAAGCAAAGAAGAGCGACAAATGCTTCTCAATTCATTTGGAATGATGAGAGCCTGCAATTAAAGGGCAAAAAAAAAGAAGCGTGTCAGAGAGGATCTAATAATGAAGAAAAAAATTACTTCGAAATAATCATTTGTCAATACAATAACAATATATAGGCCTCGTTTATATTAACTGATTCGAGTTTTCAATTTCAATTTTGCTGCAGTTAAAAGTTCTTATAAAAAATCACATCTAATTTTTTTCTATTATAGTAGAAAGCTCATATAAAATTACATATCAACTCAAATTAACGAACTGAACGAAGTTATAGTACCTCTTCATAGTAGACATCCAGGCACATGTTCTTGGAACAGCTAACGTCTGATAGTAAGCGCATCAGATTGACATACCAGTTTGTATCATAGATACGATATTGGCTTGTAAGTTTTACATTGCAAACCCGCAGATTTGGGGAGTTCAAAGAAATGTCACAGAACTTTTTCATGCGATGAGCTTTATAGGTAAAGGAAACTAAATTTACTGCATCAACCTTAACAGCGCCGGCTTCCTTACTTAATCTTTGGGAAATAATTAAGTTTTTCAGGCGCGGACTTCGGATATTCTTGACATCGTTCCATCCGATAGATCCACCTATAGTCAAGCTCTCAAGGGTGTGTTTGAAAATATAGTCTGCCAAGCATCGGCCTAGAAATTCAACATTATACAAGGAAAGACTCTCGAGACCCGCACAAGTTGTAGCAAGACTAATTCTGCAGTACTGAGCGCCCGTAAAAAGCAAAGATCGAAGGTTAATAGCTTCGATTTTTATCTTCTGACGAGGGACAAGTTGGACTTCGGAGGACTTCAGACTCGACGAAGAAACTCGAGGAGCCGACAAGTCCTTGCAGTCCTGTAAAACCAGTTTCTCAAGAGAAGGACAGTTGGCCAATAGATCTTCAAGCGAATGATCATTCAATCCGCCGACATCTTTCAAGGACAAAAGCTTCAAAAATGGAAGGCACACTTGAAGAGGACTCTCCATTTTCAGCCCTTCCAGCTTTAGAAGAGTCAAAGACTGTGCTTTAAGTATGGCCTTAGGCAAGCGGTAGTGCAATGTTAGTCCTGTGCGAGACAGGGGTCTTAACAAGAGATCTAATTCCTCCATTTTGTTCTTGACAACTAGAAAATTCAACCATTTATCCACGCGAGTGTAGTCAGCATCATGTGGCATCTGAAGGCTAAATCGGGTTATGGACGAATCCGCGATGTAGCGCATGCCTATCTCGCGGTGTTTCAAACACTCGTCTACAAACTTATCAAAGCGTTCTTTCCACAAGTCAGTATGGATCTGATAAAAATTCAACGCCGGGACCGAATACCACACGCGTCTCCAACGCTTGGACAGAATGCTCATCCGAACTACCTCAATGGTGGGAAGAAAAGAGAGGATTTGGTGGGTGATAGAATCCGGCAATTTCGAGATTTGGTCACCCTTTTTTCTTCCATCAAGCTTTTTTACTCTTTTCGCAGCCATGATAATTGAATAATGTTAATCTAAAAAAATATATATATATGTCAAGAGAGTATTGTGGTTCATACAAGCACATAGCCACAAATTGTGTCCCATATCGGACTAGTTAGTACTACTCTTTCTTAAAACCTTATATGAGAATTTACCAAAACATAAATAAAAATAAACATAAAAATAAAAACTTAAGGTTTTTTACTTCATGAAAATGACAAGATAGATCCTTCTTTTTTCATAATAAATAATAGTACCAGGAAGAGTGAGGAGTTCTTTTTTTTTGTTTCTTTTTTTTGCTTTTTGTTCAAGAAAATCAACAAGCCAATTATGTACCTTCGAAGAATTTCAGGAATTAGTCCAATTTGATTTAAGGTTTTTTACTTCATGAAAATGACAAGATAGATCCTTCTTTTTTCATAATAAATAATAGTACCAGGAAGAGTGAGGAGTTCTTTTTTTTGTTTCTTTTTTTTGCTTTTTGTTCAAGAAAATCAACAAGCCAATTATGTACCTTCGAAGAATTTCAGGAATTACTCCAATTTGATTCCGTAAATATCAGAGCCTGCAGTTTAGTACAACGATATTAAGATTTGGAATAAAAACCAGAATAAATCAAAAAGAAAAAAAATAGATTTTCATTATTTTAATGCAAAAATATTTTTGTGTGGTAATTAAATCAAAGGAAAAAAAAAACTAAATAATTCTACAGTACTAGTACAGAATAAGCATCATACCCAAGCCCTAGGAAACATTTCAACAGTATTATTTCACACGTTACTTCAAATAACGGTGTAAATCAATTTACTCATACTAAAACAAATTAACATGAATCGGGAATATTAAACGTCAAATAAAAAGAAAAAAAAAGAAGGAAAATGAAGAAATAACCAAACTGTTGCTTAACTGGTTGGGGGCATTGGTCGGCGGCTTCAAGAGCTATGTTTGGTTGTATTTTAGTTTTTATAGACGATAAAAGAGATGAAAGCTAATATTAATAGTCGATATTATTTTTAGTATTTTAATTTTCAACGGAAGTTATTTCAACAAAAAAAAAAAAAATCTACGGAAGTTGACTATTCGCTAATTTAAGGAAAAACTTTGAATTTTGACTAAGACCTGTTTGTCTTTAAATCTCTTTTTGGATCCTTATAAGGTAGGGCCTTATACGGCGGGTAGTATAGAAAAAAAGAGAGAATTTATCATTGAGAGTACATGAGTTTGAATTTTTACCTTTTACTCTTGATAAATACCCTTTTGTTAGTGTATTATTTGACCAAAAAGGTTATGAATCAAGAGTAAATGGTAAAAATCTGGACCAATGTACTTTTAAAAGGTATTTGTCAAGATTACCCAGTAGTATAAGTTTCTCACTGATCAAAATCACATAAAATTAAAAAGGAAAAATTTTATAAACTTCCCCTAAACTATGTCACTTATGTCAACATGTCCCATAAAATTCAAAATTTACATGTTGTGCCCTCTGAATTATGATACGTCTCCAACTTTCCTTAACTTTCCCCCTCCGTCGGTTTTTGTTAATATTTTGGAGTATAAATTTTATATGAAAATTGTGTAAGATGGCCTTTTTTAACCAACTCTTTTCATAAATGGCCGAACTTTTTTAATTTTACGAAAATGACCGTTTTGTTTACATGAGTCAAACAGTGATTGACCTATAAATCACAGCCAATCAGTGAAAAACTAGAGTTCATCAATGATTGACCATTACGTCAATCAGTGATTGACCGTGGAGTCAATCGATGATTGACCACTAAATTAATGAAAACGGCCATTTTTGTAATTTTGTAAAACTTCAACCATTTATGAAAAACAACCTTTAAAAAAACAAAAAAAAAACTATTTGTGCTTAAATTCAATTTTCAAAATTCTCCCTAAATTATTTCACTTGTGACAACATGCATCCCGAACTTTAAAACGTACCTATTTCACCCCTTGAACTATGATAAGTCTCCAGATTTACCCCTTCAATATTTTTGAAACATACGTGATGTTTTTTAGATGGAATTAAAGAGTTGTTATTTTGTTTAAGTTTAGGCGCAACATTTAGGGGTTAATATGTCTTTCACTCTAGATAAATTAATAAGGCGCTAAATCTTATACATATTTTCTCTTTAAAGTAGATACTCAAAAGCAAGAAAACTGGAAGGAAAAATTGTGAAGAATAGATTTGAATTCAATTTTTTTTCAAAGGAAATTGTATTTCAAAACACAGAAATACAAACACTAATGTTGATATAAATAACCTCGCAATATGAACGTAACTTGATCCCGACCATTGACCGGTTCATCACTTATCGTGAAAACTAGAGGGGAGGAAAATGTGCACTGAGCTCTTGCAACTGGAGGCAGGGACAAGCAACAAGCACACATATGGCTCTTTGATAGGCAACTTCGATCAATTGAGTCTAAGATACTTAGACCAAAGGTCAACCATAACACCGCCGAGAAACACCTTATGCGGATAGAACATAACAAAATAATCGGCCAATAGAAAAACTACCTCCGTTATTAAAAATTTAAAACAAATACATGAAAGCAAGACACAAAATCTAAGCGACGGAAAATACATCGCCTTTATTGGATACAAAAACAACTTCCATAGGAAGAACCATTAGTTTCAAAGGCGACCCGTGCATCCGAACGGACTCAAGAAGATAGATTTGGAGCAGCACCACACCAGCTTGTGAGGCCACGGGCAATTGAGAGAGAGAGAGAGAGAGAGCCTAGTAGGGTAGAATGTTTTTCTGAATTCAACTTAAGGTTTGTGGTTGTGGTTTGTGGATATATCCTACAAAGCTGATCTTATGCACCCAAAAAAAAAAAAAAACTTATGCTGTCATGAGTACTTTCCCTTGAGAAATTCAGTGCTAGGACAGCGGATTAACATGCCCGTTCATTTTGCTGATTCGAGTTTTGCTACAGTAAAAAGCTCTCAGAAACAGTCACATCTAACTTTTTTGCTACAGTAAAAAGCTCTCACATAACATCACATCACTGGAATTAAAAACTCGAATTAGCGAACCGAACGGGACAAAAAAAATACCAATTCTCCAGAGAGGGCAGTATGATTTTAAAATTGATGAATCTATTTAGGAAAAGTTATATTTCATTATTGATTAAAAATCGTAACTCAATTGTTATACGTCACTTGATGCTATAAAAAAAGATCGATATAAATAACTTGGTATCCCTAAGGTTACCTATATATGATTAATTGATCTTTATTTTTTTTTCTTGCTGAAAAAAATTATCGCTTACATAATCAAATCTTATACGATTGATTTTATCTAAAAAATCCGTAAGTGACGTAATTTATCCATAATTAATGGATATATAGAGGTATAAATGGCTACGCAAATGATTACCTGCACGCTAAACCTTCATTTAATTTCATTTATTTATTTGTTTTGCTTGTAAACATACCCTTTTCTTGCTTTGTTATTCCACTTTGTGAGTTCAATACTATGATCAACATTGCATATTCTTCATTATTTCTTTTTGTAGTCTAAATACTACTAAGTATTATCCTATAATACTTTTATTCATTCCTACAGGCAATTGGCAGAATTCACAATATATATATATATATCTGGGCTTAAAGGCACCAGCTATATATATGCTTTGAATTTTTCCCTTGGTGAGGATCAAAGAGTTTAATTAACGAATTTTTTCGCAGTGCTCGAGATCCATGTACCGATCATTTTTGACAATTTGTACTCCAATATAAAATATGCATAATATTTATAAACATCTCTAATACGTACAATGCCAATACTGAGCATGCATTTAGTATTTCAGTAAAAAAAATATATTATTCTTCAAATTCCATGGTACATATAATATCAAATTTAAAACACACACATATAGATATAAATTTAACACACACTCACACACACACACACACACACACACACACACACACATAATATTATGTGGTATTAAACTATGCACAAAGTATATGATATCAACGTTTTGCTTATTATTGCTTGATAATAATAACATATTAATTAACCTGATCTTTTAATAATGACAACACTATAACTTACATAAAAGTTTTTCTTTGATATACACGTAATATCAGCATTTACATCTACAATGATCTTATAAGAAGTTAGAAACATAAAGAAATATTTATTTTTTTTCCTTTATTTGAGGAATATAAAAATAAAAATAAACATATCATAAAACAATAATAAAAACTAAAATATTGCGATGAACTAAAGAGAACAAAAGAGAAAAAATATGAGAATCAATATAAAAGACATTTAATATTACTTTCAATTCTTTCATTCACTAGTAAGAGGTAAAAAATATATACTCATACAATCTCTATTTATAGACTGAGAACAAGAACTGTGGGTAAGAGTAGAATGCGTAAGTTACATAGATTATACATAATATTAAGAGCGGGATTATGGGGTAATTAACAATATTATTAGGGAAATATGGACTGGAATTGAGGTCTAAATGAGAGGGTTATGCATATAGTTATGGAATACTAAGCGACATCCGCACACTTCAAAGACAACAAACAACAAATTAATCGAAATTACTACATACTGCATTCTCAAACTCGTTCATCTCCATTCCAACTTGCCTTAACTTTAGGACCGGTTGGCCCATCATCCCCAGGCCCCCACTTCCACAAATAATTAACCCACGCCGGCTCCACCACCGCTCCGGCCGCCAAATATTCCGCTGCCACCACCTCGAAGTTTGCACCCGTGTCCATAACAATGTTACTCTTGGCAGTGTCATTTCTTACTCCTATCGCGTCAGTCCCTTGCATCACAACCCCTGGCTTCGCATACATTGCGTGTCCATTCAGGGACGCGTAGGTCACGGGCCTTTTTCCGCCGCCAACACTGTCGCCGCCGCCATTGTTTTCGTAGAATTCAAGCCCGGAAGCCTCAACCCACTCGCCCGTGCTATGCTGTGACAAGTAGAGCTTCCGCAATTCTCCGCTGAAATTGCTAACTCGGAGCGTTATGTGCTCCCAGTCACCTATGTGTTCGCCTATGTTTCCCAATCCGACCGTGATCGCCCCTACTTTAGCCCTTGCGGGACCATTGAACGGGTAAAAAAACCATACTGCAATGTCGGTGAATGTTGACCCGAACATTGGCTTTGCTTGCAGGTAAGCCTGCACGGAGTCTAAATCGCCTCTCTTCACCTTCTCTTTCTCATTTTTGTCTTTTGGTAGGTCTAACCAGTACTCGCCGTCGTTCGAGCCACCTTGGGGGAGGTTCGATCCCGTTGGCTCGACGGGGGTGGGATTAGACTCTTCACCGCGTTTGTACAAAAGTGCGCCGTTGTCGAAATACCATGTCACCGAAGAAGGAAGGTACTTCTCGTCCGGATGGAAGTACACTATAGGAGCGTAAGCTCGGAAAATGGCCTCAATCTGGGGTAGATTAGGCATGGAAGAGTGTAATTCGTTGGAATCATTGGCATTTTTCAAGCAAGCCAAGGAGGAAGGAAGGGCATCAGTACCGCCGATTTGCGCGGAGAAAGTGCCGACAGCAACGCCAAGGGATTGTGTCCCCCGGTTGGTTGGCCGTAGGCTATAGATGTTGAAACCTTTGGCATCATTCTCCTTGCTTGATCCCCAAATCCACGACTCCGCCTCGCACGGCTCGGTGAGATCGGCGCGGACGCATCGGATTTTGTCAAGTGCTGGCTTTTGGGGCACATCCGTGACGAGAAACCCAACGGCTTTGTAGCCATCTGGGGGAGTTGGTAGCCAGACGTACCCGTTGCTGTCTTGCTTGATTTTGAGCGATTCGCTGCTCCAAACCAGAGAGTAATCTACCGGTTTACTTAGAGCATTTCCATTGGTGGATCCGCCCTCGTTGTTGTCTTTTGCTGCCAGTGCCCATCCGAAGAGAGGCTTGTTGTTAGGCTGACTATAGCAGCCTAACATGTGGAACCCTTCCGGTATCGGCGACGGCTCAAAGAAGGTGGCTCCGAGATTGTCCGGTCCTCCTTCTTGGGTGGCCCAAACTTTGTTGAAAGTCGAAATTTGGCAAACTTGTATTCCTCCAAGATCAATCCTCCCGCTCGCAAATCCATCGCCTATAACACGAAAAAGACTGTTTATTTAGTATTCCAAAAACGATAGAAGTGTGTGTTTGCTATGTATATACATATATGCGTATATATATATACATATATGTATGTACGTATTTATATTGTTGAATACCTGGTATAGAAGTGTGTGTTTGCTATGTATATACATATATGCGTATATATATATATATACATATATGTATGTACGTATTTATATTGTTGAATACCTGGCGGCAAAGAGGGCAGTGCAGAAGGAAGCTTGAAAATAGAGTCAACGGGCAAAGGCTCCCTTTTGTTGGAGACATCTGTTGTACTTGACGAATTCCCCATGGTGAAGTAATTAGTTTTTTTCTGATTTCTGATCAAATTAGCTAGAGATAATTAATATTGTGAGGTTAACTTAAAGATTGGTCGAATATGTGAAAGGTATATATATTGGTGATTTGATATCAGAAGAAAAATATTGTAGATCAGGATAACAAGAGGGATATTCTGTCTAATATTGGGAATTAAACCAAAGAAGACGTCAAAGATATGTATGGATATTTCGTGCAAGAAAAAATAATGACATACGCTTGGGACTGATCTTAATCTATATATACACACACATCAATGTGTCACTCCCTATATATATATATATATATATAGAGAGAGAGAGAGAGAGAGAGAGGAGAGGAGGGGGTTTGTCTTTGGCAGAGGGTGCAGAGCGGAGAGAGAGAGAGAGAGAGAGAGAGAAAAAGAGGGGGAGAAGGAGAGAGAGAGAGAGAGAGAGAGAGAGAGAGAGAAGAGAGGAGGGTGTTTGTCTTTGGCAGAGGATGCTCCTTAATATATATATATATATAACATAAACAATAATTTTAGAAACGTGTCATATTAGTTTTTTAAAGATAAATTTTTTATTTGTATCTTTTTATGAAGTCATTATTGTATAAAATGTTATTTAACGTGGAGGGTGTTTGTCTTTGGCGGAGGATGCTCCTTAATATATATAACCTAAACAATAATTTTAGAAACGTGTCATATTAGTTTTTTAAGGATAAATTTTTTATTTGTATCTTTTTATAAAGTCATTATTGTATAAAATTTTATATAACGCTTTTTTTTTTTATGTTTCACATGTATGATCGGTTTTATTAATTAGGATTTAAGCCTTTCTGAATATTTAGGAAGGGATGCATCTTAGGCATTTTGACGAGTTCACATATTGCCTTTGGAGATTCCAAAGAAATATTACCATAGATTTCATCAATACGTGAAAATGAGTCATGGCATATCACTGTATAAATAATGAGAGAGAATAACTGATAATAAAATTACTTAGAACATCTCAATTAAATTAGCACTTTTTAAATAATTTGTCTCTTTTCCTAAACTCTCAACTCAAATATTAGTAAAATAAAAATAAAAAAATACAACCAAAAAATTTGAAACAGGGCAAAGGAAAGCTATTTAAGCCTTATTCGCTTTGCGGATTCAAGTTTTCAATTCGAAGTGAGATGTGACATTTTCTGAAAGCTTTTAACTGTAACAGAAAAAATTAGATGTGACATTTTTTGAGAGCTTTTAACTGTAGAAATCTAAAATTAAAAACTCGAATCGGTGAAATGAACGATGCATTAATATGCAAAGTCTAGGCAGCTGTTATTGTAAATTGACAATTTTTCTTAGATGCTGAGCTGTTGCAATTAATTTAACAACTATTAGGTAAAAGATACACCAATATGTATGAAGATTTTTTAAAAAAAAATTTTAGTTTTTATTTTATTTTTTTGCTTTTCTACCATTACTACAATTAATATTGCAAGAATTTTCTGTCGTCGGAAGTGGGACCAGTAGGAAAAAAAAAGGCCAATACTTCCTAGCTAGGCTTCTAATGTTGACTGATCTGCAACGAAAATTCTTGTTTTTCACTATTATTTCTCCTCGTTGTTCTCTTTAATTTTTTTTTTTTTTTTTTCAGAATGGGGTTCACTCAGATTTAATGAACAACCTACTTTCATTAATATATTAAAGAAAAGATAACAGCTATTTCTCTCTCAAAAAAAAAAAAAAAAAAAGAAAGAAAGGAGAGAGAGTGAGTAGTTGTCTTTATCCATATATCCAAAATATAGATACAAACTATTTCTAATCTAATATTGGTATATGTATGCCTTCCTTTAAAATAAAGTAGTTTACTAATTATTTGTAGCTTGGTATAATTGCACACCCGGACATCTACGATATTTATGAATTATGATATTAATGTCTTAAGTTTAGATAAATGGGAAATCATCGAAGATTTATGATCCTTTACAATTTTTTTTTTTTTTTCAAAATGATCTATTCCTTGTAGTTAAATCAAGCAATTTACTGAACATTTATCCGTAATTCGTACGTAAAATATATATTGCATGATATAAGATTAATATAAGTAACTTGATTCATATAATCAACATACAGCTTCATTTGCTCATCAGGAAGAGAAGAGAAAAACATGCTTCATTTCGAATGAATTTTTTTTTTTTTTTTGGAACTTGGAGATGTGGAGATTCGATCTATATTTTGCGGTGAAATCAAGTGTGTAATTACCGTTAGATTATGACTATATTAATGAATTAAACAAACAGCTTTTAACTCCTCTAGTTGCACAATGTTAATTTGGATTTAATTGTGGGACTCAATATATAAATTTCACTTAAGCATTTTTTTTTCTTTGAGGGATTAACTTAACCATGTTTAAGGAAATTAAAAGGGACTAAAGTAATTTAATGTGGTCTGGTCTTTTAGACCTCCCATTATACATTAAAGTTTTGATATAATATTAAAGGCAATGATGCAGATTAATTGGAAGACTAACTCTGCAACAACGAGTTCTCAAGTATTGCATATACTCAAATGAAAATAGTAGATCAATTATATGTACAACCCTAATTTTCTTCCAACAAATTTACTAAGCTATTGAGAAGGAGCATTTATTATTTATTATTATTATTATTATTATTTGAAAAGAGCATTTTTTATTTTGGGACCACCCTAAGTTTGAAATTGAGCATTCAAACGCCCCTCAAAAGTAAATAAATATGAAACATAAATGAAATGGAACCCACTATATAACTACTAGCCAGTAGATATTATCATTTATTTAAATGGTTTAATAATTATTTGAATGATAAAATATTCATATTGGCTATAAGGGGTTACAACTCTTATTAAGAGACGTGTTTGCATTTTATGAAAGGACATGTGCTTTGATAGAAGGCACTGATTCATTGTATATAAAATAAGATTCTAGTCATCTCTCTACCTAATTAATCGGTATCTCTTCTCTTTATAAAAAAAAATACGTCAAAAATATTACCGAGGGTTTAGAGAGAGGAACTTTGATTCTGCGTCTCTTTGAAACTCCCTGTGCAAATGATCTTCTTCAAATCAAAGCAATGAGTCAATGTGCGTTCTAATTCTAACTCTATGATAATCATGATGTTCTAAGATTACTGAGTATTATAGATTTAATGTTTTACAATATCTAGTGATGAAATCAAGTGTGCAATTACTGTTAGATTATGTATACATTAATGACCTGAACAAACAGTTTTATCTCTTTTAAATTGCACATTTTTATTTTGAATTTAATTATCGGACTAATATTTTTTAACTTTGCCATGTTTAACGAAATTAAAATAGAATAAAGTAATTTTATGTGGTTTTCTAGTTTTAAATCTCCCATACTGCATTCAATTTTGAAGTAATAATGTTCAAATTTTTTCCAAGTAATTAATGGAGAAATCAGCTCGTCTTCAATTGATTCGTTCAACAATTAGAATAACTACAAAAAAAAAAAAAGTTTAACGAAATTAAAATAGAATAAAGTAATTTTATGTGGTTTTCTAGTTTTAAATCTCCCATACTGCATTCAATTTTGAAATAATATTATTCAAATTTTTTCCAAGTAATTAATGGACAAATCAGCTTGTCTTCAATTGATTCGTTCAACAATTAGAATAACTACAAAAAAAAAAAAAAAAAAAAAAAAAAAAAAAAAAAAAAAAAAAAAAAAAAAACATTCTAACTCTAAACTTCAATATATTAAAGGCAGTGATGTGGATCTAATGGAAGATTAAATCTGCAACCACAAGTTCTCAAGTATTATATATACTCCAATGAAAATAATAGAGTAAATAATTTGTACCACCCTTCTCTTCCAATAATTTATTAAGCTAGAGATCAGTGGAAGCATTTTTATATTGGGGCCGGCCACACTAAGTTTGAAATTTAACATTCAAACGTCCCTCAAAAGTAAATAAATCTGAAACATAAATTAAGTGAAACCCACTATATAACTACTAGCTAGTACAATATTATTATATATCTGTCGATTAGTTTATTTCTTGTTCTTATCAGTCATTCTTTATTATCTGCCTTTGGTATTATATATATACACACATACATACATGTGTATATATATATATATGTATGTATATATATATATATATATATATATATATATATATAACCATTCAGACTGTACATAGGGAACAAAGATACCCTAACCCATGTGTCTTAGATCTTAAAAAGATACCATTTTTGTTTTAACAAAACCCAGAAAATTATAAGATGAAGAACAACACGAGGTTTTACCCAGGTTCGGCCAGAAACTAGCCTAAGTCATGCTGAGCTCTTTCACAAGAGATTCACTAATATTTGGAAGAAATACACCCTCAGAACCTTACAATTACAGAATAACCAGAAACTCACAACCCGAAACAAATGATAGAGAAATCGCTTTGGGCGTGTTAGAACTCGTTCCAAAATCATTTTATTTTTTATATGAAAATAAAAATAAAAATAATGAAAACATTTTCAATCTCAGACAGAATTCATTTTTGAAAATATGTTCGGTAGTTTTATCAAGAGATTATTTTCAATATAAAAAAAATCTATTAATGTCTCTCTCTGCTCGAGAGAGGAGAAAACGAAAATAAAAAATGAAAAACGACTAAAAGTTATTTTTTATTTCTCTCTCATTTTACACTAAACGAAAAAATCGTTTTCATTTCTGTTTTTTGTCTTTATTGCTCCAAACACCGTTTTAGAAACGTTTTCATTTTTTCTTTCTCGAAAAACATGAAAAATAAAAACGGGATCAATTTCAAACACGGCCAAATGTTTCCCAAAGAAAATTCCCAGTAGGTGCTCAAGACTTCCACATGTCTTCTTCTGATTCGACACCCTTTTCTGAAGTAGTCCAAAACGATGTGTTTTGCCTGGAAGTCAGATTGAGTCCCAATGACTTGTCGTAAGTCTCTGAGTGTGTCGTTTCTTCCAACTGAATGTTTATTACTAGAATTACTTCAATAATATATATGTTTTGAAGAAAGCGATGTGACAATAATAAAAGATTAAGTTGCTGTACTAAACGTGCCCTATTATTGATGCTGTTCCCATTTGTGCGTGAAGCATAGTTGAATGTTGAATAACCAATTTAATCATTTAAGACATGCTTAAATGATGCATGTTAATGTAAATTAACGAGTTACAAATATAACAAAACTCCCTATAAAGATGAAAAAGATGGAATATTGCTTATTTGATAAAACTAATTCCATAGTCAAGAATGCCACACATGAGTTTTTCTCTCTTTAGACCTTCCGCATCCTCTTACATATATATATATATATATATATATATACACACACACACACACACGCACACGCACACGCAAATTAATTGTATTAGTGCTCGTACGTCAATACATTTTATATTTATACATATAATATATTTATATATGTATATTTACATATAATAAAATGTATATTTTATACATATCATGAATAATATTATATTGAAAATATATTATATATAATTAATATCTGTCTTTTTAAGACACCTTCAACTTGGCAGGGATCAACCAGATACGCTTACAGCTTGTATATTCGGGACAGGTAACACGAAATCCAATCTAATAATATAAAACGATTGGTCTTCGTTTTCCAACTAAGAATGCCAAAAAAAAAAAAAAAGAATTAAAAAAACTTAAGAAGTAGATAAGATGCTTATAGTAACCAGAGAATTATTTCATTAATATGAGAGCGATAAGCAATGGGAAATTAAAAAAACATTTACGCGTCTTACGTTGTCCCACAAATATGAATTGTTTGGTATTTTAGGCTTTATTCGGTAAAAATTAGGAAGTGAGAAAATGACTATAATTTAGGTGAGGAAACTGAAGAAGATGAAAGAGAGATATCTGGCCTTTGTTTTACCTAAGTGCACTTGATTCCTTTTCTGTCTCATTTTGACATGAAATTGGGGAATGTAGTATATAACATATTTTTGAAACTAAATTAATTAAATAATAGATTTTTAAATTATTTAAAATAAATAGTAATTTACGTATTAAATGAATCATTTACTGCGTAATGGTTTACTTATGCTTAGTAAAAAAAAAAAATTTCACTTCAATTTTCTTTTTACGACTAGTAAAAAGAATTTTTTCTATGTAAATAAAGATTTTTTATCCGTCATAAATGAATCATTTACACAGTAAATGATTCATTTACCGTGTAAACTGTTATTTACTTCAAATAGTTATAAATTTTGTTATTTACTTAATTTAGTTTTAAAAATATGTGTTTACTACAATTTCTCTAGGGGGCGTTTGGTATGCGGAAATCAGTAGGAATCATATTCCTAAGAAAGTGATAGAGGATAATATAATTCCTAGGAATAATACATTACTGTGTTTGGTTGTTCACATGGAAGAAGATCCATAATAATAATATTAATAAAAAAATAAATAATAATAATAATAATATTATTATTATTATTACTATATTATTATTATTACTATTATTATTATTACTACTATTATTATTATTATTATAATTGTTATAATTATAATAATTATAATGATTATTATTATTATTATTATTATTATTACTATTATTATTATTATTATTATTATTATGATAATAATTATAATAATAATAATAATTATTATTATTATTATTATTATTATTACTATTATTATTATTATTATTACTATTATTATTATTATTATGAGATTCCCATGATTTTGAAATTTCTGAGAATTTGAATAACACCATATTTGGTGAGTTTAGGATTACCCCAAAATGTAGTAATGTGAAACTCATAGGCTTCACTTTCCTGGGTTTTAAAAAAATCTAATAATTGTACCAAACATGGGAATCTGAAATATTCTCATTCCCACCCCTATGATTACCCCATACCAAACAATGAGGGAAAGTGAATCCCATGGTAATCACTTTCCTGGGAATCTAAATATTATAGTTCTTGTACCAAACATGGTAATATTGCAGATTCTCATTCTCATTCTTAAGATTACTGCATACCAAACGTCCCTAAGAGATATTGCAACGGAAGGAACGATGTGGAAAGAATTAGTTTGGGTAGTAGCATAGCAATTTTTTAAAGTGTTCAGACAATATTGGTGCGAATAATCCTTTTAAAATTGATTTTTTTGTATAGGGGGAGGGAATTGGGGGAACTTATAATGAGATAACTCATTATTGACTGAAAACTAAAAACTCATTTATTATGTATTTTTGATATAAAAAAGATTGATGTAAATTACCATGGTATCCCTAACATTACCTCTATATATTATAACTAATGGATCCTTATCCTTTCGTTTTGTATGGCTTACATAATCAAATCTTATACGATTGATCTTATCCCAAATGAAGAAAAAAAAAAAAAAAACTGTTATTGACTTAATTTATCTATATAATTGATCATATATAGAAAAGAAAATTATGCGCAAGGACATGTTTCCTATCTATATGGCTAGACAAATGATTACCTGCTCGCTAAACCTTCTTCTTTTATTAATTATTAATTATTATTATTATTATTATTATAATTATTAAACAATCATTCTCCAGAGCTTTGATGCAATATCCCTGGGATGGAATAGCAATATATGTTCAAAGACTATATTTTAGTTATTGTTTTGCAACTGTTTTATAATAATTTAGAATAAATTATCCTCAATTTCATCACTCAAGGATTTAAAAAAAAATGATTCAAAGGTTTTTTTTTTTTTTTTTTTTGGTAACTTATAGATTTACGAGATCAATAATTTTGAAGTTATACCAACTAATAATAACTTCACCGTAGCTCGCTTTTGACGAAAATACAGAAAGATAATTAAGTTTGAGACGCCAATCAAACGCTAACAGCCTAATATCCAATCATACTTGTTTAGGAAAATATGTTTGACTTATTTTGGGCCTCTATTAATATATATTGAAAATGAGACAAATACCCTTTAATTTGATTGAAATTTTACCTCTTACTCTTAATTATTATCCTTTTTAGTTAAATAAATATTAGTCAAAAAATATTAATAAAAAATAAGAGGTAAAAATCTAGACTCGTGCGCTTTAAATGTAAATTCAGCAATCTCATATATATATATATATATATATATAATTTTTCTTGAATGAGGGAAATAGACCAAACTAAAATAGTAATAAAAATTGATAGGCAAATGTCTAGTAAATTAGCCCCAACTTAAATTAAATATGTTCATACCTTGCATTTGTTGGTTTTAATAATGCAAAAAATTTGTAAAATGCAGCGTGATGGATATTGTTATTATTATTTTTTAATAACTTTTTGCGCTCATGATGCTACCAATTGACACAGAACATAAGAAAGAAAGAAGAATAGGGAGGGAAATGTAAGAGAAATTAGAGAAAGGAGAATGAGTTTAGAATTTAGCAAAGGAAGAAAACAAACAATAGAGAGGAATATGAATATTCAATATATATCCTTAGTCAAATCTGAAAAACAATGACAATTTCTAGCCCTATTTATAGGGAAAAAATAATTAAAAAAAGGAAATAAACAAATAAAGGGAACGTTTTGGCAAACTTATTCAAACTATAGTAAAATATATATAACTCAAGTACTAAACCATTGGTGGAAATTGGTATTTTATTCAAGTAGAAATATTGCTAGTTCACCACCATTAGTAAATAAATGATACAACACCCAATAATTATTTATGAACAAGATTAGCAGATACTGAAAGAAAAAAATAAACTCACATCCACATCCTCTTGCAGGTATAGTCAAAGACAACTTGAAAAAGACTTCTAGGTGCTTTCTCTTCTGGCAACTTGAGAAGCCTGGCAACTCTTGAGAACCCTACATGGTGCTTCAGCAACAAAATCTCATCGATTTCTGGTCTCACCGCCGGCTGCTCAGACGGTTTCGGTCTAGTTAGCGCCCACTGCATTGCCCATATGGCTAAAGGACGCATGTATGCCAAAGATCTATATTCGTCGTCCGAGTTCCAAGCTTCCGGAGTTTGAAAAGAGTAACTGTTGAGATGATGGAGAACAAGAGGTTAGGAAGCTAGAGAAGTAAATACGTCTAACAACTAGAAGTCCATAAGGCCTCGTTCAGTTCTTTGATTCGAGTTTTTAATTTGAACTGAGATGTGATTTTATATGAGAGTTTTTTACTGTAGCAGAAAAAGTTAGATGTGACTTTTTGTGAGAGCTTTTAACTATTGCAAAATTGAAATTGAAAATTTGAATCGGTGAAATGAACGAGGCAGTTCACAGTTTGAACCATAATATAAACTTTTTTGCTGTAGTGTTTTCTCTTATTATTTAAATTTCTGTTCAAACTTGTGAACTTAGAAGTTAAATATTAATTAGCTCTCTCACCCAAGTCCTTCCTCCGACCATGCAGTTTCATAGTTTCCAGCCGCGGTCTTAAATGCAACGTCAATCATATCTTCCTGGATCATCGTCGCGGCAAGAGCGTATGTGACACCGGACCATATTTCTCTCGATTGCATTGCTGTCGTGTCAATCCTTCCATCGGGTAGCATCCCGTTAACTGCCCCTCGTCTCCCATCCTTGACCTTTAAGACATTGTAATTGTAGATTTTCTCCAGTGCACTAATTGCCTTCTTTTGATCAACAATTGGTGAAAGGCCACATGCTATGGAATACCTACAAAGTATAAATCCTATTTAAGTTGCATATTTAGCAATGTAAGCTGTTATTCAATCTTGTTCCATTTGTAGAATTTGCACATCTTAGATGTCATGGCAATCATATGATACATGTGTGAATTATCATTCAAAATGCGTTAATTACGAATGGACGGAGAACTAAAAATCAAAGAAAAATTTTCCTTGTTATAACCAAAGAATATAATTTCAAGAACCAACCTGTGATAAGTCAATAAATGCATACGTAAAACGACAGAGGAAAATTTGCAAAGCACAAACCAATCGTCGTATAAAATCTTTTCTTCTAATATGTTGTGCTCTGTGTGTGTTTGAGTGTACAATGAAAATCTGTAAATGGCTCTGAGTATGTGATATATTTAAAGACATCTGAAGAAGTTACTTCAATCATACCATTGTCCAGCAAGCTGATCTGCTTGAATCGACGAACACGAACTTTGACCACTGCTGTCGTAGTCGAAGTAAGATCCGTTCCATAATTTCTGATAAACCGCTTTTGCTTTCTGAAACTTGAACCAAAAATAATCCTCGGAACCTCTATCACCGACTTCACGAGCCAGGGCAGCTGTAGCCTGCAATGCTGCCACCCACAGTCCACCACAATATGCGCTCACACCAGAGACCGACCATGTATCGTAGGTCTGATCAGGGAAGCCTTCATTCTCAATCATCCCATCACCATCCTTATCAAACTGGTCCATGTACGCCATTGCAACATAAACCGACGGCCAAACAGCTTGAGCAAACTTCTTATCGCCGGTGGCAACCACGTCTCTATAAATTTGGAGAACAAATTTAGGATTCAAGTCCTTCCACCTATCCGTGTCGTATAAGTTGTATGCATTCACTTCGAACCAAGGGTCATTGTTTCCGATGTCATGAGGAATCGCTCCAAGAACCTTTCTCGGACCCCAACTTCCGTCATGTAGAAGTTTCATCCTGCTCGGGTCATGCATCATTACTGCTGCGGCAAAGTCTCTCTGGACACTGAGCTCAAGTTTCGGAAATAGCATAACTAGTGCAAACGATGAGTAGAAATGGACATCATAGGTGTTCCACATCTGATATTCGACTCCTTCGAAATAAAGGAATTGACCTATGTTCTCATCTCCCTTTTGAAGCAGACTTGTTCCACATGCAGATTTTGATGAGGCTGGAGCTTGTATCTGCTCGAGTACCGAAGTCATCCTTTCAAGAATGTCGATTGCAGTGTCACTTTGATCAGATGAATCGATAATACTTTTCAAACCCAATGATGATCTATCAAGAGAAAACTTCCTTCCTCCAATGCTTGCTACACTATGCAGCGGTGGCGATCCATCTGCAAATGATAAATATGAAAGCTTAAGGAATGGATCCACCAATAAAACTAGGTAAGTTTCTCAACAATGGTCTCCAATGTCAAGAACTACCTGTCCAAACTGTTCCTCCTGAATTGAGATAATACAGCTCATTGAAAAGAGTAACCGCGTACCTGCACACGAAAATTAGTTAAGAATGCGACTCACATGTAAGACCAAAATATGTATTCAACCCACTGAGATTTTGAAATTTTGATTTTATCCCTGAAAGTGTTTTAAAATATTCTTTATGCACCACTTTCCTTGGTCCACCATTGTTTAACTCACCATTCTGGAAGCCTCTTGTCTTCAAGAATGGGTCTTTGCCATGCCTCAATCTGGGACTCCCAATGCCGATGCTCTATATTCAAGAAAGAACAAAAGATAACAGAAGAATATTAAGTTTATTGGAGAATAGATTAACTGAAGTAGTCACTACCTATACTTTTGTTAGTAGCATAGAAAAATAGTAAACCCAAGCTTCTTATGGATTAGGTGAAAACACAAAGAAGACAATGACCCCACTTGTCTACTATATCATAAGGACCATTCTGAACATCATTTCAGTCTCAAATTATTTTTCCACCATTTGTCAAAAAAAATTTAATTAAAAAAAATATATGTGCTCTTAAAAGTTGTCAATATAAAACTTCACAGAATCAAAGATTACCCAGAATAGCATCGCGCGCAATATCTGCAGCAGCATCCCCATGAATACCGTAGAACTTAGTGTAGCGCCTGTACATACGAAAATTTTAGCTAATCGAAATATTTGTTCAACTAGTCATATTTCACATACAAGTTTTTGTTCACCCACTTGTAATAAGTCTTTCCACTAGAAAATCTTAATTCGGGGCAATCCCATGCCAACGAAAATGTAACGGTGCGTGTTGCATCCGAGGGAATTGTCACAGAAGCAGCGATAGCCGCCCCAATAGATGATCCTGGTTCTGAAGGCTCTGACATTTCGGAAGTACTCAAACGATCAAAAGATCCGTGCTATCAGAGAAGAAGAAGAGTAAACTGTTCAGAGAAGAATAGAACCAAACGTAAAAAAAAAAAAAAAAAAGGGGTAAACTGTTCAGAGAAGAATAGAACCAAACGTAAAAAAAAAAAAAAAAAGGTGCCAAAACAACAAGGAGACAATGTACCAAAGAAAAAGAGCTAGGAAGAAATATTTTGTGTGCATTGGTGAGAACTGCAAAGAAAATATCATTGTCAAGAAACTATGCTATGTATCACTATTGGTGATCTACATACTTGAGCTCTTTATAAACTATGGATTCCTCTACTAGAGAAAAACGGTAAAAGTAAACCTACCGCTTTTATCTCATACCACATTTCTTTTGCAGTGATACCCTTTGAGTTACCGGCTATCACAAAACGGGGGCATTCTGACACATGAATGCCATCAGTCTGCTCCGCCGCTATAGCAAAAGTCAATGGGGGCAGTCCGTTCGCTGTCCTGTGTTGGTGCATTATTTGCACTAATTAGAAAATCAGAACACTCAAAAAAACTTAATAATTAAACTGATCAAACCAACCAAGAATCTAGTTTTAATCTAGTTCAAAAGAGGAACTTGCTTGTGATGTAGAAGTACACCATGCACTCTGTCCTTCACCCTAGAAAAGTAAAGAAAGTTGCTAGTTAGAATAGAATAAGGATATGCTAGAAAGATCAGTTCTCATAAGATAACACATATGCATGCTTTGCAAAAATAGATAACATCATTCAAACGAATCAAATGTGGAAAATCTTCTTACCCCGTTTTCGAATTGGAGTGATGACCAGAAAATTCGGAAAGCCCTCCAACAGAATTCTGAATTTCCAAGGAAAACCATTTTGCATGAGTTCTAGTGGCTGAAAATGTAACTTTCTTTCTTTTCTTTTTTTTTTTTTTTTTTAAAAAGGCCCTCTAATGAGCGGTTTTGTTGCAGAATTAATATCATTTTTTGGAATACTTACTAGCCAAAAGTATCTTCTAATGACAAAAATACTAATTACTTTTGTAATGGCAATTGGAATGATACTCCTATTTAATCAATATGTATGTTACGCCAGATGTTCTGTGAGTGTATGAAAAATATAACAAAAGCAACGTGAAATATATAACAAAAGAAAAAATGTATTATGGTAGAACTTACAGCCCATGTAAAAAGCAGGGTAACATCTGCAGCAGTCTGTCCAGAATTGTATAGCTGAAAGGAAGAATAAAAATAAACCTTACTACAGAATCTGTTCTGTGTTAGATTTCCAGCAAACAAGCTTCTGATATATGTGTGTGTCTATATATATATATATATATATATATATATATACATATATATATATATATGAATATATAAGGGAAAGCTTCTAATAGAATTGTGCCTACCGTAAAAGTAAAAACTGAGACAGGAAAGCTGCTCTCCTTATAATTATGGGGAATAAAAGGAGAAATTTGACGGCAAACAATTCTAAGTTTTGGGTCAGGTTCACCTTCATTTTCAAAAATAAATAAATAAATAAATAATAAAAAAAACACCATATAAGAGAAAGGCATTCAAGATGAAAACAAGTATAGTAAGCTCCAAGGTAAATACCATATAAGTAAATTACCCTCATAAACAGTCCATGATCTTGGGAACAAAGCATGATATGTAGAACTATGTCCATCGAGATTCCAGTCCCAAGATCCGATCCCGGAAACTTCGGTTTCTCTAATTATGTACATTCGTCAACATGTCATTAGTAGGTTCTCTAAAATATTCACAATCACTTGCAAGGAGTATAATCTCTTGTAGACATATAGACATAAGCTTTGCAGTAAGTAGTTGTTGCTTACTTGACAATCTCCGGGCTCCTTGGGCACAGGACAGTAGAATACTTTTCACCGTTAGGACGCGAAACAAAAGCCTGCATGAAGCCGTCGGAAACGATTCAAGTCTAATAACAGAAACAATGTCCTTATAAAAAGGAAGTTAAAGAAAGAAAGGAAAAAAAATCGAAGTAATGACTAATTAATAGAAAAAAAAAATCATCATCAATAGTGAGCTTTTCCAATTAGATGAGGCATATGGTTGAGAATGTGCGTGTGTATACATCGATCCCGAACACGAACAATGTACTTACAGAAAATTGATTTGCTAAAACGGGTTTGTCTTCACACATTCTCGGAAATAGTTGCCAACGCTTAAATTCGCCTTTGTAACTTCTACCGATGCTTCCTGCACTGAAGGTTGATTTTTTCAACGATTGAGAAGAGTTTTCCAATATACATAAAGATGAAAAGAACTATATGTATTCAGTAACATTGAAGATGAAGTTTGAGAACAAACATATAGAAAGGCAACATATATGTGTATGATATGTAATGTGGCATCATTAAAAAAAAAAAAAAAAAAAAAAATCTTATAAAGGTCAGGACTTACCCGATACCGCCTAGAGGAACGCCATGATTAGATGTTACATGACGCTTAGAAAATGGATTCATTAGAGCCCCCTTAACAAAGAACAAAGAGACACAGAATTGGCATTAGGGCCTTAAATCTGGTAAATTGCTTTCAGTAACTAAGTACACCAAAAGCAAGAAGATTACCCTTCCCTTTGCAGCTTCTTCTTGAACATGACGCCATAGACGAAAACCTATTGGAGCCTATAAAACAAAAAGGGAAATTGTCTAGCCTTCATGAAACAAGTGCTCACTGAATAACTAGAAACTGTAACTCATGATATTCAAAGAACAACTTTACATAATCGTATCGATCAAAAGGATGAGTCTCAATCAAATAATATTAGGATAAGTAAAACGGATAATACAAGTAGAGGGGTCGATTGAGATTTTAAAATTGTGAAAAGATACTTTTCTTGTGCAGAAGACTTGTCATATGATATAGCTAGAGGAAAAAAAAAAAAAAATATATATATATATATACATATATCGAACTATGCACTGGATTACTTTCCTCTTTTTATGATCAAAATCATAGGATACAACTGAGAAAAAGCTCCTTTTACTTAACTATATCTGCTATCAAAAGGTCTTAACAAGTTAATTTGAAGTAGGTGTAGTTTGTAATAAATTATAAAGATAAATATCAGTTCATAAATATCAGAACTGATAACATAAACAAACAAACACAAGTTGACAAGATAATCACAGAGCCCGAATTATCTAATCTCTTGTTCATCATCATAACCATGTTTAGATCTTCATTTCAAAGTTATTCAAGCTCACAAGTGTTATTTACTAAAGCAGTCTCAACAACATTTTTTTTATCAATGACAATATTATACCAAATAAAAAATCCTCACATCTACATTACTTTTTTTTTTGACACATTACTCACATCTATATTATTAAACATACCAAATGAATTACTTCCTTCAAAGATATAGAGAACGACACAGGGGTATTTCCCTCGCCGTTTAATTTTCTCTGCCATGTTAGCAATGCAGGTATCCCAGGATCAACCTTGAAAATATATAAAAGAATCATATATCAGAAGAAAAAAAAATCAAAAGGCCTTATATCAAATTTCACAATTGAAATCATATTTTAAATGATTGTTTAGCAAAGAGTGCCTAAGGTTAATTCTTATGCTTCATTTAATTTAACAAGCAAACTAATGGTCCATTTGGTTCATAGATTTGAGTTGAAATGTAAATTTTTATGAGAGAAAATACTAAATGAAGAGACCAATTCATCATATGCAGGGGCAGAGCCACCCGCAGACGAGGGTGGGCAGCCGCCCACCCCCACCCCCCCCACATCTGAACCTTTTTTAAAAAAATTTGTATTTTGTACCAGCCCCACCAAATTTTACATTTCTTTATTCGTTCCACCCCATCCCCGAACTAATCGTTCTAGCTCCGGCCCCGATCATCTGGTAAAGTTTATTTCATTCACAAGTCCAAGGATAGATCAACAGAGTTACAATTCAAAAATATCCTCAAGACATCTCAAATGCTACTTATATTCCTAGCCAAAAATCAATAGTGACAAAACTAGATTTTTGTTACAAGTAGAAAACATAAAAGGAACTGAGGGTATTTGCTTATCCAATGTAGATGAAAAAAAAAAAGACATTATCCCAATAGATAAACAAGTATAGGGCTTACCTGATTGATGGAAGAATTTGAAAATTCTTCATCTCCTTCGGTGAAACCGTTGTCCAGCTTCTCCCCCTCGCACATATTTTGCTACCTTGAACAAAAGCATAAATAAAGATTCTATATCAAACTCTTCATAATACACTTATTTGGCTATGAAGTAGTCATAAGAAAACAGCATTGACTAAAATGATATGTTTAAATCTAGAAAACAAAGAGACACAATCATAATCTAGACTACAAATTTATAAATAATGATTGACAAACCGAACCGTTTCAGTTGAAACACATTAGATCACCCCCATAACAGAGAAAATATGTCATGCATGTTTATAAATTGATATATATCAACCAAAAAAAAAACAAAACAAAACAAAACAAAAAGGAAAGAAAGAAAGAAATGGGCAAGTGAAATTTCGACCCAAAAAAAAAAAAAAAAAAAAAAGAAAAAACATGAACTTGGATCAAAACAGAGGAAAGAAAAAAGGTGATTTATTATTAGCTTTTTTAGTTCAATATTCCTCCACAACAAAAACAAAAGAATCCATGAAAGTTTAATTGAAAAAAAAAAAGAAGGCATAGAGAAACCTGGAGAGATACAATTATGGCACTGAGAGGGGACGCAGAGAGAAAGTTGAAACAAGATGAAAGAGATAGGAAATTAGACGGTTTTGAGAAGCCATATAGTGTTGGCATTGTATATTTGGATTTGTCCAATTTTTGAGCGTTTGTACTAGTTGACATAAATAACAGATCTAATGAAGTTACTATTTAACTATATTGTGGGTCCCACTCTCTTTCTAAATTCTAACCTCCAATATTTGTTTTTAGTAACAGTTTTTGACTGGGAATAATAACGTTGGAATTCCCAAAAACGAAAAAAAAAAAAAAAAAAACAGTCCATCATTGGAATATTCCTCAAATAAAGTGTGGGCCTGAAATAAAGGAGATGAAAATATAGCATGGCATATACGGTTAAAGATTTATAATTAAAAAAAAAACACTTATCTAACCTCCAGAAAAATATCTAACAAGAAAAATATTTAAGGCACCACTAATACTAAACACTTTAATCTACTACTAATGAAAGGTATGATACTATTTGTATATCTTATTATGGGATTCATCTTTTATCAGTGAATGGGTCTAATAATATTGTTCTAAAATCCAATAATTTAATGATCATCCCATAAAAATGTCTTGTTATGTGAGATGGATATGAAGTTGCTCCAAAATTCATTGTCTAGAAATATTCTAATCACATTTGGTTTGAGGAGATTTCTCTTTCTGCCTCTCTGAAATGTTAAAAAAATGGGGATATTTCGCTAACTGAATGAGTTTTCTCAATTTCAATTAAAAACGGAAATTAGGTGATAGTGTTAAATAATAATAATAATAATAAAATCTCCTACTGAGAAATTTTGAGTTGTTAGAACTCTATTAAATTATGTTAAATTGTTACATTTTTTAAATTGAATATATTATGTAATTTGATGGTATAGAGTTGTATCTTACTATATTTTACTACAGCATTTTTATGAATACACTTTTTTTTTTTAAATCCTTAAAAGTAACAAAAAGTTCAACTTTCTATGGAGACATGATACGCATGAATCATGTATCCTCAAGTCAACAAGCTGGCCTGAGTGAATACCATGCTACATCTTTTTATTTTCTTTTGAGATGGGTACCAAACTAATAAGACAAATAGGATATTGCTACAACTCAAATTGAAAAATGACATAAACAAATAAGTCTATTATAAGAAGATCAAAAATCAAACACAAAAGGACATAACAATCCTCATTATCAACCATGTTAATGAAAGTTAAAATATAGTACTTGAATAAATAATACACCTTTAATGGTGGGTGAAAAGGGGCATAAAATCAAAATATATAATCAAACAATATAATAGTGTTTAATAAATTAAGCAATAAATAATTATTATTTTAACAATTTTTTTATATTTTAGCCAGATGCCTAAGGTTTCTTAGTACCTAACTCTCCTATTCATTATAGTACTTGTTATTATTACATACTCACTATTATATTATTTTATTACCATATAAATTGATGTAGGAGGATTTAGCTATATTAGTCATTATTTTTAAGTGCGTTATTGTTTGCCTTAGTTTATCAACTTAACTTTAATTATGTTATTTGTTTATCATTATTTATCTAATATTTCATTTGCCATAGTATTTTCCTCTTCAATTTTGGGGGTTTTCCCCTCTTGTCAAGGAGGCTTTGTCGTGACTATCCCATTCCGTTGCATCATAAATACTTCATCATAATCATCATCATTCTTACAAAAGAGTCATAAACTCATAGCTTTACAGATCATAATTATAATTATTATAATTACATAATGATTATCATAACGGTTATTGTAACTATTGTAGAGAGAGAAAGCGGAGCAGAGCCTCACGAACGGGTGGAGAGAAGAAGCCAAACAGGAAAACAAAAGGGAAAAACAAAGGAGGGCAAAATTGGAAAAAAGGAAAAGGGTTAACGTGCGAATTTCAAATCAAAAGATGTGTAAAAAATGCTATTCCCTGCATTTTCCCCACGAATAATAGATTTTTTTTTAAAGCCCATTTATTTCATACGTTTAAACAATTGATTCTTGTTCTTTTTGCTCATGAATAATTGATGTTGTGGTACTAAAGTAGTAAAAGTAGATAATAATAATAATAATAAAAAGATCACAAATACCATCAAGCAAAACCATCATTATCTAAAATTAGAAAAACAAACCAAGAATAAGAATACTTATTGAAGCTAAAACCCTTTACAATCAGTTTTTTCTTTAACACAAAATTGATATTCACCACGCGTTACTCAGTTTCTTCTTGCAAGCTTCTTATGTTCCATGAAATGGTGCAGGAGATCGCATAGGCCAGCCGAGGAGCGGAGGTGATCCCGGGGGAGTCGCATCCCGACTGGGAGAGAAGAGGCTCAATTCCACAAAGTTCCCCCTTGAAGAGCCTTCCTTCTCCAAAGTTCGAAAAGAAATCGATCCCCGCTTTGTGGATGTATCGGAATTCCTCCCAGGACTAATTGCAGCACTTTCTTCAAGATGGCTTTGGTTAGCAATAAGGGAAATTGTGTCATTTTGATCATCACTAATTATTCTCCTAGCCTCCAAATCATGTAAACTCCCCAGGGCTAAAGAATCCGCCACTGGGCAGTAAACAAGCATGCATATACACACCCCAGCACAACATAGAAGAGCAAGAAAAGCCGAGAAAGAAAGAGCTTCAAACTGCAAATGCTCTGGTTCAGATAAAACAGAGAAACCAAGTAAGAGAACTCTCAACGGAAAGAAACTCGAAACCGATATTATCAATGTGTAAACTCTCTTCTGCAGACCCTTATTGATGACCAATTTCAAAATCCGCCTTCCCAGCCAAAACAAGTAGAAAGTTAGGAAAGTGGCAAAAATTCCATGAAGGATGGTGCTCATTAAAGGGTAAGTGCAGAGAGCAATATCATTAGTCTTTTTCGCTGTACTTGTAAAGTAATGCTGCATTTTATGTAAACTCTCATTCTTGCTCAACTGGGGTCCAATTAAGATAAGAAACAGCTGAAGAACAAAGAGTGGGAGGCAATAGAGAAAAATGCAGGCTGCTGTTTTCCCATTCCATGTTCGACTAAGAATTCCTGATTCCATCTTCTGTAAGGGCGCACGCAATAGAAATACCAGAGTTAGGAAGAGGCAAGGTTCTGCAAATCCTAGGTTCGACACAATGTAGCATTTGCAGACAGTTTCCTGCCATTTCAAGTTACCGTTCAACAACCTTCCCTCGCCTCTTAACCAAGATATACGGATGATTTCACCAAAACCCCACCAGATTGCAAACAAGATAAAAGTGATCCTGATGATCCAAGGACCACTAAAGTAACTGAGTAGAACAAGGCCTTGACTACGAATACGAGAGCGGAAGTAAAATGAGTAGGCGATGCACAGTAGACCTAGAAGAATCAAGAGAGCAACTAGACATATTGTCAACACACCGAATGCGTCGGCAGCAAATCTCGTCAGGGGCATTACCCGAAGCACAGATTCCACGCATGCTCTCTACCAGCATGGATACGAAAGGTCCTCTTGTAGCCAAAATGCTTCCTGGCCAGAATCAACAAGAGTTACAGAGGAAGACTTCAGTATAATACTGGAAGATGCTCATTGAAATCAGATTAATAATCCGTCACTCAGGCTTCCATTTCAGTAACGTTCTGGCTGCAACCATGTGCACCAATCATTTAACTCTGGCTGTGCTAGATTATGTGATCCAAACACCTGATGCAGATTAGAAACATCATAAGCAATTGATGATTAGAAGGACGTGAACAAACACATTATGTGTGACATGTTATTTTGGTGAGGACGATTATAGCGCATCAGTTGTTCAGTATTGCAACAGCAGAAGTAATCTAACTACTTTTCTTTTTCATTATGAAAAGGATGCTCGCAATACACAAAAAGCCAACATATGTAACCTCCATAGAATCATTAAGATAAAAGAGTAAAACAGAAAATATAACCTGAAAAAGAATAGTAAAATGTTACAGTTCCATAACATTCAATAGGAAGACAGAGAAGTTGAGTAATCACGAGTTCAGGACAACCACATTCCGTCAAATTTTGAAACGAGTAACATAACTTCACCAATGATTTACAATAAACATGCTCAAAAGCAAACCAAATTGAACTAAAAAATATTAGCACAGAACTTAAGAATACTTACAAAGAGGAAACTTTACGTGCCTAAGAAACTGAGACCAAAGGAAACAGGACAAAATGAAGTTAACAACTGACCGACTTATGAACAAAATTTAGAAAATATACCACGCCTGAAAATACGCCAACACCATTTTCTTATTCTCAAATTTCTCCACCATACAACAAAATAAACCACAAAAAAAAGGCATAATACGTTTCCCAGATTGACATGGGGGCAACAATAAGCTAAAGTTTTGAAGCAAATAAGCTAGCTCGCCAAGAGACGGGACTGGGGGAATATACAGCAACTAAACAAACTTCAATGGCATTGCACAACACTGATGTGCATATCAAATTCCTCTCGCATGCATAGTAATTTTTAATCACTTTCCACATAACAAACACCACATTTGCATTTTTGTTATTATTTTTAAAAAATAAATTTCACCAAATGATTTTTGAAACACCCAATTGGATCTGCATATAAAATATATCTAGAAAGTGGACTGGGAGAAAAAGTTATAATTTTTCTAACTGTTATTGTGAAATAGAATGCAACCAACATCTCTCTCCTTAGTGAACAATGAGATTTTATTCCACTTCTCAGATTAAAAAAAAAAAAGACAAATAAACGATAACCTCATTCGAGCCAATAAATCTAATTTTCTCTGATTTCTACGACAAGATTCCTAAATCCAGTCCATTCGAAATTACATTGCACCAACAAAAATTACAAAACTTTGCACTAATCAATGCTACAAATCTAAAACAATACAGATTAAACCAACATTAATCATATCAAAAGACAATCTGAACGCAAAAAAATTCAAGGAAACGCATTACAGTAAAGCTTTTAACAAAAAGAACACAAAATGGAAAAAATTGGCGGTGAAAACAGAACCAAATCAAGAGAAACGAAGATCAACCGAGTACTTACAGAGGCGATAATCTTGATCTGATGAGGTCCGACCGGCAATCCGAATATCGCAGGAGGAGATCAGGAAACCCTAACGAGCACAGACAGAGAGAGATAGAGAGCACAGAGAGAGAGAGAAAGAGAAACGGAGAGAGAGAGAGAGAGAGCGCGAAGAAAGAGAGAGGGAGAGAGAACGTAGTTAGGGGAATAGGTGAGTGGAACTTTGTTGGTGACAGGCTGTCTCCAGCTGTGTCCGCCGAGGCAACAGCTTCGGAAACTGAAACAGCTTGGCTCGGACTAATACCGAGCCTATGTGGCAATGTCGTGGCGGCGTTTCTTGTCAATTTACCTCTTTGGCTCCTTTTTATTTTTTTTTTATTTTTTTTTTTTTGCCCCTTTCCTTAGGAGCGTGGTGGGGTGTTTGGCTCAAAGATTCTCCGAACATGGAGAGGTCTATGAGTTATACTTTTACCAAAAAAAAAAAAAAATTTAATAATAAAAATAAAATAAAAAACAAAAAAATTCTTTTTTGAGGCTAAAAAATACAAAAGTTTGGGCATTTAACTTTAAGATTAATTGTATGTATAACTGTATTTTTTAGTTTAAAGTTTTATTCAATTTATCACTGTAATTTTTACAACTATAAATAAGTGATTTAAATTTTAAAAATTGTTTCAATTTGTTTTTATATCTTGTGCCAAAAAAAAAAATTGTGGTCCCTCAAAAAAAAAAAAACTTGAGTGGGAAGACAAAATATCCTTACATAATTTTTGCAAATGTTTTTGAACAAGTCAAACACAGAAAAATCTGAAATTTATGTCTTTTTAAAATCTTTAAAATTTTCATAAATTGTTTTATAAAACATTTAAAAATTAATCTAATTTCTGGTATTTTGTCTTTTTATTTTTTTATAAAGTTCTAAGAGACAACTTAAGTTTTTTAAACTAAAAGGACGTATTTAATTTTTAAAAACAAAAGGATCAATTACGAGAAAATTAAAACTAAGCAGTTTATTTATGTAATTACCCTTTTTACTTTTGTCTCAACCCACCATGACCATTATTTTCTTATTGAGTTATATTTTCAGCAAATAAATTAAAAAATAAAATTCGGCAAAAAGATATGAAAAGATGCACCATCAAAAGAACAAGTTTATTTATTAAACATCATACTATACCAAAATCATATCAAGATTAATAAACGTATGATAATTTAATAAAACATTAATAATTTGAAATGGTGTTCTGTCAGTGAATGTTTTTTTTACACCTCACTCATTGTCTAGCTCTCATTAGTATCCTTGAAGAAGGAAAAAAAAAATGTCAGATGCTGATTGGTTTACTTTCTTTTATTTTTTATTTTTTATTTTTACTTTATTTTTGGTTTTTTAGGAACTTTTCCCTTTCTTTTTTGGATATTTTTATTTTTATTTTTTTCTCTTTCTTTTTCGTTTCTCGTCTTTTTTGAAACCCAAATTTAGATTTTGATTTATTTGTTTCCCTTTTTTGCTTGGTCGTCTTCACTACAAGATGTGAAAAAACGTCTGTTGATAATATTTTTTTCTAAAGAATATAAACATGATAAAAATATATTTTTTGAATAACATCATAAAAATATTTAAATATGCGGCACACAATTTATATATATATTAATAATTACTTTAATATTTATTAATTTATGAGTATCGTTATTTTAACTGTGAGATATTAATTTAACGATTGTAATAAATTTCTTAATTAACAAAAAATCATGATAAATAATGAGATTTGATTTTTTTATACTATATTGTTAAATTTTTATATCTGATGAGTAATCGCCAATGAAAGAAATGAAGACTAGTTATTTGTTAGATAATTAAGAAATAAATCATTACATAATAAATAAAGTACATTGGTAAATATTTGGTAAATTTGATGCATATTTAAAATTACAATTATACCCCTAAACAAAACCGTAGCTCCAAATTAGAAATCCCCAAAAATGCCCAAAACCAAACTGGGACCCTATCCACTAGGCAATAGCCCCCTCCCTCCAATGGCTCCTGCTGCCGCCACACTTCCCGATGTTATCCCTCTATTATTGTGGGACGAGCAAGCGACAATAACAATCAGAGCAAATTTTCAACTATACCCTTGCCATTTGCTTCTTTAAAGAAGTAAATGGTGAGGGTCTAGTTGAATTTTACTTTAACTAATATAGTTAGTGCATTAATCAAGAGAAAATTTTTTCTTTTTGAAAATTTTGACCATTCTATATAAAAATCAAGAGAAAATTTAGTTCATTAATCTTGATTTTTACCTTTATTCGTAATTAATACTCTTTTAACTAATATAATTATTTAATTAAAAAAGATATTAATTAAGAGTACGAGATAAAAATCTAGATTATTGTATTTTAAGAGGTATTTGTCTCCTTTTCTCATATATCAAATTTATGAGAGAAAGAAATTACAAGATCCATAATTTTTTTAATACTTTTCTCTCCTCTCTAAGCGGTTGGGCTAGGGTTTGCTAGTTAACTTGGGTTTCTTTTGGTCAGAATTCGGCGCCGCCCTTTGGCTGGCTGCTGGAGTTCGGACCTTGGAGATGGAAATCTGGATTCCCTTGAAGAGTTGCGGGGTGTTTGGATCAGTTTTGTGGCCATGGGACTGAGTTGTGATGGGTTGGAATGGGTGGATTTCAGACTTCCATCTGTTTATGTGCGGCAGTTTGATGCTCCGGCATCCATATTTCCTTAGGGGTTCTTCTCTCTCGTCATGGCGGAATTAGGGATAGGGAGAGTTGTTGGAGTTTTTCTCAGTGGTGGCAGTGGTGTTGCGGTTGTTCTTGTGGGTGGGGTGCACATAGTGCCATTGGTGTCTCAATGGCTTGGGGGTTTTGGTCCCCTTGGTGGTGTGCCTCCTATGGTGGTGCATGTCTCGACGTTGGCAACTAGCGACGTTAGTGTGTGGTGTTCTCCTGCCACGTTTTCTCTCTTCTATGGTGCTCTTTATTCCCTGTGTTTTTGCCCTCTCTAGTCTTGATGGTTGCGGTGGTTGGCTCGTAACCAGTGGTGCTCCCCATAGATTCGGAGTTTCCTTTTCTATTTTCTTTTATAGTACATGTGTTTATGTAATAAGGGTGGTCTTGTTTTCGCCATATATTCGGTTGTTTTTGTATTTTCAGTTTGTAATAACGGGGGTGGTTTCCCCAAACTTCGAGTTGTCTTTGTCAACAAATCGGTGTCTTGGCAGTCTGTTAGTTGGCCCTCATGCTACACAGTTGTGGCTCTTGATCATTTGGATGCTTCCATCGATCGTAGAAGTATTTTCAAAAAGAATCTTATGTGAGCTCGACTGCAAGTGTGCCAATGAACTTTCTCGTTATTGGGTCTCAGTGTACATCTTCCTCCTTCAGCATCATTCGATTTCATTGGAGGAACTGGTCTCAGTTGAGGGTCGTATCTTGTGTATTGCAGGGTCATTTGCATTGCTATTGGTGTTTGCAATTCCCTTTTAGTGTGAATGCAATTCTATTTTCTCAATAAATATATATATATATGAGAGAAACTAAAAAAAAAAAAAAAAAACCAATAGAGCAACCTAACAAAAGAAAATATTAGAGAACATTCAACCAAAAAATAAAAAGAGTCTATCGATCATTATCAGACATTCACTTGATTCACCTTTCCCTAAAAATATATATATATATGTTTGTGCAAAAAAATATGATCCTCAAAGATTTTTGACAAAATTTCTTACCTCTTATCATCTCCCAACCAATCTCTCTTTTCGCAAGACTCTTTGTTCACCTTCTTAATGATAATGCATACAAGATTGAGCTTTGCTTCTTGTTTTGCCTTGCATTGTAATTTTGTCCTTCTTAATTTTTAGGGAGCTTCTATGATAGGATCAGAAAAATGAACTACATGTAGTTTTTTTATTTTCAGTCGTCCGATTTGTATCAAAAATTGTATGTTCTACATACCTTTTTAATATGATATGATTTTGACCTGATCCAACGATCAAAAACTGACAATACGGACATAACTGACCTACCAAAGAAACTCCATAAATTTTATTTCTCAATGTAGGGCTCTAGACTCCTGGCATAAAAAGTGTTGCCTTATGTTGTAATTTTTCTAGTCCATAGAATTGTTGATAAGTATTGGTTCTTGTTTGAATGATGACTTTTGTTGGTATGTCACCGTGGGGTTAGAAATCCGGGATTACATGATTTGATAAAACAAAGAGTTCTTTTGTAATTCCATTAAATTTGTAAACTTACGAATTTTTTGATACAAAATCCTTAAATTATGCGAAGATATTTCTTTGTATTGTGATTATAATTATATGTTTCTTTTTAATATAAATTCTTAATACTAGCTATGAGCAACTTGGCAGACTACTACAGAAGTCTAAGTAGCTTAATTATGTTTTAAACTGTTTGTTTTATGTTTAATGAAGTATTCCGGCAAGTTACCGTTATTGTCGGTCATAGTGTAGTGGCAAGATAATGAAGGTAACGTGACAAGCTACTGTAGGTAACATGGCTGACTACGTTAGGGTAGGACAACAGATTTCCATTGGTAACCTGATAGACTACTAACTGTGTTAGGTTGCCTAGTGGATTACCACGGGTAACATGGTATGCATCCCTTGGAATCGGGGGCAATAATTGTAATTATGAAATTTCATAATATTTTTGTAGATTGCAATATTGTATTGAACGCAAACTAAAAAGTGTAGTCGCAAAAAATCAATTCTAATCGTTCCAAAAAAAAAAAAAAATTTTAATTCATGGTCTACAACGCAATGACACCAATCAATACTGAAATAATACTTATAATACCAACTCAATGTGAGCTTCAAGTGCCAACTTGACACATTAAATCGTCTCATAAAACAACAGAATCCTCCTGATCAATTTAATCGAAAACAGTGGTTTTGACTTTTAGTTTTCGATAAATCTTTGACGTTTTGTTGTATAAGAATCATATATTAACTTAAACATTGTCATTATAATGGAATTTTTAGTGGCTAATTGGTTTACAGGGTGTAGAGTTTGCTTAAAACCATATGTACTCAGTTGACATGCATGTAAATCATTATCTACCTAGTTGGTATTCCATGTAACCATTATTTTATATATATATATATATATTACAAAATTTACGACGATTAATAAGATTAAATTCTTATCACTCACGTGATCATCAAATTATTATATTTAATTAGTAACTATCATGAAAACGTAACTATTAAAAACTCATAAATTTGCACCTTAATATTTCTTGTTAATAAACTTTTATTATTAATTAATTATTGAATTTTTGACAAATCAGAGTTGGTATAAAAAGTTATGATTAAAATTGGTGCACCCGACATTATTACTATTTTTTGTTGGGGGCTACTCTTAGTGATTAATATAAATGATAATTAATTAAAATGCAAAGCAAAAATGATTAACTATTAGCTGATTAGAAAATATATGTAAGTGGGATCAGGTGGGAAGTATGCCACGTGTCAAAAAAGAAATGTTGCAAATATAATGACACTTATAAAGTGCAGCAAGTAAAACGGGCGGTCGCATCAAAACAACACTTCCTGTAAAGAAAAATAAAAAATAAATAAAACGGTAGCTGTATTTAGAATTGATCTAGTTTTTATTTTTTATATTTTTAAAAATAAAAATAAAAATATTTTTAAAATGACGTTTGACGTAATAAAAATAAAAAATAAAAATAAAAATAATTTTTTAATTTAGTGTAAAATGAGAAAAAAATGAAAAATAACTTTTAATTATTTTTTATTTTTTGTTTTCGTTTTCTTCACTCACGAGCAGAGAGAAAGAAAGAGATACATTAATAAATTTTTTATACTAAAAATAATCTCTTAATAAAATTACTAAATGCATTTTTAAAAATAATTACTGTCTGAGATTAAAAACGTTTTTATTTTTATTTTCATATAACAAATAAAATTATTTTAAAACGAATTTTAAACGAAATCAACACTTCTCGTGAGTTAAATAATTAGAGTACGCGGTCATGACGACACTTCTAACTAATTAGAGAATTAGATATTAGAAAATTAGAGTAGGCAGTCGCGAGTCGCGACCACACTTCCTACTAGTTATATAATTGAAAATAAAATGAGATCCGGTATAATACTGGCAATAGAATCATAACAGAAATATAAAATATAGAAAAGTACATGGACAAGAAATTAAATGATGAAATGGAGACATGTAATTACGTGGACGCAAATTACAATAGGAGTAGGAGATGATAGGGTGAGTACAATAGTGTTTACGTATAGAAAATCTTGGAATATGTGGAGATTTATGTGTAAAAAATAAGGTCCGTTTAGTTCGCTGATTCGAATTTTTAATTTGAATTGAGATGTCACTTTGTGTGAGAGTTTTTTATTATAGTAAAAAAGTTAGATGTGACTATTTATGAAAATTTTTTACTGTAACAAAACTCAAATTCTAAACTCAAATCGGTGAAATGAACGAGCCTAAAAGACTTGGCTCTAGGATCAAGAAAGTGGGGTTTCATGTATTATGTGATCCAGGTAAGCATGTATGATAAATATGAGGTGCATTTGGAACTCGTTTCAAATTAATTTTATTTTTTGTATGAAAATAGAAATGAAAACGTTTTCAATCTTAGACATAAATTATTCTTGAAAATGCGTTTGGTAGTTTTTTCAAGAAATTATTTTCAGTATAAAAAATCCATTAATGTCTCTTTCTCTACTTGAGAGAGGAGAAAACGGAAACAAAAAATGAAAAACGACTAAAAGTCATTTTTCATTTCTCTCTCATTTTATACTAAACCAAAAAATCGTTTTCATTTTCATTTTTTATCTTTAATTGTGCTAAACGTCGTTTCTCTCATGTTTTCATTTTTTCTAACTCGAAAAACGTTAAAAATAAAAATGAAAACAACTCCAAACACAATCATGATTTTTGGGTTATGGGAGGGGTAGTAGATTAGAGAGAAAGTAATGGCTGCAAATGCACACTTTTACATTGTACACTTGCCGTCCCGTCCGTAGTAGTTACCGTAAAAGAGCCCCGAGTGCTAATGGTGGACGAGCGGTGACTACTCCTTAATGCCCCCATCTGCGATGAACATCCGGCAACTTTAGTGACACCCAATTGACGATGTATCGAGTATAGATGAAATCTCATGACAAGTGTTAGGACACCTGTCATGTGTAGAATTTTGCCACGTATCATTTCCTTAAGTTCGTCACGTGAGTATGGTGCTATTTAGGAGAAAATTATGGAGTTGTTCTTTTGGAGTATAATTTGAGTTATAACTTGAGTTGAAGTTAGAACTTGAATAAAGTTGAGTAAAATTGAATAAAATTAAAACTTAAAAGAACGTGAATTTGAATAAAATTGAAATTTGAGTTGTCTTTTTTTCAATTTTTTTGGACAAAAGAACATGCCACATAATTTATAGTGCATAATTATTTTTGAGTAATACCCCAAAACATTTTTTTAAATAGTAAAATGACCGTCCTATTAGAATTGAGTTTCACATAAAAATAAAACTGCTCTAGACCTTTTATCTTATTCCCTTCTCATCTTGATCTCAACTATACTCTAACAATCTTTCCCACTTGAGAGATCCTCCCATAATGAGATTTTGTCCACCTGACAGCTCTCTTATTCCCCACTAGTTAATTTAAATTATATTCATAGTTAAAGTATAACTTTAGTTAGTTTGTTTTATGAAAGGTCTCGTTCGTTTCACTGATTCGAGTTTTTAGTTCTAAGTTTCTACAGTAAAAAATTCTTAGAAAATGTCACATTTAACTTTTTTTGTTACAGTGAAAAGTTCTCATAAAATGTCACATCTCAACTCGAATTAAAAACTCGAATCCGCGAAGTGAACGAGGCCTTATATATTTCCACTTTCATCTTTATTTACTTCAGTGATAAGTTTGGTCCATTTAGAATCTAAATATAGTACTTATGGTTTATTTTTTTAGACTTATCAAATTGTGGCGTAATGTTGCAAGTTTTGAAGGCCATATATTGAAGTATGGTTATTCAAATTTGCAAATCTCCAACAAAAACGATTAAACCGATCCAACCCAATATAAAATGTGTGTATAATAAATTAATCAGTTAATTAAATTGGTTGGCATTTTTTAAAACCGATGAAAATGTGGATCGGTTGTAGATTGAGCAAATAAAAGTAACTGTTAATCAACCGATCAGCACTATGTATTGCATTTATGTTTACCACGTACGGGGTTTGATCTTTTAGTTCATGTGAAATGATTGAGATGATATAACGAGACAAGTTTATAATTGTTAGATCTGTTTTTACGCAGGTGTTTTAGAGGGTGTTATAACACTTTATAAAACACTAACGATTAATTGCGTCTTTTTAATGCAAAAATGTAAAAACCAAGCAGGAAAATAATGCATAATGAAAAGAACACATCTGGTTGGTATCGCAGTTTAGTACTCACACCTGTATCTGTGGGATCACGCTTAAACAGTGAACAATCCACTAAGTTTTAAGGAATTACATACACCAATCGAACTTATACACTCAAAAACTCCCTCATTGATATTGCCGCTGCCGTGTCAAATCTCCTTAATGGCATTGTCCAGCGAGTACAACTTGTCTTCAAATTGCATGGCGAAATCCTTTCGACTGACAATGCGCTTACTCCAGAAAGCTTTTAATCTTTTTTCTGAAGGACGAACTCAATAACATAAAGCTCACAATCTCACAGACTATACTATAAATATTTTCTCTGATAACCCGTGCTCCAAATATCACCTTGAGTTGCTTTTAAAACCTTAAAACACAAAAGCCCACTATTTTCTCTTCCAAGGCACCCAAATCTAATGCACACCTATATGCTATATATATAGTAATAATTGGTATGTCTTTCCGAGTCAAGCTCCAATTCAATGCTTTTTCAAAACAATCTAATAGTCAATTTCAAATTCTTCTTAATGGGCTAGACTTAGAGCACATTTGGTATAAGGCTTCTAGAACTTGGAACCATAATTCTAGTTCAAATCAGTGTTTGTTTACAAAAAATAAAATGTGGTTTTGATTTGACTCACATAGAATCAGTGTTTGGTTTGGATGGTTATGATTCAAGGTTTAAACTCTGATGTGATGTTTTAAATCAGAATCACCCATGATTCTAAAACCATCCCCCTTGCTTTTTGGTGGTTCAAACTGCTGATTCTTATTCTGGTTTCAGAATCATGATTTGGTCCAAAATTATGAATCATGGTTTTGGTTCTACAATCAAAACTAGAATTACCCTCATTTGAACCTTTCATACCAAATGAAGCCTTAACTTTGAAAGTACTAGATTTTTTTTTTTTGCTGAAAAAATAATAGATAATTATGCTAATGGAAAGCTAATCTTAAATTATTACTCCCTCTACCATTCAAGTACAAAACAACTCCCCAAAGTTTCATCTTCTGGCCAACTCAAAGTTATGCTTTTCTCTTTTCCTTATTTCTTGGAAAACTTTTTAAACTAAATAGCCATCATCATAATCATAGCCCATTGTAGTGACCAATGAATCACTAACGAGTTAAAACAATTAAATTTTTTTTTTTTTTCTGAAGTGTCAAATAAAACTATTGTTTATTTAATTAGATATAAATTTATAATTAGGTAAAACTTAGGATAGAAATTGTACTTTATCTTATTTATAGATATTGTTTTTAACTTTATGATCTTGATTATTAGAAGCAGTTTTACGTCGCAGTTTCAAATTTGTAACGTGAACACTAACCTAGCATATTGTTTAAAAGTTAATTAATCCAACGCTCTAATACAACTTATGGGCCTATATGAGAACTATAAAGTATACCACCTTTTCCAAAAACATGCATTCAAATGAAAGATGAGAAAATGAAACAACCAAACCAAAACATAAAATTAGCTACTCCACCGAACTTGCAGATCTACCAACCAACTCTTTGCTTCATCCAAAACCTTAGCAGCTCTTATGTCTTCATCAAGCATTCAATCCCTTCATTTTTAAGCATACATACACCTCCTCATATATATATATATCCATATTCTCTGTCGCTCATTTCCCAAGCTATTATAACTTCACCAAAATCCTCTCATGATCAAAACCCAGATTTTCATTCTTGAGGTTTTCCTGGAAATTTTTTGAAAATCGTACGTCATGAGATCAACTAAAACCCATCAAATTTTCAGCCTGAAGCTTCTCCTTCTTGGAGTGTTGCTAGCTTTTATCGTCCTCTTCTTGTTAAGAACAAACTTGTCATCAGCAGATTATTCCAAACAGAGCAGTAATGACAACACATTATCACGAAAAACCCTAGTAGCGAACAAGGAATCATCAGCAAAAGAAGAAAACGACAATAATTGCCCTCAAACGACAGCATGCACCAAAATCCCACCCTCATTAGCCCAAACCCTAATCCACTACACAACCTCCACAATCACCCCTCAACAAACCCTAAAAGAGATCTCGGTCACTGCGGGGGTGCTCGAGAAGCGGTCCCCTTGCAACTTCCTCGTGTTCGGGCTCGGGCACGACAGCCTCATGTGGGCCGCCCTCAACCACGGCGGGCGGACGGTGTTTCTAGAGGAGGATGAGGCTTGGATCGAGCAAATAAGGCGGCGGTTCCCCACCCTCGACACGCACCACGTGAGGTACGAAAGCAAGGTCAACGAGGCGGAGGGGCTGATGGACGTCGGGAAGGGACCGGAGTGCACCGCCGTCGGCGACCCCAGGTACTCGATGTGCCTGCTAGCCCTAAAGGGCTTGCCTAGTGAAGTGTATGAGACAAAATGGGACTTGATCATGGTTGATGCACCAACCGGGTACTATGAGGAGGCTCCAGGAAGAATGACGGCTATATTTACGGCTGGGATGATGGCCAGAAATAGAGAAGAAGGATCAGAGACTGATGTATTTGTACATGATGTTAATAGGGTTGTGGAGGATAAATTCTCAAAGGCTTTTCTTTGTGAGGGTTATATGAGGGAACAAGAGGGAAGGTTGAGGCACTTCCGGATTCCTAGTCACAGGGATGACACTCAGAGGCCTTTTTGCCCAACATTAGAGTAATTCTAATTACACTCTCTTTTTCATTATCATCATTATTATTATTTTTTTTGGGTGATATTTTATATATATACTGTTTTGTTTACATATTGTTCTTGTTGTAAGCTTCATTTTTTTTTTAAATCACTTCGGAGGAAAGGAGATGAGTTGAGTATATATACATGTACATATACATATATGTGTATGTATATATACGGGTCTCAATAGTTATATATATATATATTTTTAAAATATATTGGTGGTTATTTACCAAACTAGAGAAATAGATACAATATATCTTACTTACAATAAAGACATGACGTACTATAGCAAGTTAAGAAATTGCTAACCTTATTTTTAATGAAACTAAAATGTTTTGTGGATAGTTTAGGAAAAGAAATTATCACTATTAGTGCTTTGTATATGTGATAAAAAAGACTACCATCAGTAACAAAGCAGTCCAATAATTAACCACTAGTAATCTGGAAGGCTACCATTGGCTACTGTAGGATGGTAGACTGCCATCCATGCTCGAGTGCTTGTTGCAACTTGCATCGATTAGACATGGGCATACTTTTAAAATTGTGTTAGTTTGATCAGATTGAAAGTTTCATTCTATTTTATTAGTTATTATTTAAAGCCGTTTTGCCAAAACCATCTTCATCAACCAAAAAAAAAAAAAAAAAGAGACAAATACTTCTTAAATTGTATGGGTCTTGAATTTAAATCTTTACTCTTGACCGTTTAGTTAAAAAGTCATATTATTTAAAAGGATATTAATCAAGAGTAAGAGATAAAAATTCAGACTCATATACTTTTAAAAATAAATTCATTGATTTTCTCAAAAGATAAAATGTCGGTTTGGTAGTTCAAGTGGTCTGAACTAAAGAGTTGGTTCCAACGTGTTTAGTAAATCTTTTGGTTCAAGGTGTTGATTTGATGTTTTGAATAATAATGATAAAAAAACCTTCTTATAAATTCGAAATTATACCCTCTTACCAAAACTAATAATTTCTTTTTCAAAATTTCCATTTCAAACAAAAAAATTTCAAATCACCAAATTTTTATCATGTGTCCCAAATGGCTATTTATGAATTCTTTATAAATATTTTATTATGGAGAAAATTACTAAACTTACTCAGAATATAAGAGATTTAGATTTTTATCCTTTATTTTTAATTAAGACTCTTTCAATCAATATAAATATTTGGCTAAAAATTAAAGGGACAATATTTATGGGTCAAACATCAAAGAGTACTATTTAAAGGATATTATCTCTTTTCCCTCTCTCATATTTATCATTATTATGCGTGAAAATTATAAAGAGTTTCTTACATTTATCATCATTCTCTATGTCTTCATACGTGACATCTTTTTTTTGGAAGGAGAAATCTTTTTTATTACTTGATATTATTTTATAATTTGTGATTTAAGTAAAATTTTCAACTACTTAAAAGTCTCAAAAACAATAATTAATTTGGCATGAGCAATCTAATTTTCTTTATGTCACTAATAACTACTTTTGACTCTGACCATACTTGACATACCAAGCTGTCTATACCCGATTTGGTTTGATTTAATTGCTCTTAAAAATTTTAAACCGATCAAATTGATTACAAAAAAAAAAAATAAAAAAAAATTGGTTTAATTGACAGATCTTTTCCTCCACACCAATTATATGGATCGTGAATACTCCCGTCGGACAGGTCAAATTTATTTATTTATAGAGTTTTTATTTTTTATTTTTAATGGGGAATTTGAACTCTATGCTTAAAGAAATCAGGTGTGTAGTTACTGTAAGCACTAATCTATAGAATATTTTTAAGAAGCGCCAAAGTAATCTCTAAATTCTAATAAGTTACTATTTTATACAATATAAAAGATTTTCTTTTGAATAAAACTTCCTGAAATAGAGAAAAATATTATTAAAAAAATGAAAAGAATACAAAACAGAAATTCAGTCAAAAAATTTAAGAAAAAGGCACACCTGAAGATACTCTATCGGTAGTATAAAATTTTTAACCATTTAAATTTTATATAGTTTCAATTATTTAATATATTTTTTTATCTAATATGACTGGTTTAATTCAACTATTCAAAACTATATATCTTGCCCTTAGATTATTATTATTATTATTATTATTATTTATCCCTACCATGCTAAAGACTTCTCTTATAACTTATGTGCACCTCTACAACCAACGAGAGTCGAACCCGAGCCTCATACAAAGCTTAAGGAAGTATATAGGTCAACTTTTAGTTATAAAAATTAATAGGTCATAACTTATCAAGTTATGGTTCATAATCAGATAAGTTATGGACAAACTTATCAAGTTATGGTTCATAGCCAGACAAGTTATGGACAAAAACCGTGATTTATGGACAATAACTTGTCAAGTTATGGTTCATAACCAAATAAGTTATAGACGAAAACAGTAATTTTACCTATTTATTAACTTATGTAAACTGTTGGCCTATTAATTTTAATTCATCTCAAGTCTTGGCCTATTTCCCTATTTCTCCTTACAAATAATGAGGCCCACCTCGTAGAACCTTCTCATCATTTGTGTGAGCCCTGTTAGAGTGAATCCCATTTTTCAAAATAATTCATAACACACATGGGGATTTTTTTTTTATAAAGAAAAGAAGGGTAATTAACCTAATTAGTATTTGATTATGTGCACTGTGTCATTTTGATCATTAAACTTTTAATTTTATTTACTCTTAGGACTGTTTAGGTCTCTGCATACTAAAATTAGCAAATTAATTTTAAAAATTCTTAGAGATAATTATGCCTATTCGTAATAATCGAAACTTTTTACAACAATAAAATTACTTTTAAAAAAAAAAAACTTTCAATTATTATGCGTCTTGAACAGGATGATCTTTGTGAAATCTAAGAAATTTAGGGACCAAAGCGGTTAAAAATCAAAATTTTAAAAAGTAACTCATGAAAATTAAAAGTTTAGGACTAAAGTGACAGAATGCACATAATTCAAGAACTAACAGTGCTAATTTGAAAAAAAAAAAGAATGGTTAATTCTATAAATGGTTCTTGAGGTTTACACTCAATTTTATTTTATTTCATGACTTTTTAAACATCTCATTGAAAGTTTTTGAGATTTTATTTTATTTCAGTTTCAATCATTTCATTAAGTATGCGTTAAAATTTGATGGAAGCTATATAAATTAAGGACTAAAATTTAAAACAGTTAAAATTTAAAAACTATCTATAGAAATTGACTTTTTTTTGTATTGTTTAAGTTTTTAAACTTTATATGTTTTTAATCTTAGTCCTTAATTTATATAAATTTATTAAATATTTAACACTAAACTAAATTAACAGAAAGATTGAAATTAAAATAGAATAAAACCTTAAAATATAATTGAGGTAAATCTAAAGGATTATTTGTGAGATTAATTAAAAAAAAAGGAAAGAAATAGCAGGGTAAATCTCAAGACTGAGATTAATAAATAAATAAAAAGGGAAAGAAATAGAAGGTAGTAGAAGTCAACGGAGTAAGTTTGAAGATTTGACCAATTCCCGCAGTCCAATTCGGTAGTCCGAGGCTGCAAGGAAGGCAGACAGACAGCTGCCGATGAGTGTAGTTTGAGTGTCCATTTGTATCTAAACTACGAACTCTCTCTTTTTATATTCCAATTGTCTTCTTCTTTTACCTTTTCTTCTTCTTTTGGTGGGTTTTGCAATTTTGATCCCTCCATCTTTTTTGATGATCAATCCAATATCTTCTTCTCGCTACCAAAGTTTGTCACTTTCTTCATCTTTGACCCTCCAAAGTAAGTACCAGTTTTTGTCTTTGTTTTAGCTCAACTGAATAAATTAAAAAGTGGGATAAAAAGAACATCAAATCTTGTATCTGGGTTCTTGTTTTTGGCTTCTGAAGAGATTTGTATTGGGTTTTTGGTCCTGAATTTCTGATATTGTGAAATACATGGTGAAGTTTTTGAGTTAAGAGAGGGGAATTTTAAATTAAAAACTATGGGTGGGATTTGCTCGAGGAGGGCCACTGTTGATAACCTTTTTCAGGAGGCAACGAATGGGCATTTTGATCGTTCAAAAGCTGGTAAAGGGAGGTACAATTCGAGTGCCGGGACTGTGGTTAAGCCGCCCCCGGTGGTCGGAATTAAGGAGGAGGAGAAGTTGTTGAAGGAGGAGGGTGCTGCGTTGAAGAAAGTGGATGCTGCAGCAGAAGCTCCTTGTGGAGCTGCTGCTGCTCCTGTTGCTGCTGCTGCTCCTGTTGCTGCTGATGATGATTTTTATGATGGAATTCCGCGGTATCCGCAGGGTTTGACGCAGAAATCGCGGTCCGTCAGGAAGGTTAGTGCATCTGCTGAAAGTTGTGGTGATTCCATTTGCGGCAGTTTGATCGAGTGGCATGTCAAATAATCACATTTGGTGTTCATCTAGTTTTGTTGTGATTGTGAATATTTTTATGCTTTGTAAGTTATTATGGCTAATTTTATCAGTTTAGTGTCTGTGTAGATAGTGTTAGATAGTTCATCTGTTTGGACTTTCATGTTACTTGTGTCAAACTCTTGATGATGGCTAGGCAGGTTTAAAGTGAGAAGATTTCTGTTACTTGAATATGTTTCTCTCTCTCGCTGTGTAAATTGTCAAGCTGAGAACTAGTATACTAGTAATTAGTTCCTGCATTTTAAAATAGCTGAATTTTTATGAGCAGATTGGTTTTGAGGCAGTTTTGAAACTATCTCTGTTCATTGAGAATATGGTGTAATCTGGCTCCAATAGAAGGATAGTGGTGTTATGTTCGTATCTTTTTTTTTTTCAATGTTTTTGTTCATGAGTCTCTCTGTTTCTTGGGTATTTATATCATTAAGATGGAAGTTCCTCGTTTCGTTGGCACGTCTTAGTATAAAGATGCATAACATAAGAATCAAGAATATGTTTTAAGAAAAGGTAATAGAAGCCAGTATTCATGTTGTATCATTTCAGGTTTCTGAGGTGAGTTCACGTTTAGGTAGAGCTGGTACCGCTGGATTGGGAATGGCGGTGGAGGTCTTGGATACACTTGGGAGCAGCATGACGAATTTTAACTCTGGCAATGGATTTGCTTCTACAGCACCAACTAAAGGCAATGAAGTATCAATTTTAGCATTTGAGATCGCAAATACTATCAAAAAGGGTTCGAATCTTTTGAAATCCCTCTCGAAAAGAAGTATTCAGCAATTGAAAGAAGAGGTGCTTCCTTCGAAAAGTGTGCAGTACTTGGTTTCTAAAGATACAGATGAGCTGCTAAGGATTGTTGGAGCTGACAAAAGGTGGTTACCGGATAGTGACTCATATGGCAAATAGTTAACATCTCTTCTTATTTTGTGGATTGCGCTAGATTTGATCGGTTTTAATAGTTTTTCACGTGTTTACTTGAGAGTTTTTATTTTTTTTCCTTGGTTTGCAGGGAGGAGTTAAAAATATTTGCTCGGGAGGTGGTCCGTTTTGGAAATCGCAGTAAAGATCCTCAGTGGCACAACTTGGATCGTTATTTGGAGAAGTAATATATTGCCCTGCATTCCATCATCCTAGTGATTAAAGGATGTATTAGTTGTTGACATCTTGCATTTATCTTCCAGAATCTGCAGGGGAGTTATTCCTCAAAGGAATTTGAAGGAGGAGGCAGATTTGGTGATTCAACAACTAATGACTCTGGTCCAGCACACTGTTGTGAGTAGTATCCGCTTATCACTAGACAAATAATTTTTATTTTTCTGGCTGTGGAATAGATAACTGTCCTTTCTGAACTTGTAAGTGTCCAAGAATTGCATGAATAACTTATTGTTGCACAGCAATTCAGTAAGTGCGTAGCCAGTAATGCAGCAAGTAACGTTGCTAACAGCGTAATTTAGAAAACCAATCTTATTCTTAATCGGGTAAAAGGATGAGAGAGTAATTGTAGTAATCTAATTAAAATAATCAAGAAATGTTCGAGTGACCAGTTTAGAAACTATTTTAATTGACAGATTGTCTTTTCTTAACTGACAATGTCTAAACAGTTTTCAAATGCTTTCATGATCTTGAATTCAAGCATGTTTCTTTCTTTCTTTCATTTGTTTTGTTTCTCCTTTTTTTTTTTTTTTTTTCTTTCTTTTTTTTTGCCTTCTTCTGAAAACAATCAACAACCCTATTAGTTTTTTTTTTTTTTTTCCAATTTATTCTGTAGCACACATTTTTCAAAAATGGTGAACCATTTTTATTAAGGATTCTTTTGGTTAAATGGTATTCTTTATGTTACTGGAAAGCATTTTCTTTTTTTGGGTGTGAGCTTTGTGTTTGGTTGTTTCAATTGTTATGCAAGTTTAAGTTTTAAAGAAAAATGCAGAAATGGTCACATTGTTTTTGATGCAGGAATTATACCATGAACTGCATACGTTGGACCGATTTGAACAAGACTATCAGCGTAAGCGTCTAGAAGAGGCGATTTCATCAGGAACTCAAAGAGGTAGCGATTGGATACTCATTTTCAATTTTTTACCTCTTTTTTTTTTTCGCCTATATTACTTGGTACTGTTATTGATAAGACCATGGATATGACAACAAACAATGTCCTAAATAACTGGTTCATAAGTGAGGTTTGCTCAGCAACCGGTTTCGGTGGAGTATTGGATGCAAAATAAGTATATTCATGTAGGATTTTGGGGAAAAATATTTATTCTCATTAATCTAAGCATAATCGGGAAAAATACAATAGTTATATAGAAGAGATTGAGAATCTAATCTTCTTCTAGATAAACTCTAAAACCTATCTTTAACAATCCTTATCCTATACTACAAAATTTAAACTCTAGAATTTAAATCTTATTGATAACGCATAAACCATAACTAAACCTATCTACTCCTATATTTCCGACACTCCCCCTCAAGTTGGAGCATAGATATTTATCATGACCAACTTGCTTGTCAAAAATTCAAAATGAGACCGTAGAAGCCCCTTAGTCAAGATATCAACTATCTGCTGTGTAGTTGGAACAAGCGGCAAGCAGATGATTCCCGCTTCAAGTTTCTCTTTAGTGAAATGTCTATCGATCTCAACGTGCTTTGTTCGATCATGTTGTACGGGGTTATGAGCAATGCTAATGGCAGCTTTGTTGTCGCAATAAAGTTTAATTGGACTCTCAATCAGCCTCCTTAATTCTTCAAGAATCTGCTTCAACCACAGAGCTTCACATATTCCATGAGCCATTGATCTGAAGTCAGCCTCAGCACTACTCCTTGCCACAACACTTTGCTTCTTGCTTCTACATGTAACTAAGTTACCCCAAATAAATGTACAGTACCCAGATGTAGATCTTCTATATGTAATAGATCCAGCCCAATCAGCATCGGTGTAGACTTCAATACCTCGTTGTTCATTTTTCTTGAAGAACAATCCTTTCCCGGGGGTACTCTTCAGATATCTCAAGATTCGGTGGACTGCCTCAAGATGCTCTTCATATGGAGAGTGCATAAACTGACTCACGACGTTGACTGCAAATGCAATGTCTGGGCGAGTATGTGTCAGATATATCAATTTCCCGACCAGCTTCTGGTATCTGACTGTGTCCACCGGCGTTCCTTTTTCTCTTTCTCCAAGCTTTAGGTTCGGCTCCATTAGTGTTTCAACTGGTCTACAACCACTCATCCTAGTCTCTTTCAAGAGATCAAGGACATACTTTTGTTGAGAGACAGCTATGCCCTTATTGGATCTTGCGATTTCCATACCAAGGAAGTATCTCAATTGTCCCAAGTCTTTAATCTCAAACTCAGAAGTTAAGCACTGTTTCAACCTCTCCATCTCTGCCAAGTCATCTCCAGTGAGGATGATATCATCCACATAGACAATCAGAACTGCAACTTTCCCTCCGGTTGAGAACTTCATAAATAGAGTGTGGTTTGTCTGCGCGTGAGTGTATCCATGTCTTTTCACACACTGAGTAAACTTTTCAAACCAAGCCCTCGGTGATTGCTTGAGTCCAAAGAGTGATTTTTTCAACCTGCACACTCTAGAACCAAATTTTTTATCAAAACCGGGAAGGGAGTCCATATAAACTTCTTCTTCCAGATCCCCGTTCAGAAATGCATTCTTCACATCCAGTTGTTGTAGTGGCCAGTCTAAATTCATAGCAAAAGACAAAAGTACTCGAACTGTAATAAGTTTTGCGACAGGTGCGAATGTCTCTGAGTAGTCTATCCCATACGTCTGTGTGAAGCCTTTAGCTACCAACCGGGCCTTGTCCCTTTCTAGTGTGCCATATGCATTATATTTGACTGTAAAGACCCATTTGCAGCCGACAGTTGCCTTTCCCACCGGTAGGTCCACAACTTCCCAAGTTTCATTTGTTTCTAGAGCCCTCATCTCTTCTAGAATAGCCTCCTTCCATTCAGGAACATTTAGTGGATGTTTGGTGCATGGATTCAGAATCATTCTCGATTTACGTGTATTTTTTGTGAGAGAAAATATTGTAGCGAATCACGAATCATGATTCAAATCACGGCACGAATACACCAACCAAATGCATTCTTAGAGCTTCCTGCACTGTTCTAGGAATTTCTACACTAGACAATTGTGAGGTAAAAGCACGAAGAGAAGGTGATAATTTTTCATAGGACACAAAGTTGGACATGGGGTGTTGTGTACAAGATCTAACCCCCTTACGATGAGCAATAGGAACATCCACGTTATTAATAGACTTAACTTGGACACTAGACTCCAAAGATTTAGATTGAGACAGAGATGTACCTGAAGGGGACTCTAGATCTGTTCCCAAGTTGGATTCATGGCAATGCTGTAAAGGAAGGACTCTCATTCCTTGAATCGGTTTTCTTCTCGAGTAGACACGGAGCTCTTGAATTTTTCCACTTGGTTTTTCACACATCTCTATTCCTAACTGGTCATCTAATGGCATTGAAGGAGGTCCTCCATCATTCCCAATTTCTAAAATATCATTTTCTAGATGTGGATTTGGACTTGATTCTAAAGATATAGGGTTCATATTTAGATGGTTTGAGACTCGCGTACTCACTGGTTTAAAGGGGTCATTCTCGGTAGCAGCAGCAGGATCAAGCACAGGAGGGTCATGGTTCCTATTATACTCGGCAGCAGCAAGATCAAGCACAACAGTAACAGGATCAAGCACAACAGGGTCAAGTAGGTCAAATTCAGTTTCTAGGTTTTCTAACCTAGCATCTTCACTATCACTCTCCCTCTAAAGAAGATTCTCACAAAAATATTTCTGTGTTTCAAAGAATATCACATCCATAGTTACAAAAACTTTTTTTGAAATTGGGTCAAAACATTTGTACCCTTTTTGTGTTGGTGAGTAACCAATAAAAATACACTTTTTTGCCCTTGGATCCAATTTCCCCCGGTCAAAACATTTGTACCCTTTTTGTGTTGGTGAGTAACCAATAAAAACACACTTTTTTGCCCTTGGATCCAATTTCCCCCGATTATGATTATGCACATGAATGAATGCAACACAACCAAATACCTTAAGTGGAATATCAGTGACAAGTCGTGATGTGGGAAATTTCTACTTAAAACAGTTCAATGGTGTTTGAAATTTCAAAAATATTGTGGGAATTCTATTGCACAACCCTAGAAGGTCCCCAAACATTGCTATGGATAACTGTGAATGGTTTTAAGCTCTTATAGGGTTGTGGAGGAAAGGAAGCTCGGTGATGTTTTGGCAATTCACAAATCTCACACTGAAATGAAGATGGATTTTTATTGATGAACAATCTAGGAAACAAATATTTAAGATATTGAAAATTTGGATGTCCTAACCTAAAATGCCATAACATGACTTCTTTATCGCTAGAAACAGAAATAGACTTAAAACAAGTATTTTGAGCTTGTCTTCCCGAGCTTGATCTATCTTCAAAGAAATAGAGTCCTCTACTTTGTCTAGAATTATCAATCGTCTTCCCCGAGTTCGAATCCTAAAACTTACAAGAAGATGTAGAAAAGTGAATTTGACAGTTTAAGTCTCGAGTTAGTTTACTAACAGACAAGAGATTACATGACAAATTTAGAACATGAAGAACATTTTGAAGAGTGATGAATGGAGAGATAGCAATGGAACCTTTCCCAGCTGTGGCTGAAAGGGATCCATCTGTTATTTTAATTTTTTGATTTCCTGCACATGGACTATATAAAGAGAACAATTTTGATGATCCTGTCATGTGATCAGTTGCACCAGAATCTATGATCCACGGGCAATTTATACCGGAATCGACACTAACAAGGGCAGTGAGGTAGTTACCTTTCTGGGCTAGAGAACATGATGAATTTGAGGAATTTACAGAGAATTGTGAGGATTGGATGATTTTCAACAAGTGGTCTATCTGTTCCTTAGTGAATGGAGAGCTTTCTGTTGAGACTTGCTGCCCTTGGTCATCATTTGAAACTTGGAATGCTCGGCCACCCCCTTCATTCTTCTTCTTCCAATTTGGTGGCTTCCCATGTAATTTCTAGCATGTTTCCCGTGTATGCCAAGGTTTCTTACAGTGATCACACCATGGCCTATCATTCTTCTTTGTGTTTCTCCTGTCTCCGTCCAAGTCGGCCCCCCAAGAAACCAAGGTAGAGGTTTCGGCCTCTGTTACTCCTCTTGCTTCTTCTTTCTTCAACATCACACTCCTTCGCTTTTCTTCCCTTCTCACTTCAGAGAACACCTCTTGGATGGATGGAAGTGGTTTCCTTCCTAGAATCTGGCCTCTCACCTCATCTAATTCCCTGTTGAGTCCGGCCAAAAAAACAAACACTCTGTCATTCTCCACCCTCTTCATATAGCGCACGCTATCATTGGTGCAGTCTCATTCTTCCTCGTAGCATAAGTCCAATTCCTGCCAAAGGTTCACCGTCTTGTTGTAATAAACCGTGACCTCTCTATCCCCTTGTCTTGCCTGCCATAGCCTTGATTTTATCTCAAATATTTGAGATGAATTTTCTAAGTCGGAATAGGTCTCTCATACGGCATCCCAAATTGTTTTGGCGGTTGGAAGGAATAAGAATGGCTTTCCAATAGAGTAATCCATGGAATTGATAAGCCATGCGGTAACCATGGAGTTTTCGGATCTCCATGTCTTTAATTTTGGGTCGTTCTCCCCTGGTTTCTTTGCCTTGCCTGTCAGGAACCCTAACTTCCCTTTTCCATCGATTGCAAGCTTCACGGATTGAGCCCAAGACGAGTAATTTTTCCCATTTAAGTTGTGTGCAGTCAATTGCAACGCATTAGATGGGAGATTCATGAGGAAAACACCATCATCACTACTTTGGATTGTGGCTGAATTGTCTTGCGAACTCTCTGTGTCATCTCTCATGGAAGAGGAACTTTTTGTTGGCGCCAGCCATGGCAGTTTTTGCCATTGGAAGTTTAGGTTAAGAGCCTAAGCTCTGATACCATGTAGGATTTTAGGGGAAAATATTTATTCTCATTAATCTAAGCATAACCGGGAAAAATACAATAGTTATATAGAAGAGATTGAGAATCTAATCTTCTTCTAGATAAACTCTAAAACCTATCTTTAACAATCCTTATCCTATACTACAAAATTTAAACTCTAGAATTTAAATCTTGTTGATAACGCATAAACCATAACTAAACCTATGTACTCCTATATTTTTGACAATTCATATCGCTTAAAATTAGGCCATCTTGTACAAAGTCCAATAGAAAATCATCAGAAAGAACTTAAAGCAGAAAAGAAAGTACTGAATTGCCTTTTTAAGATGTGTTTTTTTTTTTCCTATTCCACACCTTTTCTTTGGGTCAAAATTTTCATAGTTTTTTTCAATAATGTCTTTTTGTAACAACATTGTGTAACTTTTTTGCATTTTTGTTTGACATCTTCTTATTCTTTACCTGTTAATTTTTATAGGAATTATTTCTTGTTTACCTTACAGGCAATAACATGGCAATCTTGAGGTCAGAACTAAAAAGCCAAAAGAAACTAGTAAAAAGTTTGAAGAAAAAGTCTCTTTGGTCTAAAAGTCTTGAAGAGGTAACTTTCTTTCTTCCATACGTTAATAACTGTCTGGCATGGTTTTAGAGAGTAGTTTTTGGCTTTTAAGGCTCAAAAGATGCTTTTAGAACTGTTTTAGGCCTGTAAAGACATAGAAACTTGTGCCCTCGAATAGAAATTTTGTGATCTCTGTTTCTTCCCTTTTGATTTCATTAAGAATATCCTTGTCATGTTAGAATTCAAACTCTCTTTGGGGCCTGTAGTATGTTCCAAGGGTTGGGCTGTTCGCCCATTAAAGCGGTATGTGAGTTGGGTTCAGAACATCGTGAGATAGTTCGGTCCATATCTGGTGTGCGCGTTAGAGCATTGAGAGGACCTTTTCCCTTGTGATCTCGGTTTCTTCCCTTTTGATTCTCATTAAGAACATCTTTGTCACATTAGAATTCACTCTTTTTGTTTCCAATCACCAATTCAAAAGGTAGAACTTTTATTCCCAAAACAAAAATTATCCAAGATGGGTATGCTTATGTGGCCATAAAAGTATTAGTGTACTTACCCGGGGACTTTGCTTCCTGCTTAAGTTATACACAAGTAGTTTATTATAACAGAATTCCGAATATTTTGATTGCAGATGATGGAGAAGCTTGTAGATATTGTTCACTTTCTACATCTAGAGATACAAAATGAATTTGGTGATGCTGGTATGTATTAGTCGAGGGTAAAAGTTATCTTTTGGCGTAATGTGATTGGTGCTTTACGTCTGTGTTTGTGCAGCATGCTATATAAGATCATGTGTATTGATGATGCTTGTGCAGATGCTCATAAACCAGCTGAGAAATCTGCAAACAGTGATAACAGACTGGGACCTGCTGGCCTGGCGTTGCATTATGCCAATATGATCATTCAAATTGATACCCTTGTAGGTGTATTATCTCTACTCATAATTTTCATCTGATTAATCTCGTATATTCTATATTTTCCCTTGTTACTATCGTGGTTGTAACCTCACATTGATTCGAAGTGACAAATGAGTGGGAAATGAAACAGTATTAGATCAAGGGTAGTGCTAGGATCCCTACTTTTATTCCAAAAAATTTGATACCAACTGACGTGGCATGTGAGTTGTCATCTTTCCACTGGTAGATGCAACTTTTAGTACTAATTGACGTGACACATTTTGAACATCTACCAATAAAAGCTCACATGCCATGCCATGCCAATTGGTATTGAAAAGTTCGAGATAAAAGGTGGGATCCTTAGCATTATTCATCGATTGATCTGAGAATGGGACCCTTAGCATTATTAAATTCCATCTGCTGATCAAAAACCAGGTAGCCAGATCAAGCAATATGCCTCCAAATACAAGGGACGCATTGTACCAAAGCTTGCCGCCTACTTTAAAATCATCTTTGCGCTCCAAATTAAAATCTTTTCATGTTAAAGACGAGGTAACTAGTGTGCTTATACTCTTTAAGTTCTCTATGAAAAAAAAAGGTTTTATATTCTGGCTTCAAGTCTTTACTCTTTAGTAGCCAACGCAAGCTTCGGGGCTCTTCACTAATACCACTTTTGTAGAGTGCCTGCTTTCACTGAAATTTGTTTCCTTCAGATGACTGTTAAAGAGATCAAAGATGAGATGGAAAAAACTTTGGGGTGGCTCGTTCCAGTCGCTACAAACACTGCGAAGTAAGATGTTCATTCTCACCTGCGCAACTTTAACTTGTGCGTGTAAATATATATGTCGCCTTGCAGTCATGGCTTTGTGGCTAAATATCACTTTGTTGCTTTTGTTTGCAAAAACCAGAGCCCATCATGGTTTTGGCTGGATTGGAGAGTGGGCAAACACTGGGTAAGTGACAAGGATTTTTTGCTTATTTCTTTGTTCTTTACTTTCTTTTTGTTTAAAGAATTTGTATTTGTACTCTATTTTATTTTTGGTACTCTTCTTCTAATTCTAACATCTTCTATCATTTATGAAGTTCTGATCGAAAGCCGGCTCTTCAAACTGAAGTACTGCGAATCGAGACACTCCACCATGCCGATAAAGATAAAACAGAAGCGTGTATACTTGAGATGCTGTTATGGCTTCACCATTTGGCCACTCGGAACAAGTCTAGCAATAACACAGAGGGCAACAAGTGTCCTTTGAAGTCCACACCCCTCCCAAAGGCAAATCAGCAGCCCAAGGACGGAGTCACCAATGCTCCAACGCCCGTGCTAACACCCGAAGACCATGAGATGCTGCAGGCTGCAACCAAGAAAAGGCGGATCCCGGGAATCAGCAAAAGTCAAGACTTTGATGCTGAGAAGACCAGTTCAAGAAAATGCAGCTCGCTGACTAGGAGTAGCAGCCATTCCTCAAGGAGAGTAAGTCAGGAACCCGTACCTTTCAATAGAATTTCTTCCGGGATTCGAATCCCTGATTTCTGCATTGACAAGGAGAAAGTATTGGATATTATAGACAGAGTGGAGACACGAAGATAAATTGCGAAAACACTATAGATCATCGATTCATCATCGAGAAAAGCAGGCCGTAAAAGAACGGGGGATCTTGTAAATCTTTTCGTACCTGGCATAAGAGGTTATCCATTTATCTTGACTTCTGGGTTGCAATATATTGTATATATAGCGAAAAGATACCACACAACACAGAGATAGAACATGATTTGGGGTGAAGAGTTTGGAAATATGCTTTGACATAAAATAGTTTCATACGAAATCACAATTGCACCATACGGCATTTTTAGAAACTTATTGAACAATGAGGTCTGCAGGATTGTTAGAGATGTATTGTTGTAGCAACTCTTTGGCCTTTGCTTTCTGATTGATGTACGTACTAATTGGAAGAGTGAGTTATTACAAAATGTTATCGTACTTATAGCTTAAATTTGATCTAATGTTTAAAAACCGTGTCCAATTAATATATATATATATATATATAAAATCCAGGACCACAAAATTCTCCTATACAACGCTCATAGGTATAATTTGATTTGAGGCAAAAACTGAAAGTCGCGAAGAGAGTCCGTTTAGTTTATAGATTAGAATCATTTTCGATTTACGTGTGTTTTTTGTGAGAGAAAATACTGTAGCGAATCATGAATTATGATTCGAATCAGAGAACGAATCCTCTAATTAAATGAGCTCACGTTAAGGTTAAGGATAGAGGGTGTAGTATTATAGATCAACTTTGTCAAAGATGAAACAACAAAAGATTTATCTTATAGTACATCATTATTTACATAGGTTTAAAAAATTACATTAGACATAATAAATATCTATGTTACACTTTTATTTTTTTTTTTTTTTTTTTTTTTTTTTTTTTTAATAACTTTACAGCTGTGGAGACAAGTGAGAGATTACAATAGGACTATACCTGAAACAAGTTGTACTTCCATACTTTTACATGACAAAAATAGACACAAAATTTTAAGCACCTCTGTTCAACAGTCAACACTACGGGTTTAGAACCTAAGGATTTTGTGATGAACCAATTTGGTGAGACCTACATGGATGCCACAAGGTTTTTTTTGTCATTTCTCCTATTATTATTATTTTTTTTTTCCCTAAGGGGAAATGGTCAATCACTACTATACCATTCTTTGTCATTGATAAACCAGTTTATCATTAATCAAACAATAATTTACTTATGATACAACACCAAATGGATCCATAAAAACAACATAATTATTTTATTACAATTTATCATTGATAAAGGACAATTTTCTAATTTTTATTAAAAAAAGAAGTTTCCCTCATAGAACGGATAGTGTTTTACTTTCAACTATTGAGGGGTTGTTCTTTTACATTTTTGAGTTAAGGTGACTTGAGTGATGATCTTGAGTTGAGTTTGATTTATAACTTGAGTTGAAGTTGTAACTTGAGTTTGTGTTTGGATGTGCACATTTAAGTTATGATTTGAATCGAGAATCTTTTTAAATTTGTGTTTGGATGGGTCAAAACTTAAATTTATATTTAGATAGTATTTTAATAAAAACTCAATGGTGATAAAAAATTTTAATAGGGTATATGGGTGAGGTTTTATTCGTCTTTTCGTTGTGAATGCATAGCAAAAAAAAAATTATCTCAATCAGAATTAAAATAAAAAAGTTATGACATTTTTAATAATAGAAAAAATACTGTTTATTAACTCGAGTTCGAGTTTATGAACTCAAGTTAAAGGAGAAATTTAAACTCGAATTTAACTCTAAACTCAAATTTAAACTCAAATTTTATAAAAAAATATAAACTTAAATAAATTTATAACTCCAGTTTAAATTTTATATGAATTTCATTGTAAAAAAACAACCGTCTCTATTAAAAACTATTTATTATAGATAATTTTTAATATAAGGTGATTTTAACCGAATTTAATAGTAGAAACACCAGAAAAGCTAAAAAAAAAGGGGGTATTTTTGCACATATTATACTATGTGCTGAGTAAATAGGGATTAGATATGGAGAAGGGAGAGAGAGAGAAGAGAAAAGAAATGGGTCGGAGCTTGTCGAGATCGCCGTCGTACAGCAGAAGGCGACGAAGCAGAAGGGACCGAAGCCGTTCCAGGTCCCCTTACTCTCTTTCTCACTCTAGGTATTCCTCTTTTCTTTTCTTTTCTTTTTTTATGGTGCTTATATTTTTCAAAGCTCTGAGACTTTTCCAAACCTTATTCTCTTCAAATTACAATGAAAAGATTCAACTTTTAAAAGGTATCAACGATTTTTTTTCTTTTTTTTCCCCCCCGTTTCTCAACCAACTTCGAGTAACATTTTTTTCTGAAATTATTTTTCATATGAGAAATGCCCTTTGGATGCAAAATCAAACTTATTTGTTTATTCTTCTGAAGAGAACGAAACCCAAAAAAAAAAAAAAAAAAAAAAAAAACTAGTCGTAAAGCATACTATATGATAAGATGAGCAAATATAATGTCTCTTAAGTTCTTGTGATTGTGGAAGCAATACTAATTCTTTATTTGTTGAAACGTTTTAAGTTAATTGTGATTAAAGTGACATCCATTGTAGCTTATTTTTGTTTTTTGTTTTTTGTTTTTTTTAAGGAAAATGGTGAGAACTACTGGAATTTGAATGCTATATCTCTCTTTCTTTATATTATATTCAGAGTTATACAACCCCTTTGGTTCATAGATTTGAACAGAAATTTAAATTTTTTGTGCGAAAAAATATTGTAGAAAAAAGGTTTGAATTGTGGTTTGAACCCGCGAAATAAACGGGCTACTAGACTTATAGTCTTAATAACTGGGCAAGTAGAAATACGTGATATGCATAGTGCATTGTGTACCATTGAAATAGCCATACAAGTGTAGAAACTTTTCAAGATTTGGGGAGCAGGAATTCCTCTTCTTTGTAACAAATTTGTTTTACATAATATGATTTAGGCGGAGAAGTCGTTCTAGTTCACCGCGTCGACGCAGAAGTCGCTCGCCTACTTACAGGTCCCGTAAAAGTCAGTCTCCAACTCCAAGGCGTCACAGAAGACAAAGAAGTAGAAGTACTTCGTTATCCCCTTTAAGGAAGTCTCGTAGTCCTAGTCTGTCGACCGAGCGTAAAAGTGCGGCTGAGAAGTTGAAGAAAGAGGAGGAAGAAAAGAAGAGGTGATTTTCATTTGTTATTCGATCCTTGCTTAATTATTTCTGTGATCTATTTGTACTTTCTGTTCGTTATGGTTTGCATCCCGGGTAAAAGCACATGATTTCTTATGCTGAAGGACTCTTAGTCTTAACAATATAATGTTTCTTTCCTTCTTGTGGAAGATCAGAAGTTGAAGCTGCAAAGAAATTGGTTTATATGGGAACTTTTTTCTTTTTGTTCTAGTCAATTAAAAAACCTTTTAATGATTGAATTTTGGGAAGCAGCAGCAAAAAGTGGGAGGAGAATGAGATAAATATTTAGTTCAAACTGAGAGAATGTTCTAAACTGAATTCAGCTGCAAAAAGAAATATAATGTTTGACGTTTTGTGTAGCTGTGGCTTTTTAAAATGAAATTTCTATGTTTTTTTTCCCTTCAGTGCTTTAATTGATATTCCAGATTTTTTTAGAACAGTTTTTTATTATTTTGGTAGAGTTGTATGCCTAAAAGTGCATTGAGGCTTACGCTTCACTGACCAAGGCAAAACGCCCCAAATACCTGAAGTAGCAATTTTAAACATTTTCTCCATCAAACTGGTTATATGTTGTCGATTGAGAATATTTTTTTCTTTCACATGCTTGTCAATTTTAAACATTCATATTCTGGTTGTTAAATTGAATTTTTTTTTTTCTTTATGTTACTTTGAATTTCAGAACTAAATTGGAAATGAGATGTGATTATCTTGATAGTGTTAATTTGAAACAACAAATCTAAATGAGATCCAACATTAATTCATTGGGTGCTTCTTGAATCATAACCATCCTTTACCAATATAGAATATTTATCATCTATCATATAAGATCTGCATTACCTTTATATAGAATAATTCTGCTAGTTTCATTAACCAAGTATTTTCTACCATTCTCGGGTTTAAATTTAACTAGCATCTTTGTTTTATTTCCATTTGTGAACATTCTTGCGCTTGACTTTTTCATGCACTGTCAGGCGTCAACATGAGGCAGAATTGAAACAATTAGAAGAAGAGACTGCTAGAAGATTAGAGGGAGCAATTCGAAAAAATGTCGAGGAGAGGATGAGATCGGAGGAAGTTAAGCTAGAAATAGAGAGGCGCATAGAAGAAGGACGAAAGAAATTGTTTGACGATGTTGCAGCTCAACTTGAGAAGGAAAAGGAAGCTGCTCTTATTGAAGCAAGACAAAAAGAAGTAAGCACCTTAAGATGAGCCCAATTTCTTACCTCTTTTCCTCTTGATAATCAGACAAACATCAATGTTTTAGATGCTGCCTATGTGTATAATAGTGCTTGGGCATGTTGTTCTTGAAAATTGCAAAACTTCTGTTGTCTTGGCAGATATGAAAATTTTGTAAGTTCTCTTATGGGCTCGGTTTCTTGCCCATGATGCTTGTGTGTCAAGACCTATAAAAAACTGAAATTAGTTGAAGATAGCAGGACTGCACTTTGAGTTCCAACGTACACTTTTATCGCTTTGGCTTGGTCATGAAACTTAAGTCCGAATAATGTATTTGACTGAAGTCGGTTATTGAAATTGTTAAAGGCGATACTCATGACAAAGTGAGAAATGATTTGTGCATTGTTTCCGAACAAAATTTAATTAAAAAGAGTCACAGTTAATACCATAAGTAACAATGCAGCTTGTTGAATGTTCTTTTTTGGTGTTTAATCCATATGATTATTTAATGATTTTAATATGCATCAGGAACAAGCCCGAAAAGAGAGAGAAGAGCTTGATAAGATGCTAAAAGAAAATCAGAGGAGGGTTGAGGAGTCCCAGAGAAGAGAGGCCCTAGAGCAACAGAGGAAAGAGGAGGAACGACACCGGGAGTTAGAGCTGATTCAAAGGCAGAAAGAAGAGGCTGCTAGGAGAAAGAAACTTGAAGAGGAAGAAGAGCGAGCAAAAGAAATGAAGCTATTAAGTAAGAATAAATCTCGGCCGAGGTCTTTTGGTACTGGCTTGTAGTGATAATTTTGTCTTGCCATTTTTTTCTTCCTCTTTATTTGGTATCTACTTGAGTAGAACAATCCTGGAAAACAATTTGTTATAATGTTTCTAGTTTCTGCAAGATATATCATGTTACTAGAATGGCTACAAGACTGAAAATTAGTATGGTGTGGCCGCTGGCTGCTGTGACCCGGGAATTCTGAGAGGAATCTGCCAGAGCGGAATTTCCCTCATATAGGAACTTTAGAGCTTGGGAGGGAAGAGTAGGAGAGGTTTTGGGATTAGTTTAAGGATTTTGAAACTCATGGTTGTTTGGTCGGAGAGAAAGGGGAGAGAAAGGAGGACTGAATATATAAAGGGATTAGATGAACGAATCTATACCATTACCAAACATTATAAGACAAAAGGTTTTTCCTTTACTCTCTGTTTTTTACGAACTGGTTATATACTTTTCTCTCCCTTTTACCAAACACAACTTTAATTCCTATCTAGAATCATTATGCGTTTGGTTTGTAGATTTATGTCATGATTGGAATTATTGTTTGTGGTTTATTACAGTATTTTCTCTCACAAAAAACATACGTAAATCGAGAATAATTTTGAATCATAATTCAATATCTGACCAAGGAAAATAGAGAAAAAGAAAAAAAGAGAACACGATTGTGTAGTGTACATAAATATGTGTGCAAGTGTGTCTAAACACACTAGCCAAAAAAAAAGGGGGTTGTCCAAACGCACTATTTTCATTTGCTACTTAGACGTTTGGTTGGATGATTCAAATCATGTGATTCAAACAATTTTCGATTTACGTGAATTTTTTGTGAGAAAAAATACTGTAACGAATCATAAATCATGATATTGTAAAAAAGTTATTAAACCTAACTATTTTCAACTATGGCTGTCTAACCTGTGTTCTAGGAAACAAATGACGAAAGAGAAATTAAATGAACAAATACTTTTTAGTGGCTTTCCACTATAAAGAATCGTATGCGTGGAAAGTATGCTATTTATTTTATTTTATTTTATTTTTTGCTAACATTATCAAGAACAAAGTTTAGGGCCGGTTCAACTGATAGTATATGCTTTTTTAGTCAATTTTTTAAAATAAAAATTTAGCCTTTTTTTTTTCAATGTTTTTTTAACCCTATCACAAATGAAAAACATTGTTGAGTGCATCTAAGAAATGAAAGGATACGTTGAATTCAAAAGCCACAAAAAAACATGGGAAATAGTAGAAAATATGCTAATATGAAAAGTTTAAGAAAGTATATAGATTAATTTTTAGTTATAGAAATTAATAGGTCAAAATTTGTTAAGTTATGGTTCATGGCCAGATAAGTTATGGACAAACTTGTCAAGTTATGGTTCATAACCAGATAAGTTATAGACGAAAACAGTAATTTAGCCTATTTATTAACTTATGTAAACTATTGGTCTATTAATTTTAATTTATCTTAAGTTTTGACATATTTCCCTCTTTCTCCCAAAAAAACATTAAACTTTGTTAAAAAAAATGAACAAATCAGGGCAGGGCAGCCCCAAACATAAGCCACCAAAATCCAAGAAGAGCAAATTACTTACGCCACCAAAATTCGACAACTTTACGTTTATGTCATATTTGTTGGTATTTTATCAGAATACTCTCTTAAGATATTTAGGCCATCTTTGTCTAGAAGAAAAAATAATTTGGTAGGATATTAAAAATATTTAATGGGATGTTTAGTATGAGAATTCATGTCATGGTTCGAATCATGATTCGTGACTCGTTACAGTATTTTCTGTCACAAAAAAACACACGTAAACTGAAAATAATTCTGAATCCATGAACCAAACGTAATATTTTTTAGTGGGTGACGTAAATGTAACATGACATCTTTTTGAGTTGCGTATGTGTATTTCTTGAGAAACGCTCTTCAACTTGCAGAAGATGGAATCAGGAATTCTACGCCGAACACGGAATGGGAAAACAGCAGCCTCCATTTTTCTCTATTGCCTCCCGCTGTTTGTTCTTCAGCTGTTTTTCTTATCTTATGGAAGATTCTAGATATAATTCACTTCTAATGCATCGCCATTGAATTAAAAAAATAAGGTAGTAGGAGAAAAGGAAAATGATTTAACATTTATAGAGGGTGAAATCTACAGTTAAATTTGTAAAATAGACCAATGAATGAGTTTGATAATTGTTAAATTACGAGTGTGATGACAATAAATAAAATGCAAAAGAAAAAAATAAAAACAAAGACATGGGAGTTTATAGAGGTCCTCCCGTAATTGATGAGCTATGTGCTTTGTAGGGTCTTCAGTTGTTCCACTATAATCGATGGTGAAAATTACAATCGTGATTCCAAGCAAGAAGAGGAAGAAAGAAGAGGCGTGACCTAATTTGATCACAAAAACAAAAAAACAAAAAAAAACAAAAAAAAAAAAACTTAGCCTAATTCTACTAGAAAATGTGGAATCTTCGTCTGCCCCTGATCCTCTCGCAGCAATTCTAGGCCCACCGTCGCCTTCCAGATCCAAGACCCTCCCATGGCTTCTTTAAAGACATCCACAAGTTGGTCACGTTTTTTGGGTTATGGAGTTTTCCCTCCTTTAATTGTTCTCTTTTTTTTATTTTTTGCTAAAGATTATTCTATGTTTGATTGTTGGAGTTTTTCATACACAAATGTTCTTGTTTGATCTGATTGTTTAGATTCAAAACTATATAGGTTTAGAAATTGAGCTTGTTTGATCGGGTATTGAAGATTTCTTTTCCAAATTTGTTAAAAGTTATTTTATGGTCTCGTTAGTTGCTTAATTTTAAGCTTTTTGTACGGATACTTTCTAAATCTTTTTTGATAATTTTTTCCTTATTTTTTTCTTGATAATTGACCCCTCCAATTTTTAAATCTTTGTAATTAAGTCCTAATCGTAAACAACACACGTTTTTTTGACGATTGTAATAATGTGACGTGCACATGAACATTTATAAAGGGTAATAAATGTTGTTTCTCTTCTTATTTATTCATTTCAGAGTCATCTAATGTATCCGAGCATAATCAGCAATGAATTGCCTCCGTCGGGGATTGAAGCCATTTTTGTGAGAATAGCAATAATTTTGCAGGAAATTTTTAAACCGAGTGTTGAGTATTATTGTCTGCATCCAACTGCTCGATTTATAGGCATAAGTGAAGAGTGAAACTGTTTTCTACACTTCTCGTCTGAATAGCTTCAGCCTAAAAAAAAAAAAAAACTGTTGATCCGTACAAGATTCTCTCCATTAATGCCTTCATTCTCTATGAAGCACTAGTTGAAAGTGTGTTTGTATGTAACACGGGTATTCAACGTACGTGTTACTTTTTTTTTTTTTTTGATACAAAGTTTTTAAAATTTTATCAAAGATTTCATTTTTTAACTTATTATGTTTAGTAAAAAATAAAAATACAAAATTTAAGTAGAGCATAGGTAAAAGGAAAACAAAGTTCTTAATGGAGCAAGTTAAAAGAGTAAATTACTTATAGGGTACTCTTATGTGACAGAAAAAGATATATATTTAAGAGAGTTACAGGAAAAAAATATATTTAGGTAGGGATACATTTGACAAAATACGATTTCAGTAAAGTAATTAGAAAAAATAAATATTTATGAGGACAAAATTTAGAGAAATAATATTAAATAGCTAGGCTCATCTGTGAGAGAAACTATTTGTTCCTCGTTCACTTCGCGGATTCGAGTTTTCAATTCGAGTTGAAATGTGACATTTTCTGAGAGCTTTTCACTGTAGCAGAAAAAGTTAGATGTGACATTTTCTGAGAGCTTTTTACTGTAGAAACTTAAAATGGAAAACTCGAATTAGTGAAATGAACGAGGCACTGATAACTCTATAAAACAGAGTTATTTCACCAACCATCTTTATGCATGAAACTTAAGTCCAAATAATCTATTTAACTGAAGTCGGATACTGAAATTGTTAAATACGATATTCGTGACGAAGCAATAAATGATTTGTGCATATTGTTTCCGAACAAAAAATAATTAAAAAGAGCCACAGTTAATACCATAAGTAACAATGCAGCTTGTTTAATGTTCTTTTTTAGTGTTCAATCCATATGAGTATTTAATGATTTTAATATGCATCAGGAACAAGCCTGAAAAGAGAGAGAAGAGCTTGATAAGATGGTAGAAGAAACTTAAAAGAGGAAGAAGAGCATGCAAAAGAGATGAAGCTATTGAGTAAGAATAAAAAGCAGGGATCGATTTCTTTTCGATCTTTGGAGAAGGAAGGCTCTTCGTCAAGGGGGAACTTTGTGGAATTGAGTCTCTTCTCTCCCGGTCGGGATGCGACTCCCCCGGGCAGTGGCAGATTTAAGTACAAGGGTTACCGCTCCCACTCAAATTTTTTTGAAAAAAATATTACTTTTAAAAATTTTAAAATTTTACACTTAAGTCCCCACTGAAATAATATATGCCCCACTAAAATAAATATATTTTCTTATATGTCCCCACTAAGATAATTTGTTAAAAAAATTTAGTGTACGCACCGACTGAAGTGAAAGGCTGGCTCCGCCACTGCTCTCAGGAAGGATCACCTCCGCTCCTCGACGGGCCTATGCGCCCTCCTGCACCATGTCATGGAACATAAGAAGCTTGCAAGAAGACACTGAGTAACAAGTGGTGAATATCAATTTTTTGTAAAAGAAAAAACTGATTGTAGAGGGTTTTTTTAGCTTCAAGAAGTATTCTTTATCCTTGGTTTGTTTTTTTAATTTTGGATGATGGTTTTGATTCATGGTATTCTTGATCTATTTTTTTACTTATCTAGTACCATCACCATAGCCACTCGATAATTGTTATTTTCCTTCCATATAATTGGTGGGAACTTCGTTGCACATGTGAGGAGACACTAAATTAATTGAAGTCTTTTCAATTTTGTTATTGTTTTGGGTTTTTATAAACGGGTAGAAAAATCATTTAAGATTAATTTTATAAATGCCACTTAAACTACAAGAACAATAGTAAAGCTTTTGAACAAAAAGGAACAAATCGCAGCAACGCAGCCCCAATCATAATCACAACCCACTAGGTTGCCTTTTAAGTAAAGAGAGTAGTTTCATTCCAAGAAACACTCTTCAACTTGCCCATGTTCCCTCTTAATTCTTAACATTAATCTCATTGGTGCCCTATGCATTTTGGAGTCATTCTCATTTTACCTCTTAAATTTTAAAAATTCTCATTTTATCTTCTGAATTTTAAATGTGTCCAATTTAAGTCATTTTGTAAGAATTTCTGTTAAAATCAAACAAAAAAAAGGTTAAGTCTGACATGTGGTTATTATTTATTTGTTTTTAACAGAAATTCAAATAGAAAATCACATGACTGCATAACTCTCTTTTTTTCAATCTATTTTTTAACAGAAATTACAAAAGAAAAGAGCTAAATGAGAACAATTCAAAGTTTATTGGGCAAAGTGAGAGTTTTTAAAATTCGAGAAGCAAACTAGATATGACTCTAAAGTTCATAGACACCTGTGATAATAATCCTAATTCTTACTTGCACATGACGCAGATGCAAAGTAGTGTCTTTGTTAATAGTGTCAAAAAATTATTTTTTACTTACATAATTTCACTTTTATATCAGGTTTCTAATTCTTACTAGGTCCTTTCTATAACGTTGGCGATAGCTGAGTTCCACATAATACCGATGCAAGTAGTGTCTTTGTTAATATTGTCAAAAAAATTTACCTTATGAGAGTATGAATGCACTTTTAAACTTGCTTGTAGAAATTGGAATTTTTAACTTTCGTCTTCTACTTCTCCAATTTTTGATAAAAGTAAAAGTAAAAATTCTTTAAGAGCGCAATAATTCCAAGAAAAGCTTTTTTTTTTTTTTTCGGGAAAATGGGTATTTTGTGTCTTGGCGGATACAAAAATAAGTTTAGTAGTTTGATGTAACAATTTCGTTATTTTGATAGTCATACATTGGCAGGTTCATATGTACAAATATGTCTTTTGGTCAACAAAATTAATCTTTCCAAAAAACAAAAAAGCAAGGATCAATCAAGCAGTTGTTTTCGAATTAAGTGATATAAGAACAAAGAGTTTGATTAATTGCAATAACAATATCGAGTTGAGGCCAATAATTGAGACCCTCGGACATGGCTAAAAATGAATGTAGACGAACACCATAATTTCTCTTTCACAAACGTGAGGTATTATATTAAGATTATGCGCCATACATAAATTACTTGGTAGTGTGACAATATTAGACATACATGCAACCATATATATGCAATTGATTACTTAATATGAAGGAAACATAATAAAAATAATGATAAAAAAGAAAGATACACCATTATATATATTTATATATATTAAGATGATATAGCGTGACATAATATGATCATTAAACAGAAAATCTCAAAAGATATATATTTATGTGTGTGTGTATATATATATATATATATATATATAGATATATATACACTTGCACCTAGACTACTCTACCTCTTCTCCATCCATCTAAATGCTGCTTAATTTTTTGCTAGTTTACCCCATTTAAATGCATGGAAATTAATCAAACATGTCTCACTAGCCCCAAAAGCTTTCCTCTCTAGGTGCGTGTAATTAGGAACCAGTTAGCCCACCAACCCGCATCCAATTCACCATACATGCATTTGTCCTCGACTTGTATAACATAAGTTCTTTTCTCACCCACTTTTTATTTTTTATTTTTTATTTTTTACTTAGAATTTCGTTTGGAAAACTAACAATAATAAATTAACATATTCATCATCACCTCTTATATCCTAAGAAACTTCCACGATACATACACAAATATGGGTTTGTTGTACACGTAACACATGATATCAGAGTCTATTATATGTATGTCCAAAAACTTTTGACAAAGTGCGGTACTCATTTTTCCATCAAACTCTTCTCAACAAACACAATCATCCCTCATCCGAATCATTCTGAGGTTAGCCATCAACACACCTACCAACTGGGTGCCCAAGATGTGTCGTTTACTCGACATGGACAATATTCTTATAAAGTCATAATATTAGTCTCCTCGAAAAGCACTTGAAAATATTAAATTAAACAACAAATTCAGTCCACATATATACATATATTTTTTATCCATACCCCAAATTCACACAAAATTAACCGCTGCCTAAAAAAAAATCTTATATATGGAGAATTCTAATGTAAAATTTGTATGAATTAGATATTATTATAAACCGTCAAACAACAAAAGAATTATATCATATAATAAAAAAATTATAAATAATTTAATAGAATCTGATAAAAATTTAGGTGTTCAGAATTGTGTTTTATCCACAGAGTTGCATACGTCCATATGTGTATATGTGTGTGAATGTTTCGGTAAGATAGAGAAATTTAGCTATCCAAACATTTGTTATACATTTTTAACATTAATTTTATATTAAATAAATATCACGTTATATTTCTTATTTTTATTACATAATAATACGGTCTTGCCCGTAGGAACAGTTAATATATATATATATATATATATATTTTTTTTTTTTTGGTGTGCCCATAAAAATCTTACTCTCTCTATCTTTTTCCCCCAACCCACACGCAAGACTCGGCCTTGGCTTATCTAAGTTAACGCTGAAATCTCAACCTCCATATACAACACTCCATTCGCACTCCAAGTTTGGTAAACTCTCTCACTTATAATATTATTATTTCTTCACTTTCATTTATTTATTTTTGCTAGAAATAATAATATTTCTGATCACTTACTATAACAAACACGTCCAAACAGCTAACAGTATTTTCCATCAATCTTGCTTATTTTTCTCAAACTGATCACCTTTCTCTTCCTTTTTCCTCTCCACCATATATATATTGCACTTCATTTACACCTATATTTATATATATTTCTTCCCACAAAAACTCTTCCAAAATGGCTTCTAATTCACTTTCATTACTATCCCCAGCATTTCTATTGCTTCTATCAATATCTCTATCATTCTTAATTCTCCCAACTTCTTCAACTTCAAGAAGAACTCTTGCTCATCATGAAAAGATCTCAGCAACTTCTTCGGGTTTTCGGGTCGAGCTCAAACGCGTCGATCATGGCAAGAACCTGACCAAGTTCGAGCGTCTCCAGCGAGGAATCAAGCGAGGAAAACACAGACTGCAGAGACTAAACGCCATGGCCTTAGCTTCCAAAACCGATGATTCTTCGAACGTCAAAACCCCGGTGAAAGCCGGTAATGGAGAGTTCTTAATGAAGTTATCAATCGGAACCCCACCGGAGAGCTTCTCGGCGATCATGGATACGGGCAGTGACCTTGTATGGACGCAGTGCCTGCCTTGCTCCAACTGTTTCGATCAGTCCACCCCGATTTTCGACCCGAAAAAGTCCTCCTCCTTCTCGAAGCTGCCGTGCTCGAGCAGCCTCTGCGAGGCGCTCCCGTCGTCGACATGCAGCGACGGGTGCGAGTACTTTTATGGCTACGGAGATTACTCCTCCACGGAAGGGGTTTTGGCGTCGGAAACCTTCTCGTTTGGCGACGGCTCGGTTAAGGGTATCGGGTTCGGGTGCGGCGGGGACAACGAGGGCGACGGCTTCGCGCAAGGCGCGGGGCTAGTCGGGCTAGGGCGAGGACCATTATCTCTCGTCTCTCAGCTCAAGGAGCCTAAATTCTCATATTGCTTAACTTCCATGGCTGATGACTCAAAAACAAGCTCACTTCTGATGGGGTCTTTGGCTACCAAAATGGGGGGCAAAAACGACACGTCGTTCGAGGGAAAAACGACACCTTTGATAAAGAACCCGTCACAGCCCTCTTTTTACTACCTTTCGCTTGAAGGAATATCTGTTGGGGACAGACTTTTGGACATTGAAAAGGGCACATTTTCAATCAAGGAAGACGGTAGTGGAGGGCTAATTATAGACTCCGGCACAACAATTACTTATCTTGAACACAAAGGCTTTGATGTTCTTAAGAAAGAATTCGTTTCACAAATGAAGGGCATTCTTTCTGTGGACAATTCAGGTTCACAAGCTATGGATCTTTGCTTCAACTTGCCCAAGGGTACTAAAACGGTCCAAGTTCCGAAGTTGGTGTTTCATTTCAAAGGGGCAGATTTGGAACTTCCTCCGGAGAATTATATCTTGAGTGATTCGGATTTGGGAGTTCTTTGTTTGGCCATGGGGGCTTCTAGTGGTATGTCCATATTTGGTAACATTCAGCAGCAGAATTTGCTTGTCGTTCATGATCTTGAGAACGAAAGATTGTCATTTGTTCCTACTCAATGTGATGAGTTTTGATACATATATGGGTATCACCTTTAATCGGTTCTGTGAGGCCTTTGATGATGAATTCATGCTGGTTAATCTTCATTTTTTTTTAATATGTACTGTATGGTGTACAAGTTTTTTTTTTTTTTTTTTTTCAAGTTGTCTTTTTTTAAAAAAAAAAATAAAAGCTTATTGGTTATTTAGCACATATTACTAATGAAATGTTTTTGTGCTCGTTACTCATCTATATATATCATTTGGTTTGTTTGTTGGGGATGTTTACGTCTTTGTCTTATTTTGTGGCAGTAAAGATATGATGTGGGTTTTGCGTGTAACAAAATTTCTCATCATGAAGTCTCACCCTTTGAAGAAAACACTAGGGGTTTGCTCAACTTCCTAACCACTTAAGAATGTTTAATTATATATAATAATTAGTAGGTAAGTTTTCACGTGCCCAATTCCCGTACCCCGTTAGTAAAAATGAATTTGTGTACACATGGTTTAGGTTGAGCAAACCCCTAGTATTTTCTTCAAAGGGTGAGACTTCGGCCGTGTTTAGAATTAATCTCGTTTTTGTTTTTCACGTTTTTTAAGAAAAAAAAATAAAAATATTTTCAAAACGGCGTTTGGCGCAATAAAGACAAAAAATGAAAATGAAATTGATTTTTTGATTTAGTGTAAAATGAGGGAGAAATGAAAAACGACTTTTAGTCGTTTTTCATTTTTTATTTTCTTTTTCTTCTCTCTCGAGCAGAGAGAAAGAGAGAGAGACATTAATGAGTTTTTTATACTGAAAACAATCTCTTGATAAAACTACTAAACGCATTTTCAAAAATGATTTCTGTCTGAGATTGAAAACGTTTTCATTTTCATTTTCATACAAAAAACAAAATCATTTTGGAACGAGTTCCAAACGTGCCCTTCATTTTTGTGTGTAACAAAATTTCTCATCATGAAGTCTCACCCTTTGAAGAAAATACCAGGGGTTTGCTCAACTTCCTAACCACTTAAGAACGTTTAATTATATATAATAATTCGTAGGTAAGTTTTCACGAGCCCAATGCTCGTACCCCGTTAGTAAAAATGAAATTATGTACACATGGTTTCACCCTGGGCAGAGAACTTATATATACATTTACAAGATATATATATATATATATGTTGAAATTATTTAAGTGTAAATGAAAGATGAGTTGTAGTTGATACCCCAAGCTTCACTTATCCTATATATGGAAAACAGATATAATAATCTTTCCACTATCTCCTATAATATACCCCGGTTTTTTTTTTTTTTTTGATTAAATGAACGAATAAAAATTAGTTTCGAGGGAATTGACTCAATTCTAAAATAATAATAATAATAAATAAATAAGGTGAAAGAAGAATAGAAGAGTTCGTCTAAATACGTTAAACTGGAATTGGACCAATCATTCGAATTAATTGATGTCATGATCTTGTTAAACTAGAATTGTACGGATCAGTTTCAAATGTGTAATGATGCCTAGATACGTTTGCTTATTAACTTCATGTTATTTTGGTAGTTTTCGTGTTTATCTTTTATGGTTTAAAGTTAGGATTTTTGTTAGTTGGCAATTGTTTGGAAAAAGGTTGTAAAAATTCAAAAATTAATGTAAATGGTTTTTGGCGTATCTGTACAGCTGTGGAGATTTTATTTTTGCATTTTGCTCCGATTTTGGGTGATTGACATCAGTATTAGGATGATTTGTTCCATAGAAGAATGCAGACATTTTGGGAATGCAATCTTAGGAGGTTAATTTTGATTATTTGATTGGCTCTATCTTTGGAAAGTATTTTGGGGATGCAATTGGAAAGTATTTTAGTACTTCCGCACATTTTTATTATAATTACATTTTTATTTTATTAATTACTTTTTACCATAATAATTTTTATTTACATTTTTTATTATTTATTTCCTTTTATTTACTTTTTATTTATATTTAATATTATGAATTATATTTATTATAATTATTAAAATGAGAAAAAATAAATAAAAAATTAAAATATTATTTGCGACGACAAAAGTGGTCACAAAAAATATATATGCCACGTCATTTTTTGCGACGATTTATTTGGAAAAATGTCGTCGCAAATAATTAATACCATATCATCTTAATGATGTACCTAATGAAATAATTGTAGCAACTCATTTGCGATCACTGTCGTCGCAAAAATAATTTTTGCGACGAAACAGTTATAGCGACAGGTTTGTGACTTCAAGTAGTTGCAAAAAATGCAATTGCACGACTTTGTGTTTTTTGCAACGACTTTTTGTCGTCGCTAATAACCTTATTTCTTGTAGTGAAAGAAAAATAGGTGTGCAGAGTGTGACTGTTTTGAAAAAGGCTATGGGGTGAGTGTTTACCAGAGAAGGTGATGAACGTGTATGGTTTTGGGGAGAATACAACCAGCAAAAAAGTAGTGCTTCTGTGATGCTTAATTGGTGATTGAAAGATTTGGCTTTTGGGAGAAGCTTGCATCGCTTTTAGGAGAAAGCTTTTAAAGTCGAGTGGTGCTCACTGGACAAAGGCACTAAGAGGATTCTTCGCAACGGTGACTAAGGCAAAGAGGGAGTCTTTGAGTGTGTAAGATCGATTAGTGATTGTAAATCTTTGAACTTAGTGAATTGTTCACTGTCTGTCCGTGGCCTCGCAAATGTAGGTGTGTGCACCGAACTACAATATCATTTTTGGTGTTCTTTAGTTTTTCTCCTGCATTACTTTTTGTTTCTGCACGTTTTCAATTTTCTATCCATTGATCATCACAGAACTTAATAGTTAATTGCATGTGTTGCTAAAAGTGTCGTAACACTATTTATAACACCAGCGTGGAAACAGACCTTGCAAAATAAACTTCAAGATCAGCTGATTCAAAGTTAAAAATCCAATTATAAATTAAAAGTAACACATAATGTTCTTCTTGGAAGTTAGAATTTCGCATAGAGGATAAGGTTCGACTGAATACACGATCCAGAGATCATAGTAGTTTAGTGCCACGATCACAGAATTAGTTGACAACGTCGATTTCATACAAAATTTGGATTAACGATTATCTACAATTGAAATTCGAAGTTCAAGTAGTCTAATCTCGTGAAGACTTGATCTTAAACCACGTGGAATGTATCCAAACACTTTTTTCATTTTTTGGGAGTTTATTATTCACTTTTTCATTGTTGTGGGTTCTTTTCGATCTTGTAGATCTTCGCTACAAACTCATAATTCGAAAACTTGTGATCATAATTCAAAGTTCAATAAAATTCCTTTCTTTTAACTGGTGTGATTAGCGCCCGTGGTTTTATTCTTAAGAAGTTCTTGGCCGCGTTAATTAATATTGATGTGTCATCAAATAGATAAATATTGGTGTTAATGATCAGCTGCTACCTCCCTTGTTGCTAATAGGATTATCTAATTAGGTTTGCCTTTGTGTTTCTTCTTTTTAATAACAATGCAATATTATAACAGATCATTAGTACTCTTGTGCTAGTGTCTTTTATGCTTATTAGTTTTCCTTAAACAATTAATTGTGCCCTTATTTTACCTTTAATTATTTCTAAAGTATTAGGGTTAATCCTATAAATTGTATAGTCTTTGACTTTTAAAACGTCTCAAACTCATCTTTGATCTATAAATTTATTTTAATTTTAATCTCTCTCATCAGTTTAAAAATAGAAAAAAAAAAAAAAAGAATATGAGTAGTATGCAGGTAGAAGAGTATTATTTTACATTTTTGCATCATAATCGTGTGCATATTATGTTTTCTACTTATAAAATATAATTTTCTATCCGCATCACGAGTATATTTTATTATATTTCGAACATTTAATTAATGAAAAGGATTAAAACAGAAACAAAATGTCAGTTTGAGAATGAGTATTGAAATTTTTTAAAATTAGGGATCAAAATCGGTTCGAAAATAAAATTTAGGAACATTAGCCCAAAGTATAAATTAAAGGCACGAACAAAGATAAGATAGAAAATAGGAGAGACTGGGACGTGTTGGAAAAAAAGTAGGCCTTTACCTTGCCAGAACCTTTATTATTATTATTATTATTATTATTATTTCTATTTGGCCAGAATAGACACCACTTTTATTGCCTTTTTCTTTTTCTCAATGTGTGTTGGCGCATATACTCAAAAAATTGATTAAAATCCATTCAAAAAAAGAATTGATTAAAAATTTTCATCATTATACCAGCCGCACCTTCTTCTTTCCTTTTTCTTTTTCCCCGCAGAGCCAGATAATAGGAGCAATCTACGCGTTATTTCCTGAATGTTTTGAAATCCAAAAATACATCAATCGAAGTTTTAAATTTCTCTAATTATCAATTGGCTTTAGTACCTTGAAGAGGAAATAACAATATAAAAGCAGTAGAAACTATTCATTTTTAAAATAAAAGATACTTTCTTTTTGATATCCCAATTAATCAACAAAGAATAATATATATGCATATTAATTGATGGGAATCTTGAACATAAAATAAGGGGAAAAGAAATTAAATATAATAATATATCGATATCCATTCATCATCAAAAACTTGACGAGACAATATTATTATTGTGTTTAGTCGCATCTAGTTCTTTTACTAATTTCCTTTTCAGTAACTAATACATGATGAAAGCTTCTTCAAAACTCCGGACAAAAAGAGAGAGAAGAAGAAAAAGAAGAAGAAGAAGAAGAAGAAAAAAGTGAGTAAATATTGGACTAAAGAGAGATAATATTTAACTAATTACAAAAGTTGTCCTCCTAAAAATGAGAACTCAAATCACCATATATGCATGCGTGTCACATACATATATATATGGTGAATCAATCAACATGAGTGGAAAGACAAAGAACTAGAAAGATGAGGATGATTTTGGTGGTGAGGATTGTGATGGTGGTGGTGGTGGTGGCTGCCGTGGCCGCCCGATTCCTTCTCGATCCGCCACCGGAGGTGAAGAAAGTCGTCTACCGAGCACGGAAGGCGGAGAGGGCCGGCCGTGTGGTAACCATAAACCTCATGAGCTTTGTCCAAAAGCCTCTTGAAGAGAGGATGGTAGAGATTGGAAATTGGAATAGTGAAACGTTGAAACCCTCCATCTTCATCCTCTAAACCTACTTCAACCGCGAGCCACCCTTTCTTCACCTTCATCTTCCTCACGTCTTGCATATTAGCTATAGCTTATATCTAGAGAAATATTTATCATCCAAGTTGTGTATTTTTGTGATAATTGTAAGGTTTTTTCAGGATTTTTTTTTCTGTAGGAGTTGATGAGAATAATTGTGAGGAACAAAGGGGTCAAATATATAGCAAGAGGAAGGTATTGCATGGTGGGGACTACTATAGGTGTTTTGGTTAATTTTTTTAATATATATAAAAATAAAAAATATATTTGATTAGTACGTGTACTGTTCGTACTAATACGGAATCATATTAAAGCTTTTTTTTTTTTTTTTGGGGGGTTTCCGCATTTTTTTTTTTTTTTTTGGTGGGGTTACGCAATTTGATTTTTCTTTTTACTAAACAAATGGTTGTGAATTTGTGACCCTTTTTCTATGGCCGCCCACCTTTGTATTTTAGTAGGACTTTCGTGTGGTATAAAGACATGAATTAAAAGCCCATACTCTCCACTTTGAGAGGTCGTCAAAAGCTGACGATGGCTAACTTTTTTCTGACCTATATATATGGGGTAATATGTATATATGTGTATGACAACAAAGATTTATAGGATCCCATAGTTTTCAGGCAAGATTTTGGAAGGTTCATGAGATGGGTTGAAGTGGTGTTTGCAAATTGAGGGTGTTTGGTACGAGGATTCGTGTCATGATTTGTGACTCACTATAATATTTTCTCTCACAAAAAACACACATAAATCGAGAATAATTCTGAATCATGGTTCTGAATCCGTAAACTAAACGTACAGAATTAGTAATTGATAACTCTTCTAGAACTTGATGGTTTAGAATGTGTACTTAAAAATATCTAATAAAGTTGATTTCACGGAACGAAAGTTTTTAAACATTGATCCGATCGAAATCATATCAAAATAAATAAGTATGTAAAATAAATAAATCTAGCTGTTTGAAACAAAACTCTATATATTAACAGGGTACTTTTTCATACTCCACTTTTTTTATTTCTTTTTAATGAAATGTTATAGTTTGATTTCAAGTAAATATTACCACATTTCTGTCATCATCATATTAATTATTTGAGGAATAAGTAAATAGTTAACAGACAGTTTTTGAGTGGAGATAGTAGCTAGCTAGCTTGTGTTGAGAATGTGTGGTACAAATATATCATCTCTTTTGTGTGTGTGTTTGCGTAAATATAATATGTAGTAAAATTAATGTATAAAAATATAAAACACCCGATTCCTGTCTCATTGTAAGACGTTTTACTTGATGATAAAACGATCATGGTTATTTGTTTTCTATATCCGTCTCTGATTCTGAATCATGATTCATGGTTCTTTATAGTGTTTTTCTCTCACAAAAAACACATGTAAAACGAATATAATTCTGAATCACGATTCTGAATACATGAACCAAACGTCTACGCTTTAAAGAACTGTTTGAACTGATTATGACTGAGTCAATCTCAAAGGAGAATGCCACGGACTTTGTAAGAAACGAATAAAAATATTAATTTTATTAAAGTATCACATTTGCAACATTTTCGACCGTTGGTTATGCTTTGGTAATTCAGGTTTAATTAATAGCTTTATTAAGTACTATGAGGTGCAGCAAACGTTAATAATTATAAATTCAACACCGTCAAAATCTTGGGCCATAAAATAATTAACTTATATATATACACTTAAGTTATAGATATCCCAAAGTAAATACTTATAATAAGGATATTATAGAATTCTTTCATAAAATCATTATCTACCTTTTAATAGTAAAACCCGATGTAGATCTAGCGCTATAAAATAGAACCATATGAGTAGTGTACTTTTATATACCATAGGGTTTTTTTATCCTCTTATGTGAGATCCTTTTAATATAGTTATAAAATGTAACATGATGATTATTAAATATCACATCGACGTTGGAGAAGTAACACAAGTCATCTAAAGATTATGGCCATATTTAGAATTGATCTCATTTTTTTCACGTTTTTTAAAAAAGAAAAAATGAAAACATTTTTAAAACGGCGTCTGGCGCAATAAAGACAAAAAACGGAAAGGAAAACAATTTTTTAGTTCAGTGTAAAATGAGAGAAAAATAAAAAATGACTTTTAGTCGTTTTTCATTTTTTATTTTCGTTTTCTCCTCTCTCGAGTAGAGAGAGAGAAAGAGAGACATTAATGGGTTTTTTTACACTGAAAATAATCTCTTGATAAAACTACCAAATACATTTTTAAAAATAATTTCTGTCTGAGATTGAAAACGTCTTCATTTTTATTTTTATTTTCTTATAAAAAAATAAAATTATTTTAAAACGAATTCTAAACACGTCCTATATTATTTTTCTCTAACGTCGATGTTACATTTAATAATATTTGTTAGGTTACATTTTACAAATCATGTTAAAAGGAGTGTCTCTCCGATTGATCGAAGAAAAAGCCTCTAATGTGTCACTTACCAATACTCAAACACCTATTTTTCAAACGTAACATGATATCATGCCTTTGGAAAGAAAGTAAAAAAGATGAAAAGGTTCATTAAAAGCCTTTCAGAAGTGACCATACATATCAGAACCACTACTTTTCAAGACTTGAAGATCAAGAATGACAGGTCTCAAATGCCTTTTTGGGTCTACCACGCAATTGGGAATGAATAATGATAACGACCCTATTATGTTACCATTTGCCACTTAAGAATCTCAATATTGAATAGTGCGTTCTATATATGCTTTCTAATCTTCGACTCTTTTTTTTTTTTTTTTTCTTTTTCGGTATGTTAACATATTAATAGATAAAATTTTTTATCCGTTAAATCTGTATAAAATCACATAAAAATTAAAAAATATATAAATTTAATAGTGAAAAAAATCTTAACTATACGTCAGCGTACCACTGAATCTCTCTTCTTTCTTTCGGCTGTTTTGAGAAAAAGAAAACAAATTAATATTTTAATTTAGCCAGTCAATTTTGCTTATGCCGACTGATGTATATTCTAGATTAAATTATTAGCAATCATGAATTAACTACAGCACAAACTAACTTAATACATATATATATATATATATAGATATACATATATATCTGTATATATTGTGTGTGTGTGACTCATGCACTATAAATATATAAAAACAATACAGTGAAGCTATCAGTAGTGCTGCAACCTTTGAAAATGCCAAAAGGACGAGACATTTGTTCTGGAATCTCAACCCTTTGATCAGGCCAGATCAAGACGAGAATATTGGAGTACATGCCAATATTCTTCTACTTCCGTACACTGATTTTTTTTCTAAATATAAAAATAAAATGAAAATGTGTTAAGTTCAGCGAAAACCTACATGTAAATATACTGAATCCAGTGGATCAGGAAAAAAAAAAATCTGAATCCAGTGTGATCAAATCCAAAAAATTATAAATTTTATAAAACTTATTCAAAAAGGGAAATTTTAGCACAATCACCCTCTAAATTTGTCGCAATTTAACAAATTACTCTCAAATTTTTAATTTTGACAATTAACCTTCTGAACTTGTAAAATTGCTATAATGTACCTAATTTTAGTAAATTTGCTCAAAAATTTAATTAGATTTAAAATTGAATGATTCAAATATTTATGTTATATTTGAATTGAGATGTTAGAATTTTTCGTCTAATATTTTTTTATACTAATTTAACTCAATCATCGCCAATGGAGCATATATTGTAATAATTTCATAAATTGAGGAAGTAATTTGTCAAAATTAAAAATTTTAAAAATAAATTGCTAAAATTATACAAATTCATGAGATAAATGTGTAAATTCCCTTAATGAAAAGATCACTCGGACAGCTGCCCCCGCCTTTAGTGCTAGACGTACCAATTTTGTTGGGGATATGATGAAAGAAACGATTTTAGTGTCATTAATGAGAAAAAAGTGTTAATTGTTTTTCAATGTTAACTAACACAAAAAAATTCAATAGATAAGATCGCTTTTAATCTGCTTTCAATGGCTGATAACAGGAAGCATGTACTTAAAAAAATGCGCACTTTCACAAAAGACAAAAATAAAAGGAGTTTTTGTGGTATGTTGTATTTTTTTAACTGTTAAATTATGTTAAAATTAATTTAGATTTAAAATAATATGTAAAATAAATAATTTATAATACAGATCTTACGATTGAAAATGAAAAATTACCGATAATTTTTTTCTCTCATCCTACTAGATAAGCTCCTATAAAAGAGAGAGAGTGTGTGTAAATTTTTTAGGCTGTTTGGTATGAGGATTCGTGTCATAATTCGAATTATAGTTCGTGATTCGCTACAGCATTTTCTCTCACAAAAAAATATACGTAAATTAAAAATAATTCTGACTCATAATTCTAAATCTGTGAATCAAACATCAACTTTGGTATTCCCACACACCAAGTACTTTAGTGCAAGTTGTATTTCGTTGTCATCCTCGTGTACGGACGTCCTTATACATTGGCTTTTTTCCCACTTTACATTATTCTACTCCAACCAATTGTGTTTGTTTCTTTTCTTCACTGAGGTCAAGTTGTACCGTATAGATGAAGTACAATTTGTAAATTAATCTAGTAATTATAGTGCCAATTACAAGTAAGTGAGAATTGTTTAGGATATGTCTTTGTCAAATATTTAGGTTGTAAATGTACTTGAAACGGGTACGAATTATAATATTCTGACCACTTAAATAAAAAATATTAAAAACAGCTCTATATATGTTGCGTTCCATATGTTTTTGTTTTTATTTATGTAAGAAAAATACATAATTAATCGATCCCGTCGATTTTGTTTAGTTATATATTGATGAAAAATGAGAGAATGCTTACTATCTTATAAATAAATATAGTGATCAATAAGCATCTCATAAATAATAAAATTAGTATTTGGTATGAGGATTCGTGTCATGATTTGAATCATGGTTCGTAACTCGTTACAGTATTTTTTCTCATAAAAAATATACATAAATCGAGAATAATTCTGAATTCATGAACCAACGTCGTGAAAGTTTTAGATGTATCCACATAGTTTTAAAGATCCAAAATGAAATAAAAACTAATAGTAATACTCTTACCATTCCAATTGACGGCAATAAGAAACTTCTGATTCGAAAGGATTTTGAAGTAATTTACCAG